AGACACAGATGAGCATATCCTAGTTTATAATTGCAATAGTTCAATATTTTAGCATTATTTTCTGTAAAGATTTTTTTATAATTGCTCAGGTGGGATATATAGTTTCTTTTTTAGGTTTATACCGGTAATTCTGCATAGTTTGCCGACACACAAAACAGAGACCTCAATCGTTATCACCCTTGGCCAAGCAAGAACGTAGCAACATCTGTTATCAAAGCCAAACGGCAGAAGAAAAGCACAACGAAATTATGATCCTCTCTACTCCAAAATGCCGATGGAACTTGCTCAGAAGAGAGTTTATATTTGGACTTGCTGCCATCTCATGTTTATTATATAACGTAAGTCGAGTTTAACATTAATTCTTAAACCGAAATCATGAGCAAGTCCGTGAGCATCGTGCATATAAATTGGTCCTCTAGGAGGAGTATATTGCAAGGTGGAGTGATTATAAAATGCATGATGCAAGAGAGCATTGGAAAACGTGGTTGAACCCAATTATGAATTAATTAATCAGAATCAGAATATATTATACAACATATGATGTTATTAGACTTATTAATGAATTATTAGAGATCGAGTTGCTTCAACGTAGGGGAACGCGTAAAACCCTAGCTACTTCCAAAACATATACAACTTTAGATCTTGCCGGGTCTACTTATATGTGAGTGAAGATCAATGTGACAAGGACGATAATATACTGTTAGGACTCGAACTCAATACCTTGCTTGAGGGAACAATACCCTAAATTTCTACACTAGTGAGTACTTTGCAAATTTATATTTTATTTAAATAGTCACATTTAATCTTCTTTTCATTTGTTGTTGGGCACAAACAAACCAAATGGCCCCCCTCTCAGAAGAGTACTGTGAACAAGCTTTTACCCCAATTAGATATACAGACAACATAATTCTAAAAAGGGTTGTTTAAGTATCTTCAAAACATGTTTATTGGCAAAATTAGAAACCATAATTATATACATTGATACATCCAAAGTTTTTCACCCAAAAAAATATATATTTTTAATTGGTCATGTTCTGATCCAAAGACAACGCTGCTGAGCTCCTATCTGGTAATCTTCCATGCAGAACTTGAAGGCACAACTGCTCTTTCAATCAGTCTTAATCACCAGCTAAGATAATAAGACTTATTAGTAATAATTAAGTTACTATTTAAACAACCAAAGTCGGATTAAAATGGTCATGTTCTAGATCACACAGTGAGATTAAAAATCATGAGAAAAATGAGGGCCAAAGCAAAGGCAGACATATACATCGAGGAACGCCATGACATGCAAACATCGAGATGTTGACTGATCAATGGCGTCCACAGTTCCCTTTTGGATCCTCTTGCTGTTGTCGTACATCCATATCTTCGTTGGTTAAATCCCATTTTAATTCATTGAATAAATAAAACAATGTTGTAGACAAAAAAAAATTTATTATTTTTAATATAAACGATAGTCTAAATTACAAAAGGAAAATGAATTTCTTACACACACAATACAAGGTACTATAAAGGTTCAAACCTAAGACTACTAATATGCAAGTTAATAAGACCATTTTCAATTGAACTAGACCCCATTGACGATTATTTAAAATTACTTGCGTATACCAACCCATTTGTAGATAAATAATATGAATTCATCATTTTTACTAAATTGATTTGGAAAATTCCAAATTAAAAGTATCCAACAATTAGAGTTGGGCAAAATACCAAATCATATAGAACGAGCTAAAGAATTACCATAATTGATTCTCAAAATAAACAAAATAAAAACAATAATTAATTTACAAAATCAATACCACTGAAACTTTTAATTATTCAAAATGACCAATGATGTTTTACTACAATAATTAATTCATCAAATCAGAAATCATTCTTATCACTACCTGATCCCACAGAGAGTGGTGATGGTGGTGGTGATGATGAGTACCTACAAACTCTAGCCTCCTTATAAACAAGGCCAGGTTTACAGAAATACCCTTTTCCAGGGCTGCAATGCCTGTCCTCAGAGCAAATGCATTGGCCCTCCAAAGCACACCCATCTCTCTTCACACCCTCTTTCCCAAATACAACCTCATCAGACCACTCACTTGAGAACAAATTCTGAGGGTCCAATTGTCTTTTCACAGCTACAAATTTATTAAAATTAGGATATTTTTTCTGCACATCCAAAAAGGCTAAGTTCCTGTTCTTAGCCCAATGTGGCTTAGCCCCGTACTTGAAGAAAGCCAATTGCTCCACTTCTTCCCACACATCTTGATTGAATCTTGGAGTCAAAGCATCATCAGCACGAAAGTAATTAAAATCAACGACCACGGAGTCTTCAGGCTGACCAAGGTATGCCCCAGTTGCCCTAATGAAACGTATCAAAAACCCGTTGTATATATCAACCCCACAAAAGTTGTCTGGTTTTAGGTCTCTTAGTTTCTTCACGTCTCTGATGAAGTCTCCAAATTTTGATGCTGGAAATATTGCTGTTGTTTCATAGAAGAAGAGGCCATTGATTCTCGGGTCCCATGCACATGAGTTGTCTGCGGCTGCTGAGTACAGGCATGAGCCTGAGGTTTGCATTTTGCCCTGGGGACCAATTACTGGGTACCCAGTAAAGATTAGGCCATTCTTCAAGCCATTAGCCACTAATTTCTTCACCCCCAAAAATGAAGCTGCCATTGTGCATTTTCCACCCAAGCTGCGTCCATTATCCATGGTTTTCTCTGCACAATCATTTTTACAGTCTTAAATTAATCTTTTATATTCTCGTACTATTAGTGACGTTTTCAATAAACAAAACTACTTGTACCATCTCAATTAAGTACCAAGTGTAAATTGAAATTACAGAAGTGGGTGTCATCTCAATTAGAAAACTAGTGCACTAGATGATTAGTTGAGATGGTACTAATAGTAGCATTCGGTAACATTTAATACACATTTTTGACCACATGTTTTTGGAATTGGGACCCATCTCGCATAAGAGACGCAATTAATATTTTTTCTTTACCAAGTAAAAGAATGATTAATTTGTCCTAGCATACCATAATATGCGTGACCTAAATAACAAAAAATAATATTAAATAAACGAATGTGGCAATATACCCGTTGCTCTAATACTCTTGGAGATGAGAATAGAATTGGATTGGAAGCCTAGGAACTCATATGTTCCATCGCCTGAGGCATTTAAGGGAACTCTGTTATCATATCTGTAAGCAGCTGTATGCTTTGATGGGTACCAAGTTATATCTGCGAACTCATATTTCTTAGCATGGTCCATGTATATGTTCTCAATTTGAGCATCATCTGTAAAGTTGTAAGCTATGCTCCTTTTGAATCTTGGCTCTAGCGACAACTTCACCTATTGACCAATTCCAAAGTAGTCTATTTCAATAACTTGAGGATATATACATAGCATAACGAATTAAATTTGCGAGAAGATAAACATTAACGTTATCAAACAAATATGTATGTTGTCATACTGCGAATCTAGATGAGACGTTAAGAGTTTTTATATATAGCGTTCAATTAAAGCAATTGAAGACAGGGTACCAACCTTGGAAATGACACCTAATAGTCCCAATGATACTTTGGCAGCATTAAAGATTTGATCTTTTGGTTCTAACTTGACAATCTTGGCAAACCCTTCTGATTGTTTTGCTGGAACAATGAGGCTGAGCCCAACAATATGATCATGCACAGCTCCTCCTTTTCCCCACCATGAGCTCCCATGTGCCCCTGTGCTTACAAGCCCTCCTACACTCACACCCTCCCAATATGGCGCAGCCACCAAGCTCAAGCCGGCTTCTTCCACCGCGTCGATCAATCGGCGCAGCCCTATGCCGGCATCAACCGTGACAGCCAAATTCTTCGCGTCAATTTCAATCGATGAATTGTATTTGGCTGTGCTTATTAGCATTGAATTCCCGGAGCTTGTGGCAGGGCAGGCCAGCTTGGGGATGGTGTGAGAAAATTGGCTCACAACTTTGACTTTGAGCTTGTTCTGATTTGCATAAGCCACGGCTAGCCGGAGCTCCTCTTCGGTTGTTGGGTATGTGACATTCTGAACATGGCAATCTTTTCTGTCGCCCCATACCCCATAGGAGTTGTAGAGGTTGCAGCCATTTTTGTCGCATCGAACCGGGGGTTCAGGCAGCATGGCTTGGATGGAGATCAACATGGTTGCAGCCCAGATGACATGGTGAAGAGCACAAACGAGCCACCAAAAGCTGTGCATAATATGAAATCTAAAATCTGGTCCTGGCTTTTTTTTTCTGCAAAGTGTAAAGAAGGCTTTTTGAGGTTTTTGAAGGAAGGGGTTTTCTTATAAGAGGAAGGGCAATGCTTTGAAGGGAAATGAAGAAATAAATTTCTTGAATTGTACGCTACGATTTGGAAATATAATTCAATTTATACTAACTTGGGGTGGTCCTTTTTTGGTAGGGTTGGCAAGGGGGCTTGTTCGGCGGGTCAACGGGGACCGATAACTATTTTGTTATCATTTTTTTCTTTCTAATATAATAATGATTTAGTATGTAAAGTGCAAAGCATAAAATGCAACATTTAAGAAATATGTAAGAGCAAATGACGCACTAGTGCATTGATTTCAGAGCAATTGCTACTTTCAAGATTGGCTTTGGAGCAATTGCTACTTTTAAGAAAATGTTTTGAGTTCGAGTCTTAGTATTAGTGTAATATATGTGAGTCTAGTATACTGTCACTAACTCAATACGAAAGATCCAAAAAAGAAAAAAATCTAAGAAATATCTTGTATATTTATTAGTAATCTAGAGGATGTGGTTAAGAAAAGGCCCAAGGGCAGCAAACGTATATGTATGTTGTGTTGCCTTTTGTGTCGACTGAATTGTGATATTTGAACTAGGGTCTTGAACATGTTTACAAATATTTCCATACGCTTAAAAAAAAAACCAACGAGAAATAACTCAACATGTAGGATTTTGCTAAATTATGAATAAAACGAGAAATAACCACATTTTGTTGATCCTCTACTATTTTGGGTCTAAATTCTCCCTCTCTTGAAGGGGTTCTTGAAGCGCCTTCAATAGCTGGGCTCCTTTCCTCCTCCCCCTGCCACTACAATCCCCTTTCAACGCCAGCTCCACCGCACGCGCCACCTCCTCCGCCGGTGCCGCCGCCACAGCCTCCGCAGCCTCTTCTTCCCCGTACCCACCGCTATAAATCACCGCCAACACGCCGATAGCATACTCCTTCCCCCGCGCCGATGTCCGCCCCATCATCATCACCATAATCGGCACCGCCAGTGCGTGGGCCCTCACCGCCGCGGCACCCTCCGCCACAGTACACATGAGCTCCAGCGCCGCGAGTGCCCGCTCTGCGGACGTAGCCTCCAGCTCCAGCGCCGTCTCTACCACGGCCGCCGCCGCCCCCGCCTCCACTGCCACGTGGCGGTTGCCCTCCGCCAGGCAGAGGGCTAACAGAATTTTCGTTGCCGCTTTAGCCCCCGCTTTGTTTTTCAAATTTCGCACCAACCCGCGCATCAATTCGGGTGGGCAAACCGGGTCAGGTGGTGGGTAGGGGACGAGGGAGCGTTCTAAGAGTTGGAGAGCCGCCAGCTGCTCCGGGTGTGACCCGACGCTGAGCTGGAGCTCTGCTGCGTGGAAGAGTTCTTGGAGGTTGGTGGAAGAGATGGGTGGTGGTGGTTTTGATTTGGGTTCGGGTTTCGGGTCAGGTTCGGGTTGTGGGTATGGGAGGATGGGCGAATCAGGGAGAGCGAATTTCCACTGGGTGAAGCTTTGGGAAGTTGAGGAGGAAGAGGACTCGGATTCAGGCTTGGCATGATGGTGGGTTGGCGGGTCGGGTTGTGTTGGAGCGGGAGGTGATGAATCTAATGACAGTGAAGGTGGTAATGAGTCGGTGGATGAGAAGGGGAGAGGTGGAGGGTGAGGGGTTGTGGGGCTGAGGACGGTCCGGGTGCAATGGCGGAAGAACCCGCAAGAGAAGAGCTGGGTTTTGATCTTGGGATGCTGGGCTTTCATGGGTTCTGACTGTTTTGGTGATTGGAGAGAGAGAGAGAGAGAGAGAGAGAGAGAGAGAGAGAGAGAGAGAAGTGGTGAATGCTTTGGTTGATTCAGAGAGAGGAGGAAGATGATGAAAGTTGTAAGGATGTGGCCATGTGAGTTGTGGGGAGTGTACTACAGAAGTTCCAATATGTGTCAGTTTCCACTTTCACAGAAAAAGATTTTTAAAATAAATTTTAAAAATATGTCGTGGCATTTCTTCTAGCCATTTGAAGGAAAGAAATGCTCATAATAATTAAAAAAATAAAAAGAGGTGCCATTTACTGTTCATTTACATGAAATTATTTATATAAAAATAAAAAAATAAAAACTTTTTTACTTGCTGCTACACAGAGCAATCACCGGCATGGTACAACAGATACAGAACAGAGAGTAATTTAAAAACTTCTAGGACCAGGCAGCTCAATCATGGACTGGCTAAGCCAGTACACACAGCAGGAAAAAAAAATCTGTATGGCCAAATATCAAATCTGCAGACACAATTTGGATCTAAAAGGCGCGAAAGAGTTCACTATTTTCTTGCACTTCAAATGTACAACTTGAAGACTAAAGTTGGATTGTCAATACAACTAAACAATATAGAAATTTTACAACAAAAAAATGCCTCTAAAGGAAGGCATGCTAAAAAAATTACATGAAGTTAAACTAAGGGCAAAAAAACAAAAATGTCAGGATGCGAAAGACTAGCGGTGGTGTTACCTCCACTTCTCTCGTAGTTCTTTCTTCTCTGACAAAATCCAGGTTACAAAGATTGCTGCTATGAGTGCAACAATGGTGATGAGAAGCAATGCATAGCTGAAATCATCTGTTAGCGAATCGTAGGTCCTCGAAGGTGCGAGTTGAGTGAAAAACAGATCCACTCCATATGCAAACGCAAGGGTTGTTGACTCCAGCTTGGCCGGTACTGTCGCTATGCCTCGAAGTCCTTCCACTTTGAGGGCATGCGTCACGTAGGACTGCATGAGCAAAATTTGTATAATTATAAGATGTTATGACCAAATCTTCATAAATAAAAAGAGCTATACTGCTGTCTCATTCATATAGCCTAACTATTTAAAATCTTTAAACACCTCAACTATTTTTTTTATTTCACTGCAATTAACCACAGAACCAAGAATGTGATATCCAAACACCACATAAAGTTATACATTAAGCCAAGTGACTCACATACAAGAGCATTGCTTCTTTGAAAACCGAACTTGCAAAATTTAGAATAACAGTAATTATAGTGATTATAATAAAAAGAGAAATATGAAACTAAACAACCATAGCTTATATTCAGTGTACTTAAACCTCACACACTTGAGTGCAATGACTACGTTGCTAGTGAGCAGATTTTTGTGACCATACAGTAAGATTGAAGGTACTGCTGACAATGAAGAGGATCTATGGGAATATTAAGAAGTGCTTTCTCAAAAAAAAACTCCCAAAATGAAGATGGCAGAGTGGCATACCTGAGGAATTATTGGCAATGAATCTGTTAGAGGAATAATGCCTTCCTCTTTCTCAGCTGTTGTGGGGTTGACTGATCTACGGGGATCCAGAAAACGCTTGTCAAGTGCCAAAACCTACAAAGTGTTTACTCTCATTAAGGACATACATAAAAACAAATCCAATTAATTACATGTGAACTGTTGCCCCTAAAAAAGAGGAATAGAATCTCAAAGAACAAAACAAAGTAATAACTCAGGACCCTCGGAGGTTATCCTACCTGATCACCAATTGTACCAATAAGAACCTGCTTTGAAGTTATACCCTTTGCTGTTAACGTCACAGCTAGAGCTTTTACAGAATACGTGAAGAAGTAAGACTGTGATTTTGTCACAACCTCTGGTCGAGAATATGAAGAAATAGGCGAAGTAAGATTATGCTTTCCCAGAACAAGCTTCCAAACATCCTTATTATCCTGTTAATTGTATTTTGATTCAGCTTGCATTATTTTGGGAACCAACAGACACAATAATACACAAAATATTTAAGTTGTGATTTAGCATACCGCTCGGGACTGATCGTATATCTCAATGACTGACATCTCATATCTGTGTGCTCTAAGATTAAAGTAGTGGTAAACAACCCAATTCTCACTAAAAACCTGCAAGATGTATAAAGTTGTTAAGAGAACGTCTCTCATTCACACAACCGTAAACAAAGCATAAGGAAAACTTACAGCATGCACAGGCCCCTGTGAGCCATGATGGGTCATACGGTGCAATATACGACCAGTTACAGTATCAATAAGATATACAGTCAACCAGGACTCCTCTGGGGTTGCTGTTCCAATTGGACCACTACCTTTTGGTGCAACAGTTGCCACAAAGAGTAGATTTTTAGATATATACTTAAACATCACATCTTCATCTGCAATAGCCTTTGCTTGAGTATGAACAACCTAGAGAAACACAAACCTCTGTCACAAAAATATATAGAGCAAAGCATTTTCAGAGACTAAAAGACTAGCATTCTTCTTTTTTGAAATGTAAATCCATTTGATTAGAAAGAGGCAAGGGGGCACAGCCCAAGCACACAAGGATAAAACGCAAAAAATAATAATAATAATTCAAGTGGGGAGGAAAAAAACAGTGCCCGAAGAAATAACAAGCTCAGTACTCCACTCCCTCAAATGACCTACTATTCCTTTCTGACCAAATACACCAAAAAACACACAAAGGAGTAGTACCCCCCAAACCACCCCAATCCTCTTTCCAACACCGGTCATGCCAAGAGGCCTGGAAGGCCAAACTTGATTTTAAAAGATCTGTGAAATGATAGAAGCTACATGGCAAAGTTTAGAGGGAATGATCAACTAACCAAAAAAAAAAAAAAAAAAAAAAAAAAAAAAAAAAACAAAAAAATCATAAAACAAACGAAGTGAAGAAATTAAAAGCTACAATAGATTCAAGAAAAGGAAAAATTGCAAACTTTTCAAGGACAATATGTTCGCCAAACCCATATATTAAGTGGCAGCAAGAGAAAACCATACCTCACTCAATTTTCTTGTCACAGTTGCAATGATCCTTTCTGAGTCAGATGGGAATACAATTGACCATATATCCTTGGACTCAAAGCAGTAGTTATCTATGACTTCCTGGATGCAATTGCTCTTCAAGACATGTCCTTTGATAATGCCATTGTCAGCCTCAACTGAGTACCAGTATATGTTTGTAAGCTCACGTTGAAAAATATCAATAGCCTCAGATGTTCTTGGGTATAGATGCCCGTGTTGGTTTACATCTATTAGTAGATGAAGACGCTGTTCTGTTGAATCAGTAAATGGCAGTGGTATAACTTGCGCAATAGAATGTATGGCAGCCATGGAATTAATTTCCTTGCCAGTGTATGCATCAACAATAGAAAGAACACCTGGTGCGTCAGAATTTTTCCCACATCGACCTACTACAAGGGCAGATGGATTTTCATCCAGCGCATGATGATGGGGTACCTGCCACTGATAAATATTCAACCCAGTCGGATACTCACACGTTTCAGAGCTACGTAGAGTAGGTAGTAAGAGAGACCAGACAACTTGTCCATATCCAGTGTGCAAGGCAAAAAGTTTTCCTGCTCTCGTAAGCACTATGAGCAGCTTCCGGAAACCATTATGGTCACGGGTCATTTTGCTCTTTTCAAAACTTTTCAACCTCATCTCTTGTATAGCTGCAACATCTTCAGCACTTGCAAGCATTAAGGTTCCCTTAAGCTTCAGTATGTGTCCCTTCAAAATAACACAAAGTCAAATGAGAAATGAAAAAACCTGTGAGAGGGGCGTATATATATATTCCGTATTTAAAACCCTGGTCCAAAATGACTACAGAAGTATGCAAAACATCAAAGGAGCATATGCACACGCGCGCACAGTGCATACCAGACTGCACTGCTATGAAATTCTATAGAGTAGGATGACAATGCCATTACATTATGGTGAAACTTGCAGAAAATTGACACCTTTTAACCTTGATTTTAAGTTTCCACTCTATTAAAACACATCATAGTTCATACCTTAAGCCACTCAAAGAGGTTCTGCTCCACTTTTGCCACAGATACACCTTCCTTTTCCACAGGTAGTTCTGATGTTACCACATCAACAATTGAGGCAAGCCCATCCTCCCTACTCCAGACAATAGCACCTTGTTGTAACAATAAAAGTGAATGATCCTCCATCACAATTAGGGCCCTAAACCCGTGAGACCTGTCTGTCCGGATATAATTGTTAATGAAAATCTTATGGACAGTCCCCCTCTGATTGTCCATATCAATACTCTCTTGCAGCAAATCACCACTCAGGTCATGGCTAGGCTTCACTGTGAGATGGATCTTACCGTCTCCATGTTGAATTAGTGCAAAAGCTTGTTGGCCCTCTGAAAGTGAGATTGCATCACTAATAGCCGCCACATTGTTTATTTTATCCAGTACCTGTAATTTTCCTTCACCAGTCACTCTTATGAATACCACTGCTCCATCTATTTTAACAGAAAACACTCCAGGAAGTTTTGAAGGTAATAGCACTGGTGTTCCAAAAGAATCCCCAAAGATATCAGATATGTGTGTCTGTTGATAGTTAATTTCTCCATCCTGAAAGCTTATAATTACCAACTTTGATCTTGTGGAATCCAATGTCACAAGAATTTCACTTGAAACTACTAGCGCTTCACCGGAAAAGCCACCCGAAAACGTTGCACTGTTGTGTTTCAGCAACTCTCCATTCCTAGCATTGATCTTATATGCATCAAACTGGGAAGAACCAAAAAATCCTAGTACATAAATTATATCACTGCCAAGAGGCTGAATAATCTGTTGAACCTCTACACTGAAAACATGGAAACAAAACAAATATTAATGAAACAGAATTGTTTAAAAATAAAAAAAATGAAACATAATATTATTATTACAAATAATTATTTTAAGCATAAAATTCTAAATCTGCATACCTTTCTGGTGCAATTTCCTTTTTCCAAAGAACCTCACCGTCAATGCTAGAAATAGCATGTAGAGACCCTTTACCAAAAACAAGGATCAAATTGTCCTTGTCGACTTTCAAGTTTGTCTGCACAAGATAACAATAATGAACCATATATTCAAAAAAATATATACATAAACTGAATGTGTATAGCCTTTTTTTTTTTTTTTTTTTTTTTTTTTTTTTTTTTTTGTGGGTGGGGAAAGAAACGAAATCTTGTATAGCCTATACAACCGTGCAACCTGCACCTGAGCGTTTTACAGAGGAAAAGCTGCAAATTAAGCTAGTGAAAAGGAACAAGAAAGAATGATTCAAGATATAAGACGATCTTGAAACGCAAATTATTAATTTGGAAGAAAGTTTTGATGCTTACGATAGTTACTGGGGGTTCAGAAGCCATGACTACTAAATGTAATAACAACGGATGAGAGAGAGCGAGTAAATATAAGACTTATATCAAGACGCTAAATTAGAAGATAACAGTGAGTATAAAATGTGGTTTACTAACCGGGACAGTTAATAGTGACTTTGAGGCCCCTGAGCCCTCCAAAAAAGACTCCCACACCATCTGACCATCAGGAAGGTTCCATGCTCTTAAAATACCTCCCCCCGATGAGAGGGTTATGACATCTGAAAATACAAAATGGAATGTTCAACTGTATGATCAACAATATAAGTTCACTGCTCAAGCCTTTAATAGGTACTTCATAAAAGAGAAAAATAATGCAGAAAAATTCAATCCTCATTCTTTTTTCTATTAGCAAATCCCAATCTGTTATAATGTGAAAACTGTTTACGATCAAAGAATGAATCTTTTAACCACAGAGCTCAAACTATGCAATCGTATATTTTAGAGGCAAATGAAAAACATTATATAAGACAAACGATGAGTGCAAGCATAACAATTACATTTTCCCAAGGCTATGTCAATTCCGTCTATGACATCATTGCTCCCAAGAACATGTCTCCAGACTGCACAAAACAAAAGCACAGATTAACATTGAATTGAGGCTTGAGCTGAGGGTACAGAATAAATTGACATTCTCAACAGTGGAACCTACATATCTCCCCATGGCGGAGATCAAGTGATGCTATAACATTCTCTTCAGTGGACACTACAACACGCCTTCGCCCGCTTTTCTGAGTATGGAACACTGCTCCCTTCACTTTCCCTATGTACTGCTGGTGCCTGCATTGAAAGAGAAACTTAGAAAATTCAATTTAAAGCTTTTCAGAACATAGTCAATGAACTGACTAGAATTGAAGCTCTGTTTGGGTATCGAGATATTGTTCGAAAGCTAAAAAATTTCTATTAACAGCTCGGAGATGATGCAATTGGGTATAAAACAGATCGAATTACAAAGCTATCCAACAAGAGAGAGGATTGAATTCGTTTCGATTCAGAACTATCAAGTGAAAACAATAGAAAAACAGGTCATGAGCGAAGTGATTTCAATCGAATTTCAAGTTTTCTTCCTTTTTCTATGATTTCTGGGCAATGAAAACACAGGCAAAACAAAAGGAGTATGAGATTGAATCTTACCAATCCATGAGACCAACTTGATCTTCGTAAAGCGAAAGACTGAGATTTGTAGACGATAAGAATATCAGAAGAAGCAGAAAAACCCTACTCGCCATGCTCGTCGTGCCCATGGCGACTCTCTCTCCCTCCCTCTCTCTCTCTGCGGCAGTGACAACGAGTGAAGTGATGGATCTGAGACTACGATGAAAAGTTTTGTAGGAAGCAAGAAGAACTTCGAAGTGAGCAAGGAGAGAGAGAGTCACACGAGTACGAAGAGCCGGCTCTTCGGAGAAAAGGGAAATCCTAAATGACGGAAATACCCTTCTGCATGGACCGGTCGTAGCGGGCTGAAAATTTTGACCATTGGGTCGAGTTGGACTTAATATATGAGCAAGGCCCGGCCCAAATAGTTTCGAAAAATGAAAATAGTTTACTGGAAAAGTATATGTGCATAAGAGCATTTCCAGCGTAAGACCTTTTGCCAGGGCAGGAGGCCCCTTTTGAAGGGTTTGGATCTCCAGCACGCAACCAACAGCCCGGGTAAGCCCAAAGGCTGATCCTGCCTGGGCTTCAGCCTGAAGGTGCGAACGAGCAAAAAATAAATTTTAAAATTGATTGATTGAAAAAAAAAAAAAAAAAAAAAAATAAATGTGTTTCCCTATAAATACATAATAATTTTATTCATTTTCCCTATAAATACATAGCAAGTTTATATTTTATTGCATGTTCTTCTTTTTTTTTCTTGCCCTTACCCTAACCTTTTGGGGTGGAACCAAAAAAAGCAAGGCTGCCACTATTCACGTGAATAGTAGCAGCCCTTACCTTTCCTTTGCCTTAGCCTTAGCCTTTTGGGGTGGACATGCTCTAAGGTCACTCGGCCAAAATGAGTGTATCCGCCCTCTTGCATCCGAATTCGATTTCACTCTCCATACACACACTTTTTTAATAAGAAATTTTGCTTGGCTTCTCTCTTTATTTGTAAATTACATACGAACTTATATATATATATATATATTTTCTTTTATCAATATATAGAAATATTCATTAATAAAAGAAACTTTTCTGCATGTATGAAATTATGATTTTATTTTATTTGGTTAAGGAGGAAGGAATTGCTCCTTCAAGGCAAACAATCGAGTATTTTTCTTATTTAATTAATTAATTTATAATTCTTTTACAATTTAGATTTTAGTTCTTCTTAATTTAACATTTTAATTATGCCCTATATATATTTTGCTTAATAAAAAGGAAAAGTAGTCCATTATTAGAATTTAGATGGCATCCTCATGAATTTTAGAGATCCTCAGTTGACTGTTTTTATTTCTTGTGGCGGGCGGTCAGCTGCTGACTGTTGACAATGAGTTGTTATGATAATACGAGATTAATATATTAACTTTTATGAAGAAAAAAAAAAAAGAATTATCAAGTTTACTATATTTGTACAAAATTAATGGTATAAATGAGTTTTTCCTCCATTAATTGTACGTACTAAATTGTGTTTTTTCCCTTTAAATAGATTTGGATTATTGGATTATTGTATTAAAATAGGCCGTCGGTCACGCAAGCCAAAAAAATGGAAAGAAGAAGAAAAAAAGCAGTATTTTTTTCTGTCTGAATCTACATGAGAGAGAGAGAGAGTGGGTGCTGTCGCTTGATATGCTCTCGTAGAGATTCCTATACTCCTGGCATCGCTACTTCCTCCTCCATAGACGTCTTTACTCTCTGCTTCTTCACCGTCGACGTTTTGTCTGTCCAGCTTTAACAAAGTGGAGCTTGCTGGTTTTCTCACTTCTGGGTGTCAAAGATCGAAGACCCATTTGCCATTGAACGGTAATGCAGTGACCCATTTGGTTTCAATGCGAATTTTGCACATTTCATCTGGAATCTCATTGTTTTGGGGCCCAAAGCTTGTATCTTTTTAGTCATATTGTTGGTGTGTGATTGGGTGCGGTTCTTTGGTTTCTGGCTCTTTCACTGTAGATCAAGAACTTCACTTTGAGGTGAAAAGCTGCAATTTTTTTCAGCTGGGTTTGGGAGTTTATATAGGTAATAAGTAAATCAGATTGAAGCTTTGCATTGATTGGAGGTTGGAATTAGTTTCATATGAAATGCCCACACACTAGTTTGGTAATTTTCTTGTTCTGCTGGTCAACTTTGCTGTAATTGTTAGTAAAGATGAAGCTTTTGATGAGGGTCATACAGAGAACAAATTTACTACTTTGGACATTGTAGTTATGATGTTCATTGCGAAAGAAAATGATGTTTTGATACATCAGGATAAGTTTTTGTCCTATGTGATAGCGTTCGTAAGCAGGTGGAGTATGAAATAAGCTATAGATCGAATTGTATTTTGTTTTGATGGCGTCTATTAGAAGAACTTTGTCTCCAGTGCCTCGAGCAGGAACTGCACTAAATGGGGAAGCTTGTTCAGTTGCTTCTCCATTGTCCAGGTCCTCATTTACTCACAACAACTACCCAACATCCAATGGATTGTTATCGTCTCTGTCCGCTTCATTGGACCCTTTTGTTCTCAGTATCTTTTCTCCAAGGTCTTCTAGGCCCCTTGAGAAGTCAAAACCAAAGGGCCATATTTGGAGGAGGGCACTTTCCCATTTCTTCATTTGTTTCATTGTTGGGCTATTCATTGGGCTTACACCCTTTGCCTCAATGAATTTCTCCATGAATCTCATGTCGAAGCATCAAGACTTCTCCTTTGACATGATATCTTCAGTTGGGTTTCAGTTGCATGATAGTGTACACAGAAATGTCACACCATTCGACAGTGTGAAAATGAAGAAGAATGTTACGACAGAGTTGCAAGTCAAGGAGTGGGAGGCAAAAGATGGCATTCTAAAGAAAGCTGTAGATAACCGGTTACTTATCCAAGAATCAGATTTGGAGTTCCGAAAGCTTTTGATAATCGTGACCCCAACATATGCTCAGCCATTTCAAGCCTATAATCTGAATCATTTGGCACACACGCTAAAATTAATCTCACCTCCATTGTTATGGATTGTTGTGGAGATGACCTCCCAATCTGCAGAAACAGCTGACATCTTGAAGAGAACTGGGATTATGTACAGGCATCTTGTTTGCAATAAGAATCTTACTGATGTAAGAGACAGAAGTGTTCATCAAAGAAATGTTGCACTTTCTCACATTGAAACTCACCGCCTTGATGGAATCGTCTACTTTGCAGATGAGGATAATGTCTACTCAACTGATCTTTTCGAGCAAATGAGGCAGATCAGGTATTTCCATTTTTCTAAACTAAATTCCTACTATTAGTGTTATACTTTAACGGAATGTTGTTGATATATCACCTTTTTCTGCATCATCATCTACCAATACATCATGAGAAGATAAGAGAACTTTGGTTTAATTACATTTGCTGGATTTCATAACTTCTTGATAAGTAAGCTTGAGAACTCTTCGTACACAAGGTACACCTTTTTATTGTAATTTCATAGTTTATATAATTTTCTGCTGAAGATCCTCTGCACATAGTCTGTTCATTTCTCATAGAGCCTGCTGGAGATCCAATGAGAGAGTAATATTGCATTCAGCACAATAAAATTTGGAAAAACTTTTGGTGCCTGCAGTATTGTTGTGAGACAGAACATCATCTTTGCCCCTGTAGTAAATGTTCTTCGTTTGACATTGCATTCTGCATGTTGTGGTGACAATGCCCTTCTTTTTTCCTTTTCCTTAATTCAATTGCAGGCGGTTTGGGACCTGGACAGTGGCCAAACTAATGAGTGGCAAAATGAAACCTATTATTGAGGGCCCAGTTTGTAATGGAACTCAGGTCATAGGATGGCATGTAAATGAATCAAGTAGAAGATTTCAGAGATTTCATGCTAAAATATCAGGATTTGCCTTCAATAGTTCGATACTCTGGGACCCCAAAGGGTGGCATCGACCAACCCTTGAACCTATTAGGCAGCTTGACACAGGGAATGATGATTTCAAGGTTGGTGTCTCTTGTTCCATATTTTCTCATCATCCATCATCCATGATAGTGCCCCACATTATAATATGCATGGCTGTTGTGACCTTTAAAGCAAAAGCAACTGGTAGACTTGGACCAAAATGGCCTATTTTTTAGTAAACTGATATAGTCACCTGAACCTCCTAAATTACTTATTTGAAATTGTACCATATTTAAGCACACCCTTCAATGGTTAAGCCTTTTATTTTTTACTTTTTGTATTGGAGAAATAGAGTCCACACTCTACCCACTGAAAACCTAACTAGTCACTGATTTCTGGGTATGACAGTCCGGCTTCAATTTCTAACTCTCATTTAGCAATTTCAATTGGAATTGGAATATTCCCCCTCTCGAAAGAGTTCACTTACTTATTTGCATTTCCAGGCGAGTACATTTATTGAACAAGTTGTCGAAGATGAAAGTCAAATGGAAGGTTACTGCATGATTGCTCAACAATCATGGTTTGGCACCATCACCGTGAATCATCTAATGCCTTCTATCCTCACAAATGGATCATGAAAGATAGCCTAGATGTAATTGCCTCACTTAAGTGAAACTCTTGATGTGAATGGAGTCCAGGTGGATGGCAAAGGTAAATGATCTTTTTAAAATCTGCATTTCTATAAAATAGTCAATCTCTTCATTCTTTCGGAAATATTAAGCTGGAGATGTTATCAGCAAAAAGTCTGGGATGTTCAGATGTCAACTAAAGTTAAAAGTGAAATGAAAATCTTCTGACATGTAAGAGTAGTTCTCATCAGAGCTTAAAACAAGGAAATTATATGGGGAATACTTCCTGAGATTATCAAATAACCTGAACTCTGATGAATCATTGGTCTTCAATTTTCTAGTCCAGATGTTGCACAAATATCAACATGCACACACATATGAATGCTGCTTAGAAGGTAACTTCTTATAGCAGTGAAAGAGCTGAACTTTCCCACCTAATTACCAACATGGATTGTGAAGGGGATAACTTTTGGCTACAGAAGCTGGTGGTTTTCAATTAAAAATGATTGATTTAAGTACTACAATGAATGTTTTATTTGGTTACGTTGAACGGAATAACTTCTCACTTATCATGTGGTGTCAAAACACCTGGTTAACTAATGAAATGCAGTTGAGCTTTCTTGCATATAATTGCTCTCTCTCTTACAAACACATATTTTTCATGCAAATTTTTTTGCAGTGCGGGATAGATTGATGCAGAACCACAGATAGTCTTGCCAGTGGTTACTTATCCTCACTGCAGCTGATGCCTGCTTAGGCTGTTCAAACACTTCACCAGTTTCATGTGGTCATTCAACAAATTGGTTGAGAATTTTCCCACAACGTTTTTCCCAGTTGTTAGATCAGATGCTTTTCCCCTTTTAAGATCAGGGGTGAAAATGATTATGTGCAGTTGTATGAAATGCCCATTTTCCTTTGTAGGCTGCTCTGTTTAACAAGAGGACATTTATTTGATGAGGTAATGCTTCATCCTAAAGCCTAGAAGGATCCAGGGTTCGTCCATGTCAATATCAGCTTAATTTTGCCTTTTATCATGGTTTAGGTATTCTTTGGGTGTGGTAATGTGTAAAAAATTGAATTATTAAGTTGGTGCTTTAAGTCACTTCTTTGTTCTTTTGCATTTGTTTCCTCAAAATCCAAACTTGAAAACTGATCAGGTTTGAATCCTGCTGTTAGCGTTTTCCTTTAGAGTTTTTCTTTCCTTTTTTTGGTTCCATTCATGGAACAAGCAAGCAAGCAATTGCAGACAGAGCTGTAGGATCATGGATGAACACCTTTCCAAATGTATGTTACTCCTTTTTGGAACCTTGATTTCTTGAAGCTATTCCAATAACAGTAAGATCCTTAATGATTGCAAAACCTTGTCCCATTTTTTTAAAACCATGAATCTTGCTCATTATATGCAGTTTGACATTTAATGAGCTCAAATGGAATGTCTTGCTGTGAACTCCAAATAACTGAGCAATATAACTTGAATGCCTTCCACATAGGTTGAAAAAAGGTACAAAATACCCTTTCAATAGGATGAGTGCAAGTCACTTCATTCTCATTTCTTCTTCAAGCTCAACTTTCTTCCTTTAACAGCCATTACATCCTAATCTCTTTCCCACTTTCTTCAACTACACCCACAAGATGGAACCCAATCTAGACCTTATTATACTTGCTCTTCTCCACAGCTTGTTCATCGCCGGCTTTCTTCTTCTTGTTACCTCTGTCATGTTGACGGCTTTCTTGCTTGCATTCTCCCTCGGTCTCGTATCAATTCTCATAAATGATTTGTGCTACATTTCCTTGCTTTTTTCTTTCTACTTTGAAACAATTCTGAAGCATAATCTTGAACTGGGTTTTGTTCTAATTGTCTGCAAACTATTGCATCATGCCGTTCGCATCATCTTGGCTTCAAAGCCTTTCCTTGAACGTAAGATTTCTCAGCTCAAAGCAAAAGCGAGACATGTGATGAATCTTATTGATGGCCTGAGACTTTCTTAAATTCCGCCATATACATTACTTCTCCAACACAAGTAAAATTTCTTCGAGTTGTATTAGGAATTGTGCATGCAATGACAAGATTTGTCAAAGTATGTTATGCAATGCAATAGGTTATGTTTAAAAGTTACAACTTTTGTGGCATCCCATGTATTACTTTGAAGAAATGTTCTCTATAGTCTGACATGTTATGTTGTCAAACTGTCAATATGATATGTTATGTTGTCAAATTGTCAATCTGACATGTTATGTTGTCAAACTGTCAATATGATATGTTATGTTGTCAAATTGTCAATCTGACATGTTATGTTATCAAACTGTCAATTCGAGTGATTGGTGAGATAAATTATTATAATGTAAGTTGCAGACTAATATAACATGTCAAACTGTATGATAAGAGAACATTACTCATTGAATTCTTATTTCTAGTTACGTCGTTCATGTATATGGACTCTTGATTCTGGCCCAATCGTAGTGACTCTCAGTCCAATTTGGGTTCATGTAAGTTGGGCGTGGTTTTGCAAGTACGAGGCCCATCAGCATCTCCCACGACAATTTGACATTTCTGCTGATTCCAAAATACCCGCCACCTCTCATCCAGCTTTCACTTTAACAGACACACGTACACCTCACCTTCTCTCTGCTCCTCTTTTCCATTTCCAAGTAGCGCAATGGAACCAAGCTTGTCTTCTTCACTGCGCGAACCTCACCATTTCTCTCCGAACTTGGGCTTTCGAACCGCAAACCCTCTGCTCTTCCAAGCTTCAAAGCGCAGCTCCTTGAGGACTCTCAAGCTAGGGTTTCTCCGAACTAATGCCTCCATTTCGTCTTCCACATCTCAACAGGACAAAGACTCCGTGAACTCTGTGAACCCCGTCTACGTCCCCACACCTCAAAATCGAGACCTACGAACCCCTCACAGCGGGTATGTATACGTATGTTGGGCCTTGATTTCTAAATCGAGTGACATTTCTCTTCTTTATTTTGACTTATCGTGCAATTAGGTACCATTTCGATGGAACGAGCCGGAAATTCTTCGAGGGATGGTACTTCAAGGTTTCGATACCGGAACGGCGGCAGAGCTTCTGCTTCATGTACTCCGTTGAGAATCCTGCGTTCCGTAAGAAGCTGACGCCGTTGGAAGTGGCTCAGAACGGACCTAGATCGACGGGTGTCGGTGCTCAAATTCTGGGTGCATATGACAAGTACATTTGTCAATATTCTGAAGAATCTCAAAACTTTTGGGGAAGTAAGAATTTTTTTGGGAGACTTTGGAAAAACACAAAGGAGAGAGAAAATTTGTAAAAGAAGCCAAAATGGATAAAATTGCCCTGATTTATTTTTGGATTTCCTAAGGAATCCTTTACATTTGCATGTCTTTGATTTGAAAGTTGAGAGGTTTTTCTGTCTTTTTTCCAAAAGCGAAATTTTTTTTTGGCTAAAACCTAAATTTACTAATTTTTTTCTGCTTGATGCTATTCAATTTGCTGTTTTTAAAGAAGTTCAGTACTTTTGGGGATGATGTGTTGGTATTCAATTTGACTTATAAATTACATTAACATTTAAAATGAATCTACCTTAATTATGCTGGTTGTTAATGTTTGTCATGCATAGGCAGGGATGAGCTTATGTTGGGAAATACTTTTGTAGCAGAAAAACAGTTGAAGCCTCCAAACAAGGAGGTTCCTCCTAAGGTTAAAATGCTTTCTTTGGAACTCCATACTCTTTTGTTTGTTTATATTCATTGTTATTTTGACATGGCCATTCGGTTTCTGATTAAATACTTTTTCCCTGCTAAGATTGTAGCACTGCAATTTAGGGTTAAGGGTATCTTATTTATGTGTGAGGATTTTACTAGGTGGCAACATAAATTTTTTAACTTTATTTTTAATTTTTTCTGTGTATGGGTTATACTGTACAGGAATTCGATAGGAGAGTGATGGAAGGTTTTCAAGTCACCCCACTATGGCACCAAGGTTCCATTCGTGATGATGGCAGGCATGACTTTCCTTTGTTTATCAAATTTTACCTATAGAAATATGAGTTTGCGGGCCCCATAGTGGTTTTTAGTACCTTGAGGTACAATTTTGTTCTAATGTCAGGTCAGACTATGTGGAAACGGTGCCAACTGCTTGTTGGGAATACAGTACCCGCCCAGTTTATGGCTGGGGTGATGTTGGGTCTAAGCAGAAGTCTACTGCAGGATGGTTAGCAGCTTTTCCTGTATTTGAACCCCATTGGCAAATATGCATGGCTGGTGGATTGTCAACAGGCATTTGCTTATCTCCCCACATTCTTGCTAATAATTCCTGGAATTTTCTATTGATGCCTTGTTAGTTTTGCAGATGTTCTTTTCTTGCTAAGTTATATCAATTCTTCTTTTAGGTTTTAATTCTTAAAATCTCAATCTGGTAAGTAGAAACATGCAATTGAAAATTTATATAGAAGAGCGAACTGTGGAGAGAAATCTGGAATAGTATTTTTGGTGTGCACTTTGATAGTAATATTGCTCTTTGTAGATGAAATGGAATGCATCTTGGCATGTTGCACTGCCAACTGTAATACTTATGTGAAACTTTGCAGATAGGCAGAGGGGTGTGAATTTATTAATAGATTACGAAATAGAAGTCAATCATAAATGAACTGAATACTTGTTATACTTGAAATTCCAAGAGATTTAATCAAATATAAGTAATATAAGTTTTGCATAAGATTTCTACAAAAAATAGAAACACTGTTAAATTTTAATGAGTTAAGAACTTCTAAGCTATAAAAAAATGTAGAACTGGAATCCTCATATGGTTTGTCACAAAAAAAGTTCTATAACTGACCTTACTGTTGTAGAGACGGAGAACCCTTTGCACACATATGATGTCCACTTTCACTAATTGCATCTAAATACTATGGTTCAGCTTTATCCTGTGCATGTTAGCTGTGTTAGTTATAATTCATCATCCTGTGGAAAATACCATTTGGTTATTCACTGTTTGGACAATCATGTGCTTTTTTCTTTAGAATATTCTATGCTCCAAAATTTGCTCTTTTTAGAAACCTGCATGCATTTTTTCTAGCCATTGTCTAAGGTTCAGTTGAAATCTCAGGTTGGATAGAGTGGGCTGGTGAAAGATTTGAGTTTCAAAATGCCCCTTCTTATTCTGAAAAGAATTGGGGTGGAGCATTCCCAAGAAAATGGTTCTGGGTAGGCTTTTATCCATTCATCAATATCTTATATGGTAAAGGTTAAGCTCATTCTTCATTGTATTATTTATTTGACATGTGAGCTTCACCCATCCCTTTCTGGAAAGGGAACAGATAATCAAGATCATTCACCCACGATGAACAAAGATGAGCCAGAATCATAGTTTTTATTTATTTATATATAATTAATAAATTTAAGAAAAACCCTTCCAGTTGTATTTGAAAATTATGACTATTAACATTTGTTGCTTTCTTTGCTATAACTGGAAGATTTAAATTAACATCGATGGTGCTGGCTAGCCAAACAATTGAAAAAGCCTGAAGAGCAGGGCCGTCTTCTTCATTAGCCAAATCGTACAGTGCTTTTTTAAATTATAGTTTATTGGTGGAGCCTTGTAGGGATGCTTGGTATATTTACGGTATTATTATTCTTCCTCCATTGTTTTATCTGGAATACATACTGCAGGTTCAGTGTAATGTTTTTGAAGGCGCTAGTGGAGAAGTTGCACTCACTGCAGGTGGCGGGTTGAGGCAACTACCTGGATTAACAGAGACTTTTGAAAACGCTGCATTGGTACTTGTCCTGTTGAGAGTTCTATAAATATGTGTAATTTCCAGTTAGGGTTAGAGAAAACCATGCTCTTTATTGCAAACAAATAGTACCTGCATTTTTTTTTTCCTTAATATAAGCTCATGCATATTTTTTTGTGCAGATTGGAGTTCACCATGGTGGAAAGTTTTATGAATTTGTACCGTGGTATGGTGATGTTAGTTGGGAAATTTCTCCTTGGGGTTACTGGTCCATTGCTGCAGAGAATGAAACGCACAAGGTAAATGAACATCTCCTTCGTCTTGCCCCTCCCTCCTATGCGATAGTAGTAAAGAGTTACATCTGGAAATGAAATCTGTGTAGTTGTGCTAAGTGGTCTGTGGTCTTGAATTCTTTTGGAATACCAGAAGGTTCACATTGGTTCTAGCCTTTTAGTTAGTATTAGTAAAAACATTTGTAATCACCAAAAAATTGGTGTTGATAATGAGCAGATTGAATTAGAGGCAACAACAGAGGATTCTGGTACAACATTGCGTGCTCCAACAGCAGAATCTGGACTTGCCCCAGCTTGTAAAGATACTTGTTTCGGTGAGCTAAAACTGCAAATGTGGGAACGAAGATATGATGGCAGCAAGGGGAAGGTGCACAATTGCTCATCACTTTATGTTTAGGCACAATTGATCGCTTGTGCAACGTTATCTGATTTGACCCTTTGCCTTTTCAGCTGATATTGGATGTTAAAAGTAACATGGCCGCTGTAGAAGTTGGAGGAGGACCATGGTTCAGTACTTGGAAGGGCAAGACCTCCACACCAGAGCTCCTTAGCCGGGCTCTCAGAGTTCCGGTTGATGTGGAAGGGGCGTATAATTTGGTTCCATTATTCAAACCCCCTGGTCTGTAGCCTGTTTGATCACTGCTCTCTTGAAGGAAAGCTAAGCATTGTCACCCATTCCGTGCACACCAGTCCCGTAGATGTGCGTCTAAAAGTTTAATACAATAGCACTATAACCTCCTACTTCTCAATAAGCTTGAAGACATGAAAATGAGTATTGAGTTGCTTTGTATGCCGAAAAATTTATCCGAGAGTGACGGGCATCAAGTAGTTTATTTTAGACTGGTGTGCTTTGAAAATTATATGGTACCTCAAACTCAGACTTGTGGGCTTATTAATATGGCCTCAAGACTTGTGGGCTTTTTTCTTTTTTCTTTTTTCTGCTTGTCATTTTCTGAGGTGTAATTCACTTGGTACAGCATCTAAAGAGAATTGGCAAAAGAAGCTACGAGGTATGGGATATGAGTCATATGACAGGGACAAAGCAACCTATAAAGCAGCTTATTTCCTCCTCCCTTTATTTTCTTTGGGTTGCTATTATAAAAATCTAGAGTTTTTCTATTTAAGTCTCGCATTTCTTTTTGTTCACTCCAATTTTTAATTTAAATTTTCACAATTTCTAAGAAAACTCCACTATATTCCCAAACTACCCTTAAGAAACTTAACGACCTCACACCTCGTTATGTTGCTCCTCATCACTCTAAGTCCACCTCAACATTAGAATTACAATAAGTCTCTAATCACAACATTCTCAATAATTCTGAAAGGAGTCCCAAACCAATAAATAATCTTACATTGCATGCCTCAATTGATAACTCACAAGCTATTATTTGCATACTGTGTTTATGATTTGTAAAGAGAATATGAGAGTGTAGTAGGTTTTTTGGATTGAAATAGAAGAGTAATCTGACGATAGGGTGTAGAGGAGTTTGTGTTTTTCTAAAACTTAATATGAAGATTGGTGGAGTGTGTGAGGTGTGTGTATAGATGTATTAGGATTAAGTATTAAGTTGGATGACTTTTTTTGTCTTTTTACACAATAATAAAACTTAAGAGCTTAATAATTTAAGTATTATGATGAACAAAGAAAAGTGTAGGGTTTAAATAGAAAAACTCAAAATCTATGGTGACAACTGGCTTTCTCATTTTGAAGGGATGAAGTTCAAGCAATTTAAACTCTGTTTAGCAACTAGTTGGATTATTATTGTCGGTATCCATCCATTTTGACAAAACTGCAGCGTTTAGGCTAGATTGGGACTTCACCTACGTTACGTGTCACACTTGAGAAGGACCAATTATTGTGCATTATATTCAAATGGCATGTGATTGGTAGGTATCAGTGCTCTAATTTCCCTAACTCTTATCTCTTTGTCTAAAAAAATGGGTGGTTCAGAAGTAGCTTGGCCTTGCATAGTTGTTTATGCTATGATGATGATCAGTTTGATGCTTAACACACAGCAGATACATGGTGCATTGCCGGCGAACACACAAAAGCTGATTGATGAGGCCAACGAGCGTGGCCCTTATCTAGGCTTGGTCATTCCAAACTCTTTTGAAATGAACCCTCTTCTTCAGTCTCCGAACTTCACCTCAACTGACTTGATCATAGATTTTTCCGGTAATAAACATACAAATATTTATTCTTTTTTCTTCTAATGTCGAAAAATGTAGATTCAAACTTAAAACTTTGTACAACTAAAATGAAGCAAATATGCTAATTAATTTAGGACTTGGAACTTAGTTTGATTGCCATTAATTTGTTTTTGTGGGTTTTGAAGGAAGGAGATTTCGATTCGGAACCATTGCTAACAAGAAAGTCATATTGGTTATGACAGGACTGTCATTGGTAATACATATTATTCTTCTTCCAAATTTTCAATAAATTTTTTGTTTCTCATTTCTGTTAATCCTTTTTTGTGTGTTTGATTTATAGATTAATGCAGGCATAACCACTCAGCTTTTGTTAACCCTGTTCAGTATAGAAGGAGTGGTGCATTATGGCATAGCTGGCAATGCAAACCCATCTCTCAACATTGCAGATGTTGCCATTCCTCATTATTGGGCCCACACTGCTCTTTGGAACTGGCAGGTACCTACAATTTCACTAGCTTGTTAAAATATGCGATCAAGGAATTAATACTGAGAATGGTTAACTGGTGATTTGGCCCATAAATTTGTATCTAAGTTTCGATTAACTCTTTTTTTTTAATAGAAAATTAAGGACCCAAACTATTTTTTTCCCAATGTGCCCCTAACGTCAAAATCTGCCACTTCCCATTCATTATGCTGTCAAGTTGGAGGTTACTTTTGTCATTTTGTGTCTCTACTCAACTCAACCCCGGCTTCAGCTATCTCTTCCTTATTTTTGGCTCATTTTTTTCCCAAATCATTTTCCCTCCATTTTTCTAACCTCCATTTTTGTACCTTCATAAAAGGGGATCAAGAGTTTAGGAAAAAAAATCCAATATTACGAGATGAGGAGGTCCTTACCTGGCAGAGGTCATGGAGGTCATGGGTCATAGAGGTGGAATTCACAAGTGGTGCCTTCAGTTGTCTGCTACTGTGGGAAGACTGCGAAAATCCAAACATCTTGGACTGCTGCACATCAAGGGAGGAGGTTTTACATCTGTGGGAGGGTAAGTTTGTAATTGAAATTTGGGTTGTCAATTAGAAATTTGGACATGCATCTTTCTTGGTCTCCAGAAAGTGTTGCTTCAAGATTCTTATGACAACCTTGCCAATTTGTCAAATCCAGCTACTATGCAGCTCAATTTCGTGAAATCCCCAATTCCCCCCACCCCCTGCCCACCTTTTGAACCCTATAGTTGTGTGAATGGAGTCTCTGACCAAGCCTTCGTTTTTTTTTTGGTCGAAACTCTGACCTAGCCTCCTTTGACTTAAACTGGGTTGACTTGAGAGGAGATGCGGAATGACAAAAGTAACCTCCAACTTGACGGAGAATGGATGGGAAGTGGTAGATTTTGACGTCGGGGGGCATATTGGCAGAAAAAAATAGTTCATGTCCTTTTTTTTTTTTTTTTTTTTTTATTTAAAAAAGATAGGGAGTTAATCGAAAGTTATGTACAAGTTCAGAGGGCAAATCACCAGTTAGCAGAATATATAAGAGCACTTCCATCCATGGTGTCATGGCAAAAGGTAAGGGCAAACATTATTCACGTGAATAGTGACTACCATACCCTTTTTTATTTTGCTTTTCCACCCATTGTCATGGCAAGTAAAGACAAACACTATTCACATGAGATATAAGGAGAATAATTTGTATGAAGTTTTGGTGAGGGAAGTGAAGAACATGGCTAAGTATTTATAAAAATATAAAAAATAAAAAATATTTTTTTGGTATTTTTTTATAAAAAAATTGGGTATTTAAATTGGTCGTTGATGTTATGTTGACATCAGCAAACCCAAACAATAGCCCAGGCAAGTCTTGCCTTTGGGCTTGTCTAGGTTGATAGAGCCCACTTCTTACCTGGGCTGGCCTTTACCGCCGAAGTTAGTTTTTGGGGACTGGGGGGCCTTCTGCCCGTGTTCCCCTGCGTGATTGGAAGTGCTCTAATAGACAAATTAATTACTAGTTTAATTCTCCTTTAGGACAAATGCCTTCCCCCCTTCCATTTAATTTATCCTTTTATGGTAAATATTAATTCTTCCTTTATTAAAAAAAAGACATTGACTTGTAGATTAAAGGTCTCAGGTTCCCACGACATTATAGTTGTGTGTATGTGAGAAATCCTCCTCCCACATAGTTTAGACTATCGTTTGTACCGAAAAAAAAGTTCAATTTGAGCAAAACTTATGAATTTAGGTGTGCGTTTGGCATGATGCAGAGATATGGGAAAGGGCCTAAAGATGAGCTGCCCCTTGAAGCAAATGGAGACTACACCAGAGAATTTGGGTACTTGAATGTTGCAAATTACACTGTGAATGTGACAGATGGCAGCTCATATGACAACTTATTGAACAACATTTGGTTTCAACCAGAGGAGGTCTTCCCCATAGATGGAACTCCAGAAGAAAGACAGCATGCCTTTTGGGTTGCTGTTGATCCCCACTACTATGAAATCTCCCAAAAAGTAGAGGTAATTTAGGGCTTTCCTGCCACATCATTAGCTGAGCGCGTATGACATGACAATATATGTGTACTTATTATATCAATTAATATGTCAATCTGTTCATTAACGGTCAGACATCACGTAATTAATTAATGTGACACTTCAGGATGTTTTAGAATATGTGTTCATTAACATATGTTGATTATTGCTTGCATATTGTTTAGGACGTGAAATTGGAAGGCTGCCTCAACTCAACAACATGTTTGTCCAATATACCAAAAGTGGCAAGAGTCCAAAGGGGAGCAAGTGCAAGCATTTACCTAGACAATGCTGCTTATCGTGGCTTCCTATATAACAAATTCAACATAAGCCCTGTGGACATGGAGACTGCTTCTGTTGCCTTGATATGCCTCCAACAAAGGGTTCCCTTCATAGCCATCAGGGCTCTCTCTGACTTGGCTGGCGGTGGCTCTGCTGACTCGAATGAGGCCGACACGTTCAGCCCTCTCGCTGCCAAGAACTCGGTTACAGTTGTTGTGGAATTTATCAAACAGTTATCAGCTGCTGCTACTATCTCTGTTTAATATTCATGATTTTGCATCTTTTATTACTTTTGTATGCAACTTTTGTAATTTTAAATAAATTGAGGGCCTTTTCGAAAATGGGACCCCCTTGTTGCTGCTCTTATTTGTTTGGGCTGCTCTTGTGCTGCCTCATTATGCAACTTTATTATTATATTGTCAAGCATTTATAAGAACAATGTTCCAATTATTGCTTTTCAAGGCTCTGCCTCAATCCACCTTTCAAATTTTGAACCAAAAAAAAAAGTTAAGAAAAGAGAAAAAGGGCTCACCTTCAGGTCTTGCTTGCCTTTCTGGGATATTGTGATTGAGCAGAGCAGGTTGGTTGCCTTGCCTCGGCTGGTGTTGTTTCTGCAATCTGGGTTTTTTGGTTCACAGATTGTTTGCTTTACTTCTGGCTTGTTTGTAGCTTTTGCTTCTTTGTAAGTTTCTGCTCTCTCTAGTTCTGGTATGTGTATTAGTTCTTTTCATTTGTCTTTGGTCTTTGTTTCTGTAACTGTGGAATTTCCCCTGTCCTGCTCTGTAGACTGCAGTTTGTATTTGGGGATTTAAGCTTTGCTCTCTCTCTCTCTCTCTCTCTCTCTCTGCAGATAAGAAAGAAAATGGGAATTTCAGCTGTGGCTTGCATAGTTCTCTCTGCTATATTGATGCTTAATGCACAGCAGTCAAATGGTGCATTGTCAGCAGAGACACAGATGTTGATTGAGGAGGCCAACATGAGTGGCCCTTATTTAGGCCTGGTCATTCCAAATTCTTTTGAAATGGACCCCCTTCTGCAATCGCCAAACTTCACTTCAAGCAACTTGTTTATAGATTTTTCTGGTAAGGATATGCAAAACCACAATATACAATCAAATCAAGCAAGTTAATTACCGTAATTTTTTTTTCTTTCATTTTTTTGGGTTTTTAAGGGAGGAGATTTAGGTTTGGAACAATTGCTAATAAGCAAGTTATATTAGTCATGACAGGACTGTCAATGGTATGTACTAATACTTCCAATTTTTCTCAATTTCTCCTTGAATTCTCTCTCTCTCTCTCTCTCTCTCTCTCTCTCTCTAACTTTCTCTGTAGATTAATGCAGCAATAACTACTCAGCTATTATTAAGTGTGTTCAATATAGAAGGAGTGGTGCATTATGGCATAGCTGGGCATGCAAACCCATCTTTCAATCTTGCAGATGTGGTCATTCCTCAGTATTGGTCTCATTCTGCTTTATGGAGCTGGCAGGTCGGTAAAAATCACTTTCCCACAAAGCTACCTAGCTCTATATTTGGCTCACCAATTACTAGCAATGCCTAACATTTTCCTAGCTAGGCAACTAGGAGAGGGAGGGGGAGAAAGAGAGACAAAGAAATCCTTCTTGTTTGTTTTACTATCTAACTATATGTGGTTGCCATTTTCGCAAACGTCATTTTGGTGCAGAGATATGGAAAAGGGCCTCAAGATGAGCTGCCCCTTGAAGCAAATGGAGACTACACCAGAGAATTTGGGTACTTGAATGTTGCAAATTACACTGTGAATGCGACAGATGGCAGCTCATATGACAACTTATTGAACAACATTTGGTTTCAACCAGAGGAAGTCTTCCCCATAGATGGAACTCCAGAGGAAAGACAGCATGCCTTTTGGGTTGCTGTTGATCCCCTCTACTATGAAATCTCCCAAAAATTGGAGGTAAGGCTACCTAATCCAGAGTCCAAATTATCGGTTGATATTCCTGCTGTTATCCAAGACTATATTGCTTTCGATCTCAATTAATTATCTTTATGATATAAATTCTAAATCCTAAACCCTAAAACGACTTTGTTTCATGAAAATACTGTTAGAACATCCTCATTAACTTATATTCATACATGAATGTTGTTTAGGAATTGGAACTTGAACGTTGCCTAAACGCAACAACATGTTTGCCCCATACACCAAAAGTGGCTAGAGTCCAAAGGGGTACAAGTGCAAGCATTTTCCTGTCCAATGCTGCTTATCGTAGCTTCTTATATGATAAGTTCAACATAACCCCTCTGGACATGGAAAGTGCTTCTGTTGCCCTAATATGTCTTCAGCAAAGGGTGCCTTTCATTGCCATCAGGTCTCTCTCGTCTTCTTTGACCGGTGGCGGCTCAGGTGATCCAAACGAGGCTAGCAAATTCATAACTCTCGCATCGAAAAATTCAGTTACAGCAGTTGTGGAATTTATCAAACAGTTGTCTCTTCATCAGCTGCTAATTAATCATTGAACATATGTTTATTGCTCTAATAAAACTCTCTTTGTTGGAGGCATGCTCATCTTGCTTCTTACCTTATCTAAGCTTGCATTCGAGTAGTGGAATTTAAATAAATAATAAGACCATCAATTTAAACAAATCAAAACTGAAAAATTCAAATAAAAATAATTTATGTTATACCTGTTTCTGTCCTATTAAAGACAGAGGCCAAAAATTGTGAGGATCCACATCATCTCCTTATCATTGTTATTAATTTGTTTGATTGATTATGGATCCAAATCATTGTCACACGTTTTTTGGACAGAAAAAATCCAAATCACAATTCCAATTAACTTGAAACTGTACAATTTTTCGGTCCAATTCTCCGAAACAGAGCCAACTGAAGACTAATTTGGTGCTTCTTACAAGCTCTAACAACCATCCAAAAAGTCCTTCAAAGCTGGAGCAAATAGAGGGCATAAAAAGGGCACCAAGCAATAAGAGAAAACAGGGCAAAGATCCTTTTTATGCTCTCTCTAAAATGTCCATCTTGCTCAAATCCCTCACTCTGCTCTCCCTCTTCTTCACCTACTGTCTCACACAACCTTCTCTGTTTGGAAACTCTAGGGTTACAAAAACCCCACTCATAGCTATCTACAATGGAGGTGATGATACAGAGTATAGAGGTGGGTGGGAATTGGTTTCAGAGAATGCAGGTGTATCAGCCATGCACATGACCATAATGCCTAACACTAACAAGGCTATTATGTTTGATGCTGCTGGATTTGGTCCATCTGGGATCTCCTTTCCTCCTGGAGATTGCCGTCCGGTTTTCAACGAAAGGGACGAAAATGAAGATCATTATGAACTGGATTGCTGGGCTCATGCTGTAGAATTTGATATTGACACTGCAGATATTAGGCCACTTAAGGTATGCACAAACTAGCCTACCATAATTTTGTTTCAGAAAATTATATGTGGTGGATTTATTTTGGTATGACTTACTTTTTTCTTTGTTAGTTAAAACCAGATTTTGACAGATACATGGAGCTCATGTGGTGGATTATCAGCTAATGGTACCCTTGTCCAAACTGGTGGATGGGGTGATGGAGAGAGGTCTGTGAGATACCTCTCTGGATGCAAAGCTTGTGACTGGGAGGAGCACCCCATGTCACTTTCTGCTTCAAGATGGTATAATTCAACTCTGTTACTCTTTATACCCACATAGACAACTGTGAACTGTTTGATTGATAAGTCCGATTATTCGACTACTAATATTTTTGTGACTTTTTGAAAATAGGTTCTCCACACAACATATTTTGCCAAATGGCGATTTCATAGTGATCGGAGGTCGTCGCATGTTCAGTTACGAGTATGTCCCCAAGGTGGAAAGTTCCAATCAAATGTACTTCCCATTACCATTTCTCCAAGAAACCACTGACCCGGTAGAGAACAATCTCTACCCATTTGTTTTTCTTTCCACGGATGGTAATATTTTCATCTTCGCTAATAACCGTTCGATCTTACTTAATCCAACCACCAATAAGATCATTCGCGAACTGCCTGTCCTTGATGGTGGGTCCCGAAACTACCCTTCATCGGGCATGGCGGCGTTGCTACCTATAAAGCTTAACGTCAACGACCCAAACTCGAATGTGATTCGAACTGAAATCTTGATCTGTGGCGGAGCGGATCCTAGGGCGGGAAAATTAGTTGAGAAGGGTATATTTGTAACTGCACTGCACGACTGTGGAAGGATTGATATAACAAACCCGAAAGCCACGTGGCAGAAGGAGATGATGCCAACGCCAAGGACTATGGGAGATATGCTGATCCTTCCCACTGGTGACATCCTCATGATCAATGGGGCCAAAAAGGGCACATCCGGGTGGAACTTCGCGGAGGATCCGAACTCGACCCCGCTGCTTTATAAACCCGATAACCCGGAAACCCAACGGTTCATGGAGCTAAAGGCAACGACCATACCACGAATGTATGGTTCAACCTCCATGGTAATGCCAGATGGAAACATCTTAGTGGCTGGGAGCAATACAAATTACTATTACAATTTCACAGGAGTAAAATATCCAACTGAACTTCGGGTCGAGAAGTTTTACCCACCATACTTTGACCCGTTACTCGTTTTTGCCGGCCCCACAATTGTATCCGATTACAAGGGTATAATGGTAAAATACCAAAGTAATTTTGTGATTGAGTTCAAGTTGAAGAAATATAAGGTGAACCAATTAGATTTGAAGGTGACCATGTATGCACCGCCCTTCACAACACATGGTTTTTCAATGGGTCAACGGCTTTTGGTATTGGGCATAAAGGGGTTGGAAAATGTGGGGTTGGGATTGTTCCAAGTTGAGGTTGTGGCGCCACCAACGGCCAAGATTGCGCCCCCAGGTTTCTATTTGGTCTTTGTTGTGCACAATGGAATTCCAAGCTCTGGGATATGGCTGCAAATTGCATAGAGGAATTTTATACAGTTCTGAATTATTTTTTTGGGTTTCTGTACATAATATATATATTTTCATTAGTGGTCATATTGGAAATTTATATATACTCAATCCAGATTTTTCATATTTTTTATTTTCACTTTCTGTTTTCATATGCTAACTTACTAATTATGAAATTGGGGAATTATGGAATCATAATTGATTTATTATTTTTATTAATACAAGCGATATTTGAAGAGTAGAGATTCGAACACAAAGGAATCAAAATTGAAACAACCACTCTCCTTGTTGATATGATCCATAATTTTGAGAGTATTCAATTACGGATTTAATCATAGAAATCACATAATTTTTAAATTTTTATGTGTAACAAAGTCACAAATCAATATAATTAAAATGTTTGCCAACGAGATCTAGTTCAATGAAAAAATGCTTTGACTTGCATACTAGAGGTTTCAAGTTCGAATCCCCACAATGTCATAATTGTGTGTGTGTGAGAAATTCACCTCCTTTGTAGTTCAGACTATCGCTACTAAAAAATTATATTTCTAAATACAAAATATTAAGCAAAGTCTGAGAACCAAATTCAGACATAGTGGCCGGTCAACGATTCTAAATACAAAAATATTAAACAAAGACTGAGAACCAATTCTTTGTCTTCCTAGCTTCTGTTTAATTAATTAATTAATATTTTTCTCTTCTTTGACCAACAGAAGTTATAGAACCGACTTTTTAATTTTTTAAGTTTTTACATTTCGGTAAAAGCCTGGGACCCGACTTTTAATTTGTAGGACTTTGAAAAGCGATTTTACCGCCATCTTCGCTTTTCCGTGACCGTGAGCTTACAAATTGACAATTACAAAAGCCCCACCATCCAAAACTTTCATAAACTGAAGAATCACCCTTCCATTTTGAAAATTTTAATTCGCGCCCCACAGTCCTAGATCAGAAATTACCATATTCGCCCAACTCTTTTTTATTTTCAGTTTTTAGATCCCTGTCTCCCTCATCTGTGGCCGCCATCCAAGTCCTCGTTTCTGCTTTCAACCTCTCCCTCCCTCCCTAAAATTTCCAAAACGCATCCGGCCAAATCGTTCTCTCTGCTATTCGATCGAAGCCTCACCCTAAAAACCCTATATTTCTCTCTTCCATCCACGAATTCAATCAGTTCTAGAGAGATTAGGGTTTTTATGGAGAGGATCGTCGCAGAGAAGTACAAGTTAGGTCGCAAAATTGGGAGCGGCTCATTCGGCGAATTGTACCTCGGTCTGTGAATCATTCGATTAGCTCTTCTTCATTTTATCTATATTTTGCTTTTATCTTTCATCTCCTCATCATGATCACGATTACCATTGATGCTGATTTTTTTAAATTTGTTATTATTATTATTTTGGTGTTTCAGCAACTCATATTGAGACTGGCGAGAATTTGGCCGCGAAAATTGTAAGTCTCGATTCAATCCTCTTCATGTTTCAGATTTTATCAATAGTTTGAGTTTTTGTTTCCCCAGAAAATAATTTTCAGAAAGAAATTGACCCTGCGCCCTTTGTGGATAAATGGCCTGGTTTTGAGCTCATCAAATCACAGTTAACTTGATTGTTAGTGGAATATTTAGGTGCATGCGGGCGAGTGCGTGTTAGGAGCTCATCTTAGATCTCGATAATAATAAGAAATTCATTTGTGTTAAATTCAATGTGATAATTTTGTCAGAAGTTTTATCATGGCAATGAGCCTTGGGTTCAGAATGGTGGGTTTTTCAAGGGAAAACATGTTCTGGTTTTCCATGTTCTCATTTTGGGCAGACGAATAGTATGATGTACAAGTAATTGATTGTAATTTTTTCATTGCCAGGAAAATAACAAGACAAAACATCCGCAACTGTTGTATGAAGCCAAGCTTTATAAAACTCTACAGGGAGGAAGTAAGGATTGAATATCAGTAGTTTTGTTTTGAAGTACGTGCTCTCATAAGTTATCACCTTGGATCTTGTTTTCACTTACTGATGGCTTGAGTTTGTCACCCTTCAGATGGTATTGCAGGCATAAAATGGGCGGGATTTGATAGGGACGATAATGTTCTCATCATTGACTTACTGGGACCGAGTCTCGAGGACCTCTTTGTGTACTGTGGGAGGAAGTTTTCACTGAAAACAGTCTTAATGTTGGCTGACCAGATGGTAAGGGGTTGATTTTGACGACTTGTTATTTTTGAAGCCCATATCAAGTTGTTGATGGGAGAAGATTTTATTTCGTTTTTATGTTCCTGTGCTTAAGGTTTTTATGGATTGTTTTCATAAATTCTCTTTATATTCTTCCTTCAGTTGCAACTAAATGGGGACTCACCTTTTAAGACTTCACTTGAGATTTTTTCTTTATCTTCTTCTAGAGTATCTACTTGCTAAGTGCCAAATTGTTTGCATAGTGGTAACTTTGATTTTTTTGTTCATTCAATTCTAGATTACAAGAATAGATTATGTGCATTCTAAAGGGTTTTTGCATAGAGACATCAAACCAGACAACTTCCTCATGGGTCTCGGCAAGAAAGCAAATCAGGTAATGTTAAAGCATTACGCTTCCACATCTAACTTGTAGGAACAATATAGAATTTAGGATTTTCTGTTGTTTGTCAATTTTTTTAATCACCGTTGGGTACTCATTCATCAGGTTTACATTATTGATTTTGGACTTGCAAAAAGATTTCGGGACCAAAATACAAACCGGCACATTCCGTACAGGTAAAGTTTGATAATCTGTTCCATGTTTAATATCTGGGGGGATTTATTTTTCTTGAATGGGCTCTTCCTGTTCTGGCAATTTTTTTGCTTTTGAGTCTGCACTGTTTACAGTGATATGCATCATGTAAATACAACTTTAGCCACATAATCTGAGATTATGTAAAGAATTCCTTTTGTTGATATTTGACTGATTCAATTATAAGCTGGCAAGTTTCTTTGTTTACATAACAAGATACAATTCTATGAAAATGCATCTCTGAATTGTTTATTCACCAAGAGTTTAGCATAATTTTTCTACTTTGTTTATTCAATACCCATGTGTGGCTTAATGTTTCTATTTTCCTTGATGAAATCATGCAGAGAAAACAAAAGCTTAACAGGAACTGCACGTTATGCTAGTTGCAATACCCATTTGGGAATTGGTAAGTAGAGAGGTAATTAAGTTTGTTGTTCTATATGGTTGGCTGTCTGCTTCCTCATTCTGTTGTTTCATTGTTTTAGATCAGAGTCGTCGGGATGATTTGGAGTCACTTGGCTATGTTCTTCTGTACTTCTTAAGAGGAAGGTATGTAGTAAAGTCAATACCACATTTCAGAAGAGAATTTCCACTGGAGTTCCAGTTAGAATTTTTGTCATTTTGATGACTTGTATGGTTTGCACAATGTTTTGACCAGATAACGAAGTACTATATTATTTCATGGCCTGACTGACTGATTGGTTTCTGCATTTAGCCTTCCTTGGCAGGGTCTTAAAGCTGCAACGAAGAAGCAAAAATATGATAAGATTTGTGAGAAGAAGCTATCAACTCCCATTGAGGTATGTGCCAGTTTCCATTAGGTGATAGTTTTGCATCTTGTGAATTGGGGGGATCATAACGAACTGATTGTGAAATCTGTTTTCAAGGTCCTATGTAAGTCTCATCCTGTGGAGTTTGCATCCTACTTCCATTATTGCCACTCTTTAACATTTGATCAACGCCCGGATTATGCATTCTTGAAGCGCCTGTTTCGTGACTTATTCAGCCGTGAAGGTATGATATTTATTTCACACTTTTCACCATATTCTATATCCTACAAAATTAATTGGGTGTAAAAAATGCAACCTACATCATCTGGCCAGTTGATGCTTCGCACAAATGAGCTTTTTCTTCATGGAAAACTTTGATCATATATTTTGGTGTTTATAAATTATCTTCCTTGTTTTGCAGGGTTTGATTTTGATTATGTATTTGACTGGACAATTCTAAAATACCATCAGGCACAACAGACAAGGACCCAGGGTCAATCATCTGTTAGTATCTTCGTGAATTTTCTTTTATTACCATCTCCTATTAATTGCTTCTAGAATTTAAAGCATGGGACCATGTTCTGTTTCTTTTATGTATTTAATTTTGCTTCAAGTCTGTTTTGTATTTAAGTACTGATATATTCAATCTTACATTTTTTTTTTCTCTTCAAACTTTATCTAGGGTGTTCAGCCAGCTGTAGTGACTAATGGTCGAGCAGCGGCTAGCAGTCGACCAGTGCCTATGGATGCGATGAGACTTAAAGGTAAGGTCCAGAACTCCAGTTTGCTCTTGATTTCCAGGGTTGTTAGTGAACCAAATCTTGATGAGATTGGCCTTAAATAAGTGTATTGAGAAAGCATTTGGTATCTCAGAGCCTTGCTTGCATTACTAGAGAAGTCTGATTATATATAAAATGTTGGTTTACTGACTATTCTCAGTTCTTACGTTTTATTTATGGATTTCAGGAGTTAATGATGTTTCTGGATCAGCTGAGGTCGCAGACCGTAGACGGTCGAGTAATCTTGCTCATCCAGATGTTCATATGCAATTTAGATCGTCAACAGCCCAGAATTTAGGTGCTAATGATCTGGTTGAAAAACATGTATGTAACCTGAAATGTAAATCATATCTTGGTTTGTTTGCGTATTTATCAAGCATCTACTCTTGTTTGCATGGAAGATGTTCTCATCTGTTGCACGTTATGTTGTAATCCTGTGTTGTGAATACTGTACTGGGCGAATGTAGGTCATGACTTTTTTTGTAATTGGTACAGAATGTGAGCAATGTGCCGATGCCATCTTCTACGTATGCTCTCAGAAAAAATTATAAAAAACCAGAGGGGCCGGCTGAAAATGCAAACTTAGGTCGTGGAGTTGGGAACCAAAATGGTGCTTCAAGCAGTTGGATGCCATCAATAAACCAGGTTTCTTCCTCAAAGTAATAGGTATGCAGTTTTCTATTGCATAAAACTATCTTTTATGTGCTTAAGTTTTGTATCATATGGAATATAATTGCTCAAAACCTGCATGGTTGTTTACAAGATATTCAGCCTTGGTTTGTTTTTCAGCTACAGATCTGAAGGAGATTACTCAAAGCATGCATCTTGCTGTAGCAAATGTCATGAAGTTTGGATTGCTTTCGTTCTTCCATGTCAGATGTCATAACGTATGAGAAAAATGTGACTGGAAAAGCATGAACACACTGGATGCGCTTGAAGCTCACCTCCGAAGCTTGGACTTTTCGCGTGCATAGGTGGCAAAAATGACTAAGCCCATATCATGTTGTGTGGATGATGTGTAAAGTGTAGCATCCATTATTCTGATAATAGATGATAATTTTTTTCTTCAGTGCTATTTGGTTGTTTTGACCATGTATTTCATTCAATTCAGGATTGAGTTGCTTTCTGTTCTTATTGCTGTATCTTTTTCGGATCAAAGCCCTGGATGTTCACCCAGGCTCTTCAGAATCTGGAAAAAGAGTAAAACTAGTATTTCAGGTATCAACTATATTGATCTCTTCTCAAGGCGTTTCTATGTGGAAAAATGTTAAACTTATGGACTTCTTTTGCTTGATTTCTACACAAGTGCTCATTGATGCTATTTTTCTTTGCTTCAGATCTTGATATGAGATGTTATAGAGGATGAATGGGACAACTTCATTGGCTGTCTCGATGTCGATTTGAAGAGGGTATTAGAGATCCTTCTATCGGTTGTTAAGTTCTTTCGAGTTTTGTATTTAAAAGCTTTAATAATCCATGATTTGAAGCAGGGTTGGAGTCACTTGATTATGATTTTTGTACTTCTAATTACGGAACCCTATCCCTCAGATTCCTGCCAATCTTTTTCTGCGTCTCTCCTCCTCCTTTGCTTGTTCTACACTTGTATTTTATTAATAGCTAATTTTTGACTTGTATAGGTTGGAAATTGCAAGTATGAATCAACCTCGTAAAGCACAGGTTAGGGGGTGATTTAAATTAAGCTAAGTTATGCAAATCACAAAATTTTACGATAAAAATAAATAATCGATTGGGACCTCAGAAATTGTTGGTGCTCTCTATCACTATCAATTAAAACCCATGATTATTTTTTATTTTTTTGGTGGAATTAAAACCCATGATTTTTATTTTATTTTTTTGGTGGAATTAAAACCCATGATTTAGGCTCCAAGCAATGATGAAAGTTGTACCGTACCCTCAGCTGGGTGCGTGGGTCTTCAAACGATTAAGTTATATCACCACTAACAATGCCGCTGTCTGTTGTGAGATTATATTCTAGGGGCTGTTGGTGGGCCCAGGGTGCTTGCCTCAAAGTTTGTCCTTTGTTTTTTTCTTTTCAAAATTTTATTCTGACCTACAGTAAAAGTTACGAGTGAAAGAAAGTGAAAAGAGATCAGCTTTAGACAGAAGTTACTTTAAACCTCGATGCGGGACACATTCGCAGAATTTCTCTCCTCAATCTAGATAAGAAACTGAGGACGAAGCTAATCAATGGAAGCATCATTTACTTTCTTAAACCTGGGGTAAATGATCCTAGGGTTACGATCCAGAACCAGAAGGCAATGTGATGTGCCGCTGGGTGCAAAGGGCCCCTCAGAATAATTTTGCTTTATTAAATTAAGCTTTGATAATGGTGGTGTCAAAAGGAACCTTAGCCTGGTAATCATGAACAGGCCGCTGAAAAAATGGGGTCTTTACCCATAAATGCATAAAGCACACACATGTGAGTGTGAGGAGGAAAAGAAAAGGCAACAATTTTATGATGGGGACAAATTTTAAAATTAAATAAAAATAAAAATAAAAAAACCATGCAGCTCACTTTTGCAACCTTGTTAAATAGGCACTGTATTGTACCCCTCCTCTTCAGTCTTCATCATCTCATTCCTCCTTTCCACTATTGGGCTTCAAAAAAAGTAAGCAAAAACCCAAAAAGGAAGAAAACTAGACTGATTTTTTTGGCTTGGCTCTTAACTCTCTAACTCTCTGAGTGTGTATGTGTGCTGTTTTTTTTCATGGTGTTTTAGTGAGCTCTTGCGGTTTGAAATGCCCAACAACACAGGGGATGCATGGGGGGCTAGAGGACATAGACGAAAATGGTGGCATGAGTTGGGCAGGCGAGGCTTGTGCCCCGCCACCTGAAACTCCAACGGAGTCCATGGAGTTTCTGGCCAGATCATGGAGCCTCTCTGCCATGGAGCTCTCCAAAGCTCTTTCCCACACTCATGTTAATGTTGCTTCCAAAAATCTTGACAACAACAAGTCTGCCTTCACTTCTTCTGATGGTGTTGGTTCGCATGATACAGTTTCCATGCGTTTAGGAGAGCCTGTAAGTTAATTTAGTTTCCTACTTAACAAGTTAACAAAGATATTAGAATTTATTTATATGTCCAATAAGTGTTTTATGTCTGACTATAAGAAAATCTTTATTTTATTTTTTGGTATTTTTGGGTTTTCTTTAATGGGGTTATATGTTTGTGTGTTCGCTATGATCCAATACGGCTACTTCAGCCAAGTGGGGGTAGCCCTCCAATTTCACCCAGAGACAGTGAAGAAATGAAGGTACTCTCTCTCTCTCTCTCTCTCTCTCTCTCTCTCTCCCATTTTCTTCCATGCCTACACCCTAGGTTTAGTCAGTACCAACAAACTCATATTTTAAAAAGAGGTATTCATTTAGAAAAATAGGTTTTACGATACGAGAATCACAATATCTAAATCTACACCATAACAGTTAATAATTTTGTTTTTAAAAGCCTTTTAAAATTGCCATATAACCATTTAGCAAATAGGTCAGTTATTTCAGGACGTTCTGTCATTGTCGTAGGTCCTTCACTTTCATTACATCGATGTGGTATATATATATATATATATATATATATATATATATATTCAATATTAGGGTTAATTTAGAGATCTCATTGTTGGTCAAAATTCTAAAGTTTCTAATCTAAGAAAAAATATTTTACCCCCCTTTGGTTGAAATTCACCTTTTTTTTTCTTTTCAATTTACTGAAAAAACCCATTACCATTTCTGCTTGGTTGGTCTATGATTTTATTATATTTAATTTTGATAGTATAGGATCACCATGATGTTTTATGTGCACGAGCGCATGATTCTAAACTAAGTCTATAATTGCTTACCAACTTTTTTGTCATTTATGCTTGATTACGAAAAGATAACTTTTCCCAATAAAATATATACAGAAGCACAATAAAAACAATCAACTGGATATTGATTTAGTGGTATTTTTCCTCGATAAGGTTGAGAGAGAGGTCCCAACTTCGAATCTTCTCCCTCAACACAAGTAGAGACATGAACTTTTTACAGCTGGTTAATATATATGCAGGAGTTATTTTTACTGCATCAAGCACTCCACCCAGATTTCCTTTCCACTCAACAGCAATTGCTCAATAATGGGGTAATTCAATTCACTTTTCACCAATCAACCTCATCATTGTGATTTCCCAATTCCTCATTGTTGTTTCTCTGCAGCTATACAAGAGCATTTTGCGAGGGAAAACAATGGGAAGGTGGTTGAAAGATCAAAAGGAGAGGAAGAAGCAGGAACTCAGAACCCAAAATGCTCAGTTGCATGCAGCTGTTTCTGTGGCTGGGGTTGCTGCTGCTGTAGCAGCAGTTGCAGCTTCAACTGCATTGCCTGAAACTTCAGCTGCCCACCAGAAAGCGCCACTAATATCGGAGCTGAGGACTGAAACATCAGCTGCACTAGCATCTGCGGCTGCTCTTGTAGCGTCGCGTTGCATTGAGATTGCGGAGGAAATGGGAGCTGATCATGACCACATTCTATCAGTTGTCAACTCTGCAGTAAATGCAAGGACGAATGGAGATATCATGACCTTAACTGCTGGAGCAGCTACAGGTATCACTAAGCCTCTACAAAGCTGTACTAAATTCCATCATTTTAGAACAAAAATCCTTGGCTCAACAATTTTCCCCAAAATTTCAAACCAAACCAACTCAACACTCAAACCACAATAAAGCTAATCGCAAACTAGTTTAAAACATATTGACACCACAAGTTTTGGATCAACTTTATTCTGATCCATGATTTACAGCTTTACGAGGAGCTGCTACACTTAAGGTAAGGCTGCAAAAGGAGTATGGAGGCACGAACTTGGTTCTGGCTGACGAAAAACTTGAAGGAAAAGAATCAAATTCAGCACTGAACTTTGTCACTAGAGGAGGTGAACTCCTCAAACGTACAAGGAAAGGTAAACAAAGGACATTACCAAGATACATTCATGCAGCAATAGTTAATTAAGCTAACTGAATTCATGGATAAATTCGATGGCTAATGTGAAACTCACAGTAATGTAACTTTTGAATGCAGGTGATCTCCACTGGAAGCGAGTTTCTTTCAACATTAATTCAAATGGGCAGGTAAACAAGCCAAAGATTCAAAAATTTGAAAAAGAAAAAAAACACACTAAAATCAATGAATGAATTCGATCAGCTTACTTCGAATGATAACAGGTTGTAGCCAAAATGAAAAGCAAGCACATGGCGGGAACATTTACGAAAAAGAAGAAATGTAAGAACATTCTCATACCCATAACAAATATTTCACATTGACTTCTGCCCCTGTCAACAGTGATGCCGCACTCTGATGCATGCAGGTGTAGTCTCTGGAGTCTACTGTGACATCCCAGCCTGGCCGGGAAGGGAGAGGGAGGATGGAAGCAAACCAAGGGCATACTTTGGGATAAAAACAGCTGAAAGGACAATAGAATTTGAATGCAAGAGTAAAGGTGACAAACATATGTGGACTGAGGGAATCCACCATATGTTGAATTTCATGCCAACATAACACAATTCCAAGGAAGGTTAAAATTTGGATTGATGTAAAATTGAATTGTTAGATTTTTCACAACAATCAATGTGCAGTAACCATCTCAAAATCTTAGCTCTACATATCGTTGGGCAAGGATGGCACTTATAACAGATGTTACAGTCTTGTACAGAGTGCTATATCTACAAGTTTGATTTGGGTATGTTCTCTCAGGGACTGCTTCAAGATAAATAAAATTGGCAGGTTAGAATAATCTACAGTCAAAATTGTTACAAATCTTCCCATGGACTCAATTTAGAGTCTTTGGTGATGCTTTTAGTCACTCCAATTCCTTCATAAAATCAACATTATCAACAAAGACCTGCAGGATGGTGAGGGGCGAAAATTAAAGTCATTGAATTAAAATTGTAAATCAATAAAGTTAACGTATTGCTTGAAAAATATGATAAATTTCATACATAAAAGGAACAAAATATTCCATAAGAACACCAAGGTGTCATCAATTTTAAATTTTTGCACCCTAACTGGTACCAGAACTACCAACTAAGAAAATAGAACAATTACTATAAGGAAATGCAATGAAACCAACTTTCACTTATGGAAGGGTGTAAACAGATCATACCGATTTCCAGCCATCAGGGTCAAGGCAAGCAGTTATCTTTGTGTTGATACCTGGCAAAGGCCCAGGTTCAAGAACAATCTTCCCTCCATAGAGTTTGATTGCTTCTGCACTCTTGTAAACATCATCTGTGCCTATTGCAATCTGTTAAAATTAGGGATTCAGTCTTCTCAGTATAAAAGCACAGAATTTATATAACTTATATACAATACATAGTAAAATATGTTGTAAGAAAAATAATATCATATACCTGTGCATAACCATTTCCTTTGTCATAATCTGTAATCCCATAGTTGTACGTCAGTTCAAGCACTGGATTCTTATCTTCGGGACCATAGCCCATCAGGGCATATGTATACTAGTAAACAGACAGAACCAAATATCAGGTAGAGTAGCAAAATCCAGACAATGTTGAGCAATAGTTTTCAATTTAATTACATATGTTGAAAGGAAATAGATGGAGGTTGGGGGAGGCTAAAGCACAGAGAGCTTTCACAAAAAGTTATTTCTCGGGTTAGCATGGATAAGAATAAAGTTGTTAGTAAGCAAAAATATGTTAGCCCAGCAGCTAGATTTATTAATGATATAGTGCCAGGATTCTGATTGATGGGGAACACATTTCAACACTCCCCAGTAGAAGGTTCAAAATCACATTCCAGCATGCGTCTGTGCTCATGGATTTCTACCTTTTTGTGCAACAAAATTAAAAAACATGATCAGATAGTAGTTACATAGGCAATGCAAAACCCACAGAGCACCTGCTTCAACTAGACAAAAGGCAAGTGTATGGGATACCTTCCTGCACAGCTACTGCCTTACGCCCAAATCCAGGAAGAAAGAAGAAATGGGCATAAAAAGAAAAACCTATTACAACAAAGACCTTCAAATACAAGCCATATGTATGAACACTACATTATTCAGCAAGATCCTCATATTCATAGAGATATAAACCAGATTATACTCCTACACACCTCATAAATGCGAAAATAGCAATGGCATGTTTTGGTCATGGTCATGCAGTATTTAAAAAAATGTGTGGTGTATAGAGATTAACATGAGCATCATTATTTCAAACTATCCACAAGTACGGGGGAAGTTATCAGTGGGTGGTAAGTGTGAAGTCAAGTCACCTTGTACTCAGGATAATCTCTCTTGCGAAGAAGTTCCATCCCAAAAGCCTTCAAGTTAAAGAAACACAATGTTAAAAGCTAAATGGCCTAACCAGGATCAGATATTATTAAGTTTAATAAAGAAATTCATTTAACACATCTTACCTTCTTATAAAAATTAATAGCGCGGTCAAGCTCGCCTACACGAAGCATCACTTGACATAAGGGCTCAGGTGAAGGCCCTCTCTCCAAAAGCTCAAACGTATAGCCATCAGGATCCTCAACAAAAGCAACTATTGTACTGCCACCTTTAGCAGGGCCAGGTTCCCTGGTAACTTTCCCTCCCTTTGCCTTTATCAGTTCCACTGATTTGCTGACCTACATAAAATCGTATAACCTATGTAAGTCCAAAATTTTTGGCATATTAAACATTATGGATAAGACATAAAAATGTTAGAGATAATAATGCTCCGGAATTGCTGAAGAGGATGGATGTTATAGAAAGGAAAAAAACTACATCTATATTAAGAAATAGCAACTTACATCTTCAACATCAATACCAAAATGGCCAAAACCAGTCCCAATGTTGTACTTGTCTACTCCATAATCTATAAGAAAAATACGATCGAATTTCACAATACGAAAGCAACTGAATGGTATTTAAAAAAATACTTGTACTAAACAAAAAAATACGCTTGAAATCATACAGAGTTACATATACAAAAATGACTTACTGTACGTAAGTTCAACAACAAAATTGGAATCTTCTGGCCCATATCCGAGAAAAGCATTTGAATATTGCTCCTCTGGTATGTCACGCCTTCTTAACAGCTTCATCCCCAAACATTCGGTATAGAATCTGCACCTCAAAATGAATAATCAGCTATCTATATATGATGAACAATGCATTGTTGAAGCAGTATGCCTGTTACTAAATAGACACGTACTTTATAGTCTTGTTCAAGTCCCCAACACGATAGACAACATGAAGCATTCTTCGTTTGTCATTTTTTACCCACTCCAAAGCATTTTCCTTGGTGATAGCGGTGCCTGCTTGTGCCAAATTTGCAACTGGGGCAGCCTCTAGTGTGTTTCTCTCTCCTCTTAGCAACTCAGATGCTTTTGCACCTAATAGTTGTGACTGAGGTAGAGCTAGAGAACCACCCCGAATCCACAAGCGCAAGGCATATTAAATCCAAATTATGGGTTCTTTTTAATCAAAAATTAAATTAACTAAACTGAGTGCCTACAAATGTTTGCTAAGGTTCTTCATGTGATTAGAAAGTAGACAACAATAAGGAAAATTGATTAATTTTTGTAAGGTGAAGATCATTCTTTTATGTATAGCAACTTAATTTCAGGTCATGTGTCAAAACTCAAGCCTCCATATAATTTGAATTTTTCATAATTTCCCTATTTACAAAAGCAAAACTGCAAACTTTCAGCCAGAGATAACCAAATTCCCATTGCATTACAAGAAAAATTGAAGCAAAAGAAAACAACCAAATTTCAACTCTTATATATCGTACACTATATTCAACCCAAACTTAGCATAATGCATATACGTTGCACATTTGAGTATAAACTAAAACAACCCAAAAAATCAGTAACTCAAAATAAGAACAAAATGAAACATGGGTTTTTCAAGTTTTGTGTTTCCAAATGGGAACAAAGTGCAAAACAATGATGATAAGGGAGGAATTACCAGAGCCGAGGTGAAAGAGAGCGAGCCTTCGAGATGTACAATATGAAGAAGCAGAATTTCTCACATCACAAAATCTCAAGGAGGGCGGTGGTGGAGCAAGAGAAGGTCTTAAGAGATTCAGGGTAGCCGATAAAGATGACATTTTGGTTATCTTTTCTAGTTTCCACCACACTGCTACTGCAACGTGTGTCCCTCTGTGTTTCGCTCACTCTGAGCTTTTGCTCTCTGTGTTGTTATCCGCAGGTTGATATATGCGTGCGCGGGTAAATGGGCTTCGCATGTAGCATTTGGGCTTTTCATGACCAATTTGTTTTCTGGTACATTCTTATGAGAAAAATAAAATTATTTTTAAATATTTATTCTTACTGACCCACTTTCAAAGTCATCATTATACAACATTAATTCTGAGTTTGGGGGTTAATTAAGAATTATGCAATAACCAACATTAGCCCATTCGCACGCGCTTTCGAGCTTGCGAGATGTTTTTTTTATTTATTTTTATAATAAATAAATTTATTTTAGAATTAAAAAAGATAATGGGTGTCCATAAAAATAGAATCCATTATCTTATTTTTCTTTTAATTTTAATTTTTGTTTAATATGAAAAAATGTGAATTTACTATATTATCCTCATTTAATAAATAATTTCAACTCTTAATGTTTGCATTAACTAAGGGCATTTTTCTAGTATTTTGAATGTTTCACCATTCTCTGTCTTTTATTTTATATATATAGATGATCATCGTAATCGCAAAAAATGAAGATATATCTTTCACTTTCAAGCTCCCATATGTAGGCCTGTTAGTTAGTGATCCATCAATATCATCGAAAAAGAAAATTCAATAAAAAGTTTTTGCAGGCCTGTTAGTTAGTCGAATCAAATTTATGGTTCTAAATAAAGATTAAAAGGTCAATATGCATTGGTTTTGGTAGGCAAAAGAAACAATAATTTTAAGTCCAATTCTCAACCTCATCATGGTTTCCCACGGTACCTGGATATATATCATATTCGTCATGTTCTTGTTGTTGGATCCGTTTTATGGATAAACATTGAGAGATAGGCAGATGATGGGCATGGCATCGATGAACCCTAATAATTCATTACATTATTAGGCATGGTGGGCCCTTTAATTTTGCCATCACCATGCGCTCACTGCACGATTATTGCAAAACTCACACATGGTATATATGGTACGTGCACTTAAAAGAGTTAGGTTGGCAAATGCTTGACATGTTCTCAAAAACCTCAACTATATAATTTATACCCAAAAAGAAACCAAAAACAAAATAGAAAGTTATTACGGTTGAGAGTGCTGTAAATTCCACGTCACGAAATTGAAGTCTCGCTTAACAGTTTAAATGATTTTAAACCCCTCTATTCACCGTTAACTGATTTTAAATTGAATGCTCACAGTAATCGCCTTATTCTTGTGTGTAATTATGGCTTTACATCTCCATTAAAAAAAAAGATTAAAAGTGGAGAGGAAGCAAGCACGTAGTGGATGCCAATAATTGTTGGAGGAGAAGAGTGGATTCATGATGAACTAAGAGACAAAATGTTGAGTTCCATTTGAGTAAACTTTTGGCTTTTGCAACAAAATAATATAATGAAAAAAAGATTGATAAAGACTTTTAGTTCGGTATTCAGATTTTATACCATGAAGACGACTTTTACTTTGGCATTCGGATTTGGACATGGAGAGGCAGCTAAGTCATCATCTTCATCATAACCCAACAAAACAAACATGCTTGCTTTTCTAAAATTAATATTGGATTTTCATATAATAAAATCCTCCTTCAAACGTTTACTTTCGATCAATAATTGAAATTTGTACTATTTAAATACCCATTGGATATAAACTATATATTAAAGAAAAGGAAATGCATTATGCATCTGCCCAATTGAAATTAAAAAAACAAAAACAAAGACGAGGGAAATGCGTATGGACACAAAAGTTGTACACTCAGAGAACAACATTCATTAGAATATGACAATGATCCTTTATGAATCAATCAATCGCAAACTTGCTAGCATGCTCGGCTTTTGTGATGATATGACATGTAATGCTCTCTTTTTTATGGTAATTTATATAAGGTTCGTGTTTCATATATTTTTGAATCTACGGCTTTTAAGTTATTAGAAAATAAACCGACAATGTATCATTTGTTAGTAACATACATCATTTTATACCTTTCGTTTTATGTATTACCTAAAAAAATTTGATTTTGTTTCACAGTTTCCTCTTCGATCTTCATGCCGACCATCAAATCCTGATCATGGATAACGTCTAAAGCACTCAGTAATATTATTGGACCCAACTTGTTATATATATATATATATATATATATATATATTGTCATGTGCTCAGTTAATGCCTGCCCAATTCAAATCCACCATGGCACAGAGTCATACATGGCAAAAGAGCAAATACACCTCAAGTCAAGGGGTTTAGCTGTAAAAGGATATCACAATATCATTGCTTATAAATACCAAACATTGTCATTGTGCTGTAGAAACTGCAAAGCGCAGAGACCCTCAACCTCAAGGCAAGGCTTAGACCACTCGATCATAGGAAACTAGGACAAAATGGCGAAAATAGCCTTGGGAACCACCAGTGAGGCTGCCCTGCCAGAATTATGGAGAGCCCTCGTGGTTGAGTTCATCACCACCTTCCTCTTTGTCTTTGCTGGTGTTGGATCAGCCATGGCTACTGGTAATTCATAATTTTATTTTATTTATTTTCTTTCATTACATTTGTACTGTTTGTCATTAATGTATCTGTCGTTTATATATAATTGGTAGTCCCATTTGTGTATATACGGTAACTTTAACGTACGGTGTTGCGTTTGGTTGGTAGATAAGCTAGAAGCAGATGCATTAGTCTCGTTGTTTGCCATAGCTGTGACACATGCACTAGTTGTAGCCGTCATGATATCCGCCGGCCACATTTCCGGCGGTCACCTTAACCCGGCTGTCACCCTCGGCCTCCTCGTTGGCGGTCACATTACCGTCTTCCGATCCCTACTCTATTGGATCGATCAATTATTAGCAGCCGCCGCAGCTTGTTACCTGCTAGAGTACCTCACTGGTGGATTGGTAAGTCACAAATTATTAATGCGACATTATTTTTCGGAATATCATTTATTTATTTATTTATAAGGTCATGTTATTTGTCATCTAATTTAATTGTTAATGTTTTGGCAGACTACACCAATTCATTCGCTCGCAAGTGGGGTGGGATACTTACAAGGTGTGATATGGGAGATTATTCTCACATTCTCCTTGCTCTTCACAGTCTATGCTACAATTGTGGACCCCAAGAAAGGAGCTCTTAACGGTTTGGGCCCCACACTCACTGGATTTGTGGTGGGGGCCAACATCCTAGCTGGTGGGGCCTTCTCAGGGGCTTCAATGAACCCAGCAAGGTCCTTCGGTCCGGCTTTGGTGAGCTGGAACTGGACTGATCACTGGGTTTACTGGGTTGGGCCCCTCATTGGTGGTGGGCTTGCTGGGTTCATCTATGAAAACTTCTTCATTTTCAGACCAACAACTCATCTCCCCATTCCCACCGAGGAAGAGGCTTTTTGATTCTTGTGGTGTCAAATTAAACTCTACTTTGGCGAAATTCTAATTCTGCGATATTTTTTTTTAAACTTTTGTCGAAAATAAGAATTCGAATACAAGACTTTAAGTGCAGGAGTAACTGCTTGAAATTAGCATTTTGCAGCTTTGTTTGGTATGCCATTTATTGTATATTGGTCCTACAAAATATAACAAAATCCACAATCCAATGCATAGGATATTGACATTTTTATAGTTCAAGGAAATAAAAAGCTTGTGGCTACAAAAATTAAATAAGCTCTCAGGGAGAAATTATTATTTTTATGATACATCTGCTAGAGAAAATTTTACCTTTGAAGCAGCTTCCTCTCAACCCATGAAGGAGACAACACAGGGCTAGTCTCATAATCCCTAACCTTAGTCCTGGAAAAACTCCTCTTCATATAACTGAACCCCATCTTCTCTTCTGGTGACACCTTGACCTTCCAAACCTTAAAACTCTGGTCCAAACTTGCACTATAAACTAGAAACCCCTTCACAACTTTGTCCATCTCCAAACAAGCAGCCAAACACCTCACAGGCCCTCTGTGCCCATTCAGCACAGCCAAACACTCATGGAAACAGCTCCCTTCCTCTCTCCTCCAAACCCTAATGGTTGTATCCTCTGACCCACTAAATATCAACCTCTCCACAGCCACTAGGCAGAGCACTGCAAAATTGTGACCCTGTAAAAACCCACCATGGTTAAATCTATAGGTTATTTTCTCCTTCTCCCAGAAATTAATTGTTCCATCTGAAGAACCAGAGTAAAGGAAACAATTGGAGTTGAATGATGAAGTGCTTAGGGCCAATGCATATATAGGGTAGTTTTGGAAATTCAGAGTCATGATGAGAGTGTGACAGTTTTCACTAAATACCCTTCTCCAAATCTTCACTGACCCATCTGAGGAGCAAGTGAAGACACAGCCATCATCTTGCTTCACCAAAATTGCATTGACATTGTGTTCATGTGCCACAAATGAATCCACACAGTTTTTGGTTAAGACCCTCCAGGCTTTGACTGTTTTGTCATATGAGCCAGTGTATAGCAGGCCTTCTGCATGATAATATGCCAAGCAGGAAACACATTCTTTGTGTTTTTGGGTGTTGGTTTTTGAAAACAAAGAAAACGAGCTTTTTTTGGGGATGGAGGAGACCTTTTTGGACCTGAAATTGTCTGGGACTTTGAAGTTCCATATTCTGATTTTGTGATCCTTGTGTGTGGTGAAAAGAATGTCACCATAAGCCAAAGTGCTTCTTACTTCACCTGAAGTTGCCTTGATGCAACCGTATTCTATGTAGTCCGGCTGCCTCCATACGCGAATTCGGGTGCTCTTGGAGCCGGTGAAGACTAGCCCCTGCTGCCTTGAAATGGCAATGGAGTAGATGATGCCTTCGCGGCGATGCAGCGAGGCAATGCAGTGGTAAAGAAGTGAAGGGGATGGGGTTTGGAGAGGGGAGAGTGTCCATGGGGACTCTGGGCTTGGGGGTGGCAATGGCATTGTGGTGTGGGGGCTGGAAGGCATTGAAGGGCTGCTGCTATCTTCTTGGTCACAGATGATAGCTTCTTCTTGTTGATCAATATTGTTACTTCCCTCCATTGCATTATCTCTCTCTACATATATGAAGCTGGCGAGGGATTTCTTGGGATATTTCAAGTCCAATTCCATGGCTTGAAGGTGTTTAGAAGGAGCTTGTGGGGCTAGCTAGAGATATATAAAGATCAGAAGGGTGATATATGTATTTATGAAGAACATCTTGAAGTAGCTAGGATACATAAATTTCCTATAGATATAGCATGCAATTCAATTCAATATGTTAGGTACGTAGGTTCCATACTTCGGAAGTTTTTTTAGGCCTTTCCTCTTCCAACCCCTCCTTCCTTTAGCCAATGAACATTAATTTGGGTTAGAAGACTTGAGACACAAATATTTAGAGCACCCATATCAACCCATCCATCAAAGCTGCTGGTTCGTTTTGATATATTAATCTCCATACATATAATTTGGTGTAGGGGGAATTATATTGCAGCAATAAACAGATGGAGACATTAACTGAGAGGAGGAGGGGGTAGAGTTGTGATTAATGTGGTGTATTTAATCTCCATCCACAAGTAATAAATCCCCAAACATTACCATAGAGAAAAAGCAAGCTTGTCAATCAAATACAGCAATGGTATATAGGAAGACAATTAATCTTTTCATTTTATTTTTTATTTATAATATTCATTAATACGATATAAAGCAGCTTAACTTGGATCAATGTCACGTCTAGAGTAAAATCTCGAATCCGGTGTGTGACAATCAAACAGTCGAGGATAGTCTAATTTCCAGCTTAAATTGCACAGATGGGAAATCTGGGAAGACAAGCAGCATATATAATGCATAATGCTAAGACTGACGAGGCATTGACACAAAAGTTGCATGAAAGCCATACGGCACCCGCTGTGGCAATGTGAGTTTCGCAATCGGTTCACTTTCAAATTTCTTTGCGTCAATTACATGAACCTGGCAGCAAGGTATATAATTAATAAAGTGATTATAATCTGATCAGCAAGACTAAATAATTTATAATAATATATCAATTGAACATAAAATTAATGTTATTTTTTGTCGATCCAATAAATTTTAGAACTGCTTTTAAAACGGCTAAAAGTGTTTCTCGAAAAAGTGTTTCTTGACTATAAAAGCAATATCTGAATAAGGTGTTTTTTTAAGAATCACTTATAAGTTATTTTTTAAGAAGTATATACTTAAATTTTTTATTTTTTATTTATAAAAATATTGACGTGCTTATGAGCATAATTGCTTCTTCCAAAAGCAGTCCGAAACTTATCATCGCAACTCACTTGGGTGACATCAGTTTCTTCATTGTGGACAAAAGTGACAATCCAACCATCATCTTCCTCCATGCCTTTGCCTCCATGCCTAGCCACAAAAACGCTTCCACTGCAAAAGTTGTTCTCCTCAAACTTATGGTATTCAACTTTTATCAAATCCTCACACTTTCCCTCCTGATACACACATAAACATGAAAACCCAAAAATTTAGTAAATGGTTTTATTTATGTATTTATTTATTTTTGGTGATTAAATTTATTGGTTTTATGTAAAATTAATATTAATCCTTACCACAAATGACGTAGAATTCGATTCCTCCAAATATAATTTGGCTAAAGATCCATATTTTCCCATGCCTAGGACAAACAAAATCTCAAATAATTCAACAAAATAATTCCTAACATAGCACATCATTTTAATTGAGATGAATTTAATCAAAGTTTCCTTTTTTTTTCTTTACCACAGTCAGAGCTTGCCATAGAATCAATGACCTGTGTATAGCCATACTTGTGTTTCAAGCCAGTTACTTGTTCATTGATGAAAGGAAAATCCATGGAGAAATCAGTTCCGGTTAAATTTTTCTCCTCCACATCTCCAGAGACCATGTTCAATCTCCATTCATATAAACGAGAAAACAAATATCCAGTTTCTGCAGAATGATCATCTGCAAAGTTGAACCCTTTTGAGTACCACTCATATTTGTTAAGTCCACCATCAGGACCTGGCAAGAGAGATGTGAGAGCCCTGCATCCCCTCACTACAACCTGTTCTCGTTTGTCACATATTAGTTATGATTTTAAAAAAAGATTATTAGAAAGAAAAACATATTATTAATAATTAATCTATCATCAAATGAAATTACAATTATTAATTACCTCATTAGCCTCCTCAAAGCAATTGAGAATGTGAAATGTGCAATTGGTTTGTACCTCAAACCATTTGACTGACTCTGCATCACCATAACGTGGCATCACTCCAATCCTTGCAGACTCTTCCTTTTCATACTTCAATAATCTATATATTGTACATATACATGAGAATTAATTCATAAGTAATCCATATATATAGATTAGCTGATGCTCAATCCAAACCTACATATCTAAGATTAAGAAATTAAAAATCAAATTAACATAATAAGTTTGCAAATAATCAACGAATTTTTTTATAGGAGACTTGTAACTCAAGTGATTAATAGCAGTTACGAGTCTGGGACTATTTGTATTCTATGTACTTACGGGCCACCCATGGTAACTCTCTTTACATCAAACGTGAGGGGATGATCAATTATTACATTGTACCTGAAGCCAGTAAAACACCAAAAGAGAAGGTTAATCTGATTAATTACTACAAAATCCCTGGATCAAGTAATATTTATTTTTCCTAATAAGTTCATATTTATTTTTATTGTTAATACTTACTTCTGTGTGACTCCTATATCATGGCTAAGCGTACTTCTTTTGAAATTGAGATCAACCTTATGCAGTAATTTTCCATCAGCTGAGGTAATTATTTGCAATAACATAAGGGAAGTTTAATTAACATATAGCCCAACAAAAATAATAAATAAATGGACAAATATAATAAGCAGTTGTTAATCAAATCAATTAGAGGGTTCGTACCAGAGATAACACCCAAAACATAGTAAGGTTTCTTTGCATCTACCCCCATTATGACTAGCTCTCCGGAGTTTGGAGCTTTCTGCACAATTATAAGCACAACCAACCAAGGTTGTATCTCATTTATTGACTATCTTATTGGTCAACTTTCTAATATAAAGGTGAGTCTCACATGTATATGTGCACGTGTGGGTCTTATTTTCACGGACCTCATTTCTATTAGAGAAGTGATCAGTAAATCTAAGTTTGTGAGTTTGTAAGTAAATGTGGTCGAAATAGTAAAAATATTCAAAAGAAAAAAACCTTTGGATGGCTGGTGAAAGGTCGATTCCAAGCTCCATTGACATTCCAGTCAGAAATAGTTTCTAATGTCAAGATGTCCAACTCTTGAGGTAAATAATTCTCTGCAATCGAATAGAACCTTCCTGAATGCTCAAAAACATTGGTGTTGCTCAAGTGTTTATTGATTGTGCCAAACCTCAACTGCAAGAATTATATAAAAATGAAACAAATTAACTAATTATGGATATATATGATAATCAATTAAAGTAAAGCTAGTTCTTATATAAGTTAACCATAGATCATGATATATATATATATATATATATATATATATATATATGACTAGCTAGCTACCGCATTTAGAATATATGCTGCTATAACTGCTGCTGCATCTCCTGCTAGGGCTGGTATGAAACATGGTTTGTTATGTGTTTGTTTCTCTAGCTTAAATGTTTCAGTCTCAACATATCTGTTGCTGTAGGAGATAATCCAACTTCCATTATGATTTTTTTTGAAGTAGAGTGCATGAAGCATGCCTTCTCCCTCTACCCAAGTGTGCTGTGTTTGTCCGAAAATCGACACTGCTGATTTAAACCTCCGAATAAAGGATTTGTGCCTGGATTAGAATTATAAATTACTCATTAGAAAGCAATTAAACAAGCAAAAATCAGTTAATATATTTAATATTACATATGTAACATAGAACAATGAGAGGTCGCATACCATTTCTTACAAAAACACCTTCAGCAAAATCAGCGGGAATTTCTCCTTCGGTCCAGATAACCTCAACAAGGTCTCCAATCTCTTCCACTGGTGCAAAGTTTTTCTGTAACCACGTGCACATGATAAAGCTTAATTATATATATATATTCTTGTACAAACTATGAATTTGAGCCATCAATTAGGCTAGTTATCACTTAAACACACACACGGGTAATATGAGGACTTGAAACCAGGACTACTGGGAGCACACAAATGACATGGTCCAATCCAACTGACATCTCATTAGTGAGATCCCGTTATAGTTAAGGAATTAAGATCATACTCTTGATGAGATCCTATTGGTAAAATGATTATTAAATTAGCAAGGCTGCAAGAGCAAGCAAAAAATTTAGGGTTTAATATATAGTAGTACATTATTGTTGGAGTACCACAGATACAACCTGAGATGGGAGCAACGGTTGATCTACAAACTGGAAAATAGAGTCCACAAGTGCATCTAACATCTTCCCAGAAGTGTTTTTCATGGTTTTAGAAACATCGACCTTCCTTGGAAGCAATTGCTGCAACTCTTTGAATAGAGGCTACAGTGATCCAAGCATGTGTAAATCAAAGTTCAAACCACATAAAGCAATACATTGTGGAAATGAAATTCAAAATAATCATATATATATATATATATATACCTTAACAGACGAGGAAAGTGAGGTTTTGAGATGATTTAAGCCGTGGAAGATGAAAGGGTTTTGGAAAGACCCGTGTACTTGTAAATTAGCATAAGAAGAGAATGCCATTTTTTTCCTTTTGCTATGATCTCGTAATGCAGAACCTGAGGCCATATAAATAAACAGGCAAGTGCATGTGGTAGCTAAAGTGGTTCTTTCCCTCTAAGTAGTCTTTTGTCGTCACGTGAAACACATACGAAATAATTCATTAAAAGTACAAAAATATATATATAAATATGTGTCAAATTGTAATTTGTTTGAACGGAGGAATCACTCTTACTCTTACAAAGAAGAACTTAGGCATTTTCCTTTAATAATATATACGACGTATGATAGATGACATCACAGTCTTCAAACATTTGAGGATCAGTCAATAGACATGAGCCTCTCTCTCTCTCTCTCTCTCTCTCTCTATATATATATATATATATATATATATGAGATTATTTTAAGTCCAATTTGCGTGTGATGCCCAAGGCCTGTGGAGTGACGACGTAAACCAAGCCAACTCCTAAGAAGGGCATCAAGCAGTTGCAATATTCCTTGCATAATTTGATTGGATGGTATGGCACCTCCCTCACAAAAGTACAAAAAAATAAGAAGAAAACCTCCCGCAGAAATAAGAAAAGAATTAAACTTAATGCCACATGCATGTTTTAAGCATTCTTATATATATATATATATATATCCAGCCAAAGGTATCAAATCATGTTTCCTATGAATCTTATGTCGGATAACTAATTGCATAAGAGACTACGCCTTGACGAATATGAATGGATTCCTTGACTGAGACCATAGTTTTTTTTTATTTTTATACGATCAATATTGAGAGGATAGAATCAAACCTAAAACTCTCGAGTACATAGGTAAATCATTTCAACTACAAATCTCTTGCAACTGAAATTGTCAGAATATATATTTTTTCAAATGAACCCACATGCGTACATATATATATTTTGAGGTTTCAATTCTTATCGAGAAAAGAGAATCAAAACAAGTTGGTACGGGTCAATTTAGAATACAAAAAGTTTTTTCATTTTCGTCTGTATGTGGGGTGGGTTTGGAGATGATTTACAATAATACGAGAGACATTAACCCTATCACATTGAGTGTCACCTCCTGAGGTGGGTGGATGCTACTTCTATTAGTGGACCCTAGTTTTATTAGAGATGTATGACATGTTTGAGACTGTATTTATAAGAAGTATTTCTGCTCATGAACGTTTTTGTTAGAAGCGCTTACAAGTTACAAGTACTTGGAATTTTGGTTAAAAATCCAAGTGCTTTACAAGCACCTGGAAGTGCTTCTTGAAAAAGCACATGCTAGGCGCTTCTCCAGAAAGTACTTTTATATGACCTATAAGCATTTTCAGATTTTTTTGCCAAACGCAATCAAAAGCGTTTTTAATTGTCAAAAAGCATTTTTATGCTTTTATCCAAATCAATTCCAAACAAGCTCGTAGTATAATAATATGATTTGTAAAATAAAAAAATAGGAGAGTACGTAATTGTGATAATTTTTTGTGTATTCTTCTTTTTGTAGGAGGCAGATATATATAGTACATCATGCCTTGGAGTCCAAGTAACCTTAAAAGCCAAGTAAGACAATTACTTCTAATTCTATTTACAATAGAAAATCAGAAATAAAAAGAAAAATGATTACAATCAAACAATACGGGAAACGTGAACTCACACCAACATGATTTCTCTAGCATTACTTTTTTTTTCATACATATATATATGCTAAGATTGACTAGGCATTGATACAAACGTTCCATGAAAACCATATGGCACCCGCTGTGGCAATGTGAGTTTAGCAATCGCTTCACTTCCAAACCTACTTGCATCAATAACATGAACCTGGCAGCAAGAAAGTAATGAAAGTGTTTATAATTAATTAAGGTGAGCAAAACAAAATTAAGGCTATTTTTTTCTTTCTTTTTTATTCAATCCAATCAATTCTGGAGAGAATGGCATCAGAACTCACTTGGGTCACATCAGTTTCTTCATTGTGGACAAAAGTGACAATCCAACCATCATCTTCCTCCATCCCTTTGCCTCCATGCCTAGCCACAAAAACGCTTCCATTACAGAAGTTGTTCTCCTCGAACTTGTGATATTCAACCTTTATCAACTCCTCACACTTTCCCTCCTGATAATATTATAAATTCACACATAATATAAATACGCAACACCAAAAAGCTAGGGCCTTTCAACCAAACAAGAAAAGGAAAAGATACAACTGTTGGGTTGGTTTTCACCAAGACAAATTTCAAGAAGAAACAAAGATTGAACGAAACATGAACTCATTACCTCAGATGTCGTAGCATACGATTCCTCCAAATATAATTTGGCTAGAGATCCAAATTTTCCCATGCCTAATACAAAGAAGATATCAAGTAATGTTGACAATAGGGTACATTATCTTAATTGATCAGAATCAAAGTTTAAATTTTATTTACCACATGTAGAGCTTGCCTTGGAGTCGACGACTTGGGTGTAGCCATACTTATGTTTTAAACCAGTTACTTGGTCATTGATGAAAGGGAATTCCATGGAAAATTCAGTTCCAGTTAAATTTTTCTCCTCAACTTCCCCAGATACCATGTTCAGTCTCCATTCATATACACGAGAAAAGAAATATCCAGGCTCTGCAAAAATATCATCAGCAGAAGAGACGTCTTTGGTATGGTGTGCAAAATTGAACCCCTTGGAGAACCACTCGAATTGGTTGTTGAAACCAACATCATCATCAGGACCTGGTATGAGGGATGTGAGAGCCCTACATCCCCTCACCACAACCTGTTCTCGTTTGTCATCAGACATTAAATATAAGGATTAATTAGAATAACAATATTAATTAGTAATTATAATTGAACTAAAGGTTGATCTGATGATGCTTAATTATTACCTCATCGCCCTCCTCAAAGCAATTGAGAATGTGGAATGTGCAACTGGTTTGTACCTCAAACCATTTGACAGACTCTGCATCACCATAACGGGGCATCACTCCGATCCTCGCAAACCCTTCCTTTTCATACTTCATTAATCTAGCCACCACACATGTACCACGAGCATTAGCTTAAGAGCTATAGCTACTTGACAACAATTAATAAGATTAATTGTTAAAGAACTACGTGTATATAAGGGGTTTATAGCTCAAATAGTTAAGATTTTAAAAAAACATTCGCCCATGCCCTCGAATTATTGCGTATAATATATACTTACTGGCCACCCATGGCGAGTCTCTGTATATCCACTGTAAGGGGGTGATCAATGATTACATTGTACCTGATGCCACCAAAACATCCCCATTACAGAAATGATTACAATGTAGATAAGAATTACCCATTTATACACTTACTTCTGTGTGACTCCTATATCATGGCTGAGGACACTTCTTTTGAATTTGAGATCAGCCTTATGCAGTTTTTTTCCATCAGCTGAAATAATAATAATTATTATCATGATGTTTATAAAATTCTCCAGCATAAATAACACAATGTAGTTATTTTAAATCGAACCGAGTACCAGAGATAACCCCCAGAACGTAGTAAGGTTTTTTAGCATCCGTCCCCATTATGACTAGCTCTCCGGAACTTGGAGCTTTCTGCAAAATATCCAAAAGCATGACAAAACCAAAATTTATAATTATTGGAGGCAAAATATTATATAAGAAAAAATAGGAGAAATTAAAATATAAAATAAAATAAAATAAAAAAACCTTTGGGTGGCCAGTGAAAGGTCGATCCCAAGCACCATTGACATCCCAATCAGAAAGAGTCTCTAAAGTTGAGATGTCCACCTCTTGAGGCAAGTAATTCTCTGTAACAGAGTAGACCCTCCCTGAATGCTCAAAAACATTGGTGTTGCTAAAGTATTTATTCACTGCGCCAAATCTCAGCTGCCGCATCATACAAGAAACAAAATTATATATATAATTGTTCTATATAGCTGCATATGATATAATTTTTTTTATACAACCGATAATCTACTCTAAATTAATCTAATTTATGAGAAGGGGGATTCAAACTTGAGTGCAAGGGCGGGCTCACTGTCCTGGCCAACTTGGCGTAACCCACGACTGCTGATATAATTAAATTATAGTTATAAACCATCCCTAGTGCTTTCTTGCCAATCGTCCAGATTCACAATACAACATAGAAGTATGGCAAGAAGTACATTTTCCTTTAAACATATGAGTTTCCACAAACTTAAAAATTATATATACATAAAGTTGACAAGACTAGTACCCAATTTAGAAGAAGTGCCGCTAAAACTGCTGAAGCATCTCCTTGTAGGACTGGCAAGAAACATGGTTTGTTATGTATGTGTTTCTCTAGCTTAAATGTTTCAGTCTCAACGTATCTGTTCTTGTAGGAGATAATCCAACTTCCATTTTGGTCTTTCTTAAAGTATACTGCATGAAGCATTCCTTCTCCGTCTACCCAACTGTGGTGTGATTGTCCAAAAATGGAAACTGCTGATTTCAGACCTCCAAATAATGGATTGTTACCTGCAAGATTATTATTGAAAATAAAAGCCATTATTAACTAAGCCAAACTTAATTAATGTTGATCTTACCTAAAAATAAATATTGGGATGTGTTCCCCACTCTGTACCTAGGTTCGAATCCCCCTTCCCATAATTAGAATAGAATATCGCTTCTATCAAAAAATATGTATAATAACAAATTAATAATATTGGGATGAGGAAGTCACACATATTATATACCGTTTCTTATGTAAACACCCTCAGCAAAATCAGGGGGGATTTCTCCTTCAGTGCAGTTGATCTCAACAAGGCTGCCAATCTCTTCAACTGGAGCAAAGTTTTTCTGTAAGCACAGGATGTAATTAAGCTTATACATATGTAACAAAAGATTTTAACTAGAACAAATTGAAGTATGCATATCTGGTGGTAGAGCTAAGTTTGAGTAAGACATTGCTGAACTGGAAAGTACCTGTGAAGGGAGCAATGGTTGATCCACAAATTTGAACATGGAGTTGACAAGTGCATCTAAGATTTTCCCAGAAGTGTTTTTCATGGTTTCAGAGACATTATTCACCTTCTTGATTGGAAGTTGCTGCAACTCTTTGAATAGAGGCTGTCGTCAAAACATGTCAAATCAAGTTCAGAAAAGGTTACGAGTGCGCAACTAATGACAAACAAATCATATATATATATATATATATATATGCTTCTGTGTGAAACAAAAATGGATGAATGAAATACCTTAGCAGCTGAGGAAAGTGAGGTTTTCAGGTGATTAAAACTCTCAGAGATGAAATGGGTCTGAAAAGATCCATTTACTTGTAAAGCACAAGAGGGGACTGCCAGTAATTGTTGCATCTTGCATCAAATGCGCTAACCCTTCATTTGGGTATACATATACTGGTTCAATATTAAACAATCCATTGTGGGCCCTTGTGCTAACCATTTCAAAAGAGGACACTTGCCGACGAGTGCATTGGATACACAAATTAATGGAATATTTGAGTAGGCATCATTACGTTTTGGCTTTCTCGATGGAGTCATTTTGTGTTGCACAACTACTTTGTAAATAGAGACAGAGAGTTGTCTCTATTTGTTTTTCTTCTTTAGTGATAGACACTTGTATCCTCTATTTAATTATAGTGAATTACTCCGTGGTCTTTAAACTAGACATAGACTTATAAAACCGAATTAATATACATTTCGGTGTTCGTGTTGGCTGTTATTTGTTCCTTTTATCTTATTATCTTATGTTTGTTGTTATTTGTTTTCACTCACAGTGTTGCAAATATTGATTGAACTTCCGCACAACATATATATGTACGTGTACATGGTTAAATTTGTAGTATGTTAACAATGCTTGTCTTGAAACAAAAGATGAATTTAAGACAGACAACTTTCAGTTGTGGATGCTTTAGGCTTTGTGAGATTATCAAACGGGCAATTTGACCACCGACGCAAAAGGACATAGACCAACTTGACTGCCTTCGAATGAAACAAAAAAGGTATCAAAATAAGTTGGTAGGCGTCAGTTTATGATACAAAAAGTCTTTCCATTTTCGTCTGTATTTGGTTTGGGAATCGTTCACATGAAGAATAGTACGAGAGAGAGACACCAATTATTATTCAAGTTTTTGTAATCAAAACTACCCACTAATAATAAATAAATAATGTTTGAAGTGAGACCCAAATATAAGTGATGGATTGGAATATTTATAATTCAATCTATATTGAATAAGATGCAAATTTATTAAATTTATTAGTTTCGAACCGACGAACACCTTCAATTTAGAATACTAACGCTAACATTTTAAGCCACGAATGGACAAAAGGCTTATCCAAAAACTTGTTTGTGTGAAATGGTTCAAGAAAGAGTTCAAGAGAAGTTATAGAATGAGTAATGAATTAAGCATAAAAAAAAAATAGTAAATTTGGCTTACACCCTTCAAATTCAATTTGCCTTACCTAAAACCCTTCACTTTTTGTTCCTATAAATAATACCCAATTTGTATAAGTAAAAACCCATGACTAGGATCCAACTCAGCAAGTTACCTAATTAAGCATAAAATCTGATTTATTGTACTTTTCAGATTCCAAAATACCCCCAACTAAGCCATTATTGCATTTTGTATATTAATGTAGGAATCAATATGGAAACAGTTTTTAATTGGATTGTATATAATGACAGATATTGAATTTGGAAAGATCTCTAAATGGTTATAATGGATGTAGGAATTAATTTTGGAACATTTTTTAAAAAATTTAACAATAAATTCAAATTTAGGTAATCGGTTTGTTTAATAAAATGTTTATGTTATTTTCTTTTTATGAATTATACATGACTAATAATCCACTTTATAATTGTTTATGAATAAAACTGTACATACTAATTATGTTGAAAAAATAATGTAACTATTACTTGTTTGTTTTATGAAAAACATAATTTACCTAGTATGAAAAGTGTACATAATTATCTATTCCAAATAATGTACCTATGCACATTTACAGGTATATTGTAAAATAATTTACTTGTGGGTAAATAATGTACCTATATTTTATATAAATTATTGTGTACCTATTTTTAATTATGAAAAATATACGCAATTACAAAGTAACTGATTTTTTTTTTTTTTTTTTTTTTTTTTTTGTAGATAAATATATATTTATATATATATATTATATATATATATTTATATTATATTTACATTATTGGATATGTAATTTACAGATTTTTTTTTGTTTGTAATTTTAGGGGGCGAGATGTGAGAGGGAATGACAACTAAAAGAAATGGGGTGATTGATAAGTTATTAATAGGGAGTATATTAATTACAATTATGGCAGTTAATGAAATGCTTGAAATAAATTATAAATAAAATATGAAGTTTAGTGGCAATGATGTAAAAACATAGAAATACTACGACTTCTTATATCCTATTAGTCATTTAAATTTGAAATTGGGTTTTACACATAGATTTATAGAGTAATGGGTATATGTCTAGGAAATAGAAAATGTAGGGATCTATATTGGATAAGCCCAAAAAAAAAAATATATATATACAATTAAAAAGAAAAACTCTGATACTGATAGGAACCACTGGAAATTAATTAACTAACCTGAGATGGAAGCAATGGTTGACATGGAGATTTCTTAATTTATCTCTTGGATCTTAATGCTTGTCTTCAAACATAAGATCCATAGCTACCTTTCATTTAGGAGACAGTGTTAAGGAAGTCATGCACACGTGTACACCACATATATGCATGCCTTTAAAGGTTATATTGTCTGTATATACGTGGGCTGGGATGATTGATTGGGTTTAATTTAGCTTCTAATTGGATTACCTACCCATAATGAACATTTTGCTTTGTTTCTTTCGAAAAAGAAAAGGGGGCCAAAAAAAAACATCAAGAGAAGGATTTGAGACGCAGACACCCACGTAGGAGTCCAATTGCTTCATATAGCCCCATCTTTTTCTACGTTCTTTTTCGCTCATTAAATTACAAGCTATTTTTCATGACGAACAGAACTTCTACAAGAAAAAAACTTGGCTCTCTAAAATTGTGGAGTTCCTTCTCACAACAAATAGAGTTTTGATACATGTCAAATTTTTTGAACTTTATTTTCTTTTGGAATTTTACAAGTGTCAAAAAATTTCATCATGATGATGTGATTACTAGATTAATTAGGCATATTATTGTTATGACATTGGCATGAAAGCTCCATGAAATCCATATGGAACTCTGCATGGCAATGTGATTCTAGCAACAGGTTCATCGGAAAACTTCTTGGTGTCGATCACGTAAACCTGCAAGAAAAGGATCGATGGACTAATTAATATTATAAACGTGCACCAATCTAAAGAACAAATTAATGAACATCTCAAACTAAGACTTGTAATATTATTATAAATGGATCGACTAAATTACTTGAGATATGTTAGTATCTTCATTGTGAACAAAAGTGATGGCCCATCCATCATCTTCTTCAAGGCCTCCTTGTTTAGGGACAAAAGCAGCTCCACTGCAGAAGCTCTTCTCCTCGAACATGTGGCTTTCCACCTCTAATTGGCTTTCATTTCTCTAGTAATAATTCATGCAAGGAAAAAATAAATATGTATACATAAAAATGAAGAAGAAAAATGATAAAGAAAGAATGTAGATGGCCTATTTATTTACCGAAGAAACATCAGCTGGCTCTTCAAAATGTAGCTTGGCTAGACCACCATATTTGAGCATGCCTGAAATGCACATAGCCATAGATCATAACAATTAATGGTATGATATAAGAGTAATTAGTGAGTGATTCTATTCTTTTTTCGGGAAAGATTATCGATAATTACCTGAGGTAGAGCTTGCAATTGAGTCAACTACTTGGGTGTAGCCATATCTATTTTTAACACCTGAAAAAGCTCCATTGATCATGGGAAAATCCATGGAAAACTCTTTTCCAGTGAGAAATCTCTCCCTGACTTTTCCAGTGTTCATGTTTAATCTCCATTCATGTTTAAAAAGCTCCATTGATAATGGTCCTGCATAATTAATTGCAGTAACATGAACGTGGTGCAAATTAGTAACACTTTCTTATCAACTGCATGCTTTTTCCGAAGTTTTGGACCATTTCTTGCACAAAAAGAAAACATCATCCACACACAAAAATAGGAACAATTGGGGTTACCGACTTATTAAGCTACCAAGTTGTTTTTTAGTGGTGGAGTGGATTTAGCAGATGAGATTCCTGTCTGATTTCATCAATCATATTGTTTAACTAGTAGGGTTCCCTCTTTTGGCAAAAATCCAATTCTGACCGCCTTGTGGATTCATAATTGCTCAAATGAGTATAAGTCCAAATAAAAAACAATATTTAAAATAAATAAAAAACCCATATGAGAAGTTTGACAACTGTTGGATTATTTAGGATAAGAATTTTGTCCGCCAAGCAAGCTTTCTCTGTATTAAATTATTAATTTCTGATTGGCAAGCTCATGGATCTTGAGTCTTGAAAATTTGAAGCTGATGAAGATATGATACACGATACACAAGTCTTAAAATGTAAGCAAGCGTCAAATATTAAGTCGACGGCAGAATTTCCTTGCCTTAAAATATCCACAACAAACATAGTAGATGTTCGATATATTTGTCATCGCGAATGAGTTTCTTGCGTTAATTTTCTTCAAGAAGAGGAACAAAGAATGATTTGGATATATCTGTTGTCTGATTATGATCTTACAATAAAATATTGCATGGATCTGACAGCCTTAACTAATAATATATGAGAGCTAAAATTAATATTGTGTTAAGTACTGACCATTTCTTACGTAGACACCCTCTGGAAAATCATCTGGGATTTTCCCTCTGATGCTGCTGGTGAAACAACTTCTCCTCCCAACTCGTCTACCGGGCCAAAGTTGCTCTGCAATGAAAAACACATAGCTAACAGATGATTTGTAATAGGTGGGAGGGTGGTGGTACCTGAAAGTAGGCTTACCTGAGATGGAAGCAGGGATTGATCGACGAATTCAAACATCGAATCAACCAAGAAGTCCAACACTTTTGTTGAAGTGTTCTTGAAAGTTTTGGAGACATCTATCTGCATGGGAAGTACTTGTTCCACTTTTCTCATCAACAATGGCTGCAGTTGTAATTAACAAGCACATTGATCAAGTCATGTATAAGATGCATTTGAATGATTTCAAGTACTAAAGCTACTCACCATGAAAGCTGAGGAGGAGAGGGTGGTCTTGAAGTATTCAAGATTATCAGAGACAGAGGGCTTCTTCTGAAGAGCAAAGGACTTCAGTTGAATTGACATACATGAAGATGCCATATATATATATATATATATATATATATATATCTCTCTCTCTCTCTCTCTCTGCGTCCTGTATCTCTCAGAACCAAGGCTCACAAAACTATATATAAATATACCACAAAGTGTCTTCAGTTTGGTCTCATTAGCAAACACATACAATACAAACACCTTTAGTTTGGCCTCAAGACAAATGCTAGAAGCTCAAAATGATTTTATTAAACCCAACCACCTCACCTCCCCTAGCCAAAATAAAATTCGGGATAAATATTTCAAACAAAATTATAAATAAAAAATTGTTTCCACAAGCAATTTGTGTGAGCTCTGTTTGAAAGATATGGCACTTATATTCAGACAATTTTGTCAACGAATATAAATAATACAACTTGTGACATAATACAACTTGCATCCATTATTTTACAACTGGAAGGTGTTAGAACCTAAGGGCTTAGCAGAAGCTACAAAACAACACCAGTCTTCATCAACAGCACACCAATCTTAATCAGCTTCCACGCATAATATTGTAAGGATTATTGGAGATTAAGCTCTATGTTAGCATTATATTAAGTAAAATATGTGAAAAGATGAAGATCCGATTGATGTCAAAGGCATCTTTCCTTGTCAAATGCTTCTGGATTAGTGGTTGAAAAGCTTGGAATATGCTGTACAAATAAAGCATATTTGGTGGGTTCATTTCTATCTCGGACAAAATTATCCGGAAGTGGCAAACAAAGCCATGTAAATGCCGTACAAACTTACTTATCCAGCGGCCTTTTGTTCTGCTTTACTGCTTTTCACAAAGTAATTCCCGCTGTATGAGCTCTGTTTAACTTACTTATCCAACGGCCTTTTGCTCTGCTTAACTTACCTATCCAGCGGCCTTTTGTTCAGAGTCAATTTTTTATAATCTTAACTCAAAACTAACGAGAACAAAAGGGGGAATATAATTTACCAACAATCGGGACTACATTGAAAATTACTGTATGACATTGTCTGGAGGTTCTTCTAATACAATTGTCAGGAGATTATAACCGAAAATCTTGTCAACCAGGCTACTAAATTTAGCGGGGTTTTCATTTTATAAGATATTACAAGAAGTCTTCCATATAGGGTTTCCATGATCATCACGTACAGCTCTCAAATCTAGCTATAGAGACTGGTTACTGTCAGTAACATGTGAAATCACCCGGCTTTAGATGAATCAATTGGAAGCTGTGGTTGCAAGCTCTTCCTGAGAAAAACAGACATCTTTGAAGTGGCAGCACGCCCTCGTTCTAAACAGTGAAGATAGTCGTCCACTAGAGTAATATAGACAAGACCCAAATTAGATCAAGTATCAGAACTGTTACAAACAAACCTATTGCATAAGGTCTCTCCAAAACAAACATTTACATGATTGCACATTGTATAGCCTAAATGCCCAATATGCCTCCAACGGATCAAACTAGGAAAAGTCCAATATCAACGGAGGGAAATGGATAAATGAAGAGTGGGGAATACCTGACATTGCACCCTGGGTAACAGAGGTGATGATCCCATGCTCCATGGGTTCACCTCCAACCTGTAATTGTTCTTCTGGAAGGATTGAAAGAACTGAGTTTGGAAAGACCAAATATGCAAACGCCTTCATTTTCTGTCATTACAAATTCAAACATCTTAAGGATGGAGATTTATGAATTGTCAAATACTACAACTCGGTCTTGGCTTTGTTTTTTTATTATAATTGAACTGCAATTAGATGTTTGTCAGAGTAAAATAAATTATAAGAAAAAAAGTAAAACCTGCTCTTCCAGCTTGCTAGGGTCCAATATGACGTATCCACTCTCTGCGAGGCAACAACAAATGGCAACTGCAAACACCAGCATAATAAAGTCAACACTCATTCATCAAATGAAGAAAATAAGACTAAAACATAGGTCACATTTACCAGCAAGATGCTTTAGAGGAATCCCGGCATCAACAAGGGCAGCACATGCGGCATTTATGGCACATGGCAGAAGCTATAGAAGTAGTTGTCAAGGCACTTCTACATATATCAACATGTAATAATTTTTTTTTTTTATATGTGCCAAAATTGAGCAAAATCTTTATATCTCAAGGTGATAATTCACCACAGAAAGAATGCTGATTGAGTGTGCAGTATGGAACTTTACTTAATAAATATGCCATGTGAATCTAAAGGAAATGAATGTAATCCATGGGGCATCTTAAAAACCCTTATGCTGGAGGAATTGAGAATCCTGAGCTTTGAAATAAAACACTAGCCCAGTTTTGTCAGTTAACTTTTTAAACCCCAGAAGCTGTCTTAATGTCATCTATATAGGATCATCGAGAGACAAGTTTTTTCTTTCGGTGAACAAACAAAGACAATCAAAGAATAAACTTGCAATATGGAAGTTCAATGAATGTCAGAACGGAGCTTCAATAAACCTATTAAAACTGCTAAAATTCCAATGTGTAAAATGCATAACCTTGAAGGATACAGCACCATCATCATTGACAACCTGCAGCAGAAACATAAGGTTCTTTAGGTAAGGATGATTACTTGGCCAAAGTTGTAAACTAGTTTATTTATTTATAAAGGAAGGAAATTGAAGAAAGCATTTGGCGACTTAGTTACCAAGTATATAAAAAAGTAAATTTACGTACACTAAGATATACAAGACATGGGAGCTTAATTACTAGATGGACATAACTTTAAACAAAATCAGCATTTAGAAAACGGATTCAACACAAATTATACTGATCTTACCTACCAGGTAACATACATTCAATTACCTAATTTCCATCCTTCATCACTTTCCAAATCATAGTGCGTAATATTCATGAAATTTTACCTACCTACGTAGCAAAGGCTTTTCCATGCACAGGCTTAAAAAGCCAAAATAAAGTTAACACTTCTTGGCAACTTTGACCTACCTATAATAACATATTCACAATTTACTTATCACCGTTAGCCCTCTAAAACTCATAAACTTCAAAAACGAACATATCCTTAAAGTGATCCTATACTACATATATGTATCGTAAAAGGCATCAAGGCTACATGTAATGCATTACAGTCATTTTAAGCAGCCTACACAATGCCTAAACTGAGACATAAAGTTTTTCAAGTAAGTAAAACCACCTCACCTGAATAATAACTGAGGTTGTGGTATTTGGATTGAGAGTCAGTATGCAGATGCTTTGCAATGTCCTCTTCAGTATCATCTCATATTCCCTTTCCAGTTTTCCTATATCAAGCAGACATCTGTTTAAATTTAGACGGAACTAGCAGAATTCGTGTCACTCAACAAACAGAGTATACAGTCTCTGACCCATATGGCTTCAAAGAATCCGCTTAGCTTTTGTTCATAGAATTGACATAAAACATTGAGAGAGCGAGAGAGGAAGAAGCAAGCATAAATATATTTGCAAAAACCCACCACTCTGGCCTGTTTTTGGCTTCCAAATAATCTCAATGCAAGCTTTTTCAGGGTTTTCATTCTTCTTTGTTCCTGCTTTAGGTCCATAAACCGCAACAAGAACTTTGGTATCTCCTATAAAAACGAACAAAACAAATCTAAACATAAATAAATATATATATAACAATACCCACATGAGAAAATGTGATTAGTTAACGCAAAATGAAAATGAAAACAGAGGTATAGCAATTACAAATACAGAAGTGCGGTGTCAATATAATCCAAAAGAACACCAACCCATTGAAGAAGACAAACTAAAATACAGAGCACAATGCCCAGAGTGATACAAGGGGTGATGAAGTAGAAACCTTGACACCAGCTGGCGGAGCCATGAGCACGGTTGAGGACGTTGCGAGAACAAGCCAATGGCCTCAACTGGTTCGGTGTACGACCATCGAGTCTATCTATCTCCATTGTCTTCCACTGTAAAAATCACAAAATTGATTCTTTCGATAGACGAAACAGCTCCAAAACTGCTAGCTATGTGAAAAATTGTAGCCGAAGAAGAAGAAGGGGAAAGGCAAAAACTGGACTTTTCGGTTAATTTGGGTTTTGGGGTTAGGGGTTTTTTTTTGGGGTTAGGGTTTTAGGTGAGGTTTTACTTCTTTTCTTTTTTAATATTTTTAACTTGCTCCGCTATATAATATTTTTTCCTCTTACTCGGAGAAGAAAAATAATTGTTGAATAGAATATCGTCACTTGTTAAAATGCATCATTAAAAAAAATGAATTTTCTTAAATTCCACTTAATATATTGGGCTTTCCACAAATAGGAATTTTATCTTAGTTAAAATATTTTATTTAAACTTAAATATCAGAAATAATTACTTTTCTCTTTTATGATATGTTCACCTATTTTCGTTTCAACTTTCAACTTTGAATATAAAACGATAGTATAAACTGTAAAGGGGGTTTCTCATACACACACGACCAATATGATATGGGATTTCGGACTTGAGACTGCTGGTATGCAAGTAAAGATTCTTTTTCATTGGGCTTTTATCTTTGGGCTGGATTTGTTTTTTTTTTTGGACATTAGGCCCTTTAGCATCCGAAAAACCAAAAAGTTGTAATCCTTCTTATCCAATTTATTACTTTTTCTATACTCAAGCATAAAGGAAGGAATTAGCTTCACTTCTGTTATGAACAATGTAATTGAATTATTTGTCCCCAAAAAATATATTGAATTAAACATTTTTTTGGGTCAAGTCTATTGAATTAAACTATTTCTAATTAAAAGTGGACCTGAAACGCTCCAGTTGCATGGATGATGACATGCGTACGTTACACGTGGCATGACAAGGCCGTAACATGTGAAGGTCTCTGTAAATCCTGCGGTGATGGCATCAAGAATCACATGCCCCAAACGAAGGAAAAGGAAGTGATTAATGGCCCAGAAAGGACAAAGGCGGTAATCAAATGCTCAATCAAAGGCCCACGGCACACTGGTCCCACCGCATTATTTGGGAATCCAAATTACATCAATCACCCCACCACCCAAAACACAAGCCAAGAAAATAATAAAAGAATGTTTTGGGTCTACCCCCATTTATGGAGCGTGTAACTCACTTTCTTTTTAGGGTTCTAACTCACCCTTTCTTAAATCACATATGAATGAATCCATGTTCACTATGAATATATAAGGAAACTATTTAATATTTTTAATTATAATAATTTTCAATTGGCAACGAGAAAAATTCTTAGATTTTGTTGTCTTTGTGCCCATTTTTAATTAAATTCGAAACTTCATTTTTCATTAAATATATTTATATAAATTAAAAAACAACTAGCTTCTCTACATGCACTTCAGCATCTGCAGGAGGATTTTTTTTTCTTTTTTTTTTAAATTTTAAATTTATAAAAAAATTTAAATTTATTTTAGAATTAAAAAAGATAATGGGTAGTTGTGTTCCATAAAAATAAGATTCATTATCTGATTTTTTTTATAAAAAAAAATTAATATGAAAAAGTGTGAATTTACCATATTATCCTCATCCTATAGTATTATTCTCCCAACATCAAGAATCTCTTCCTTTTCTCTTTTTCATAAAGAAAATTAAAGAGTTTTTTTTTTTTGGTTGCCCTTATACAACATGCATACTCACATATCTATATAAAACAATATTGGTTTATATTCACATATATTTTTTTTTTCAGATATCAAATTCAAAGATGAGATGCAAGTAGTCAAATATTTTTCTTGATTTTTTATAATCATTCTAGGTTTTCATTTAATTCATTGAAGCTTTTATTAAAAGACATAAAGAGCTGCATCTTGGCTTATTAAATTAAACCTATCTAATCTTATGGTTTTATATATATATATATATATATATTTATTTATTTATTTTCTTCCAATAACTCCATTCAGCTGTTTGCTTGCCTTGTCTTTATTCCAATAACTGCTTGCAACATTCAAAAGTGGAAGAAAATTGTATTTTTGTATTTGTACTTATTGGGATTTTTTTTTTCAATCTTCTTGGAAATTAGTTGAATATTAAATTAATAATTAGCCCTGGACTACAATTATTAACAAATAAAAAATATAATTAGTTTAAGCTTTTAGTTGCTTTCACTCATCTACCAGATTTTAATATTGAATTTAAAATCAAAATAAGAAAAGAAAAACAGTTAATAAAGATTTTATTTTATTTTAGCCATAAAATTATGCAAAGCTCAAAGGGTCAAGTTTTTATTTTTTATGTCTGAAAAACAAAGGGTCAAGCTTTACCTACTGGAGAAACGCTGGGAACCAATCGATCAGACAAAAGTCGCCACCAACTGCTGAAAACTCGCGTGGACTAAACTATTCTCTCATTTTATGTTCGTGTGTAGTTGGACCAAAACCCATTTTCCAGACAAGGATTAGAGTTGGCAAATTTGTGAAGACAAGTCATGGAAGCTTACCACGTCTCCTCGGTAAGGCCAAAACCAGTATAACAGCAGAAGACCGTAGAAGCTCTGCACCTTCTCTCTCATACCAAGGTACTTTTCCTTAAACCCAACAAGGTACTCTGTTTCCTTTTCCTGTCCTTGAAGAGAAAATAACTGTTTGGTTGCTGAGAAAGTGTGGGGGAATGAAAGGAAAAATGAACAAGCTTTGGAATATACATATAGTGTTAGAACCGACACTTCCATACCAAACCCAGTTTGTAGAATTCAGGATAAATTTGGAATCTTTCTTCCTTTTTTTCTTCTCATTTCCACTCTCTCTCTCTCTCTCTCTCTGCTGTGTATTCTAATTAAGAAGCTGTTTTGTTTTATAATGTTGAAGATTTGGTTCTTGAATGTTTTCCTATTTTACTATTTATTAATGGGATTGTTTCTGCATGTTAAGATATTTGATTGAAAGTGAACCTTTTTAACTTGGTAGTATAAGAGTTCTTTGTTCTTTTCTTAGTGGGAAGCTGGAAATGTTAGCTGTCTGTAATAGATATTTATTTTCTTGAATTTAGTTTAATTCACTTGGAAATTAAGAAAAGCAGGGGATTGTTGTTTGACAGTTGATAAGCAGGTTAAAGCCAATTTGTTTCAACAGCTTTCACAGCTGTTGATTATGTACATTGATGTAATTGTTCTTAATGACTCTCTCTCCTCAATTATAAACTTGTGTGGTTGTGGAAAATGTGCAGGGTGGATTATGGTTATTGAAAATTGGCTAGCAATCACTAGAGTAGTTTATCAAAATGGGTCAGGATCTCTTATCTATATGTCAAGCAGAAACCAAGAGATTGCTGTGGATTGCGGGAATGCTGTTTGCTGTGATCTTAGTTGTCCGGCATCTTGAACTTCCATATGGTAATCTTTTATCTTCTATACTCTCTTCTACAAAGGTTCCTTTAGTGGGGAAAAGTGGCTTCCATGCTGGATATTCACCATCTAATTCTGAGATTGTCGGTAACTTGTCGCTTTCTAATGATTTGAACAACACTGGTACATATGCAATTCATGAGAAAGCTAGCAATACTAGGAGCTCTGATTCTGTATTAGAAGGAAATGAAGGCTCAAACAGAGCTTTAGAAATCGATGAAGATGAAGACGACGGTAAGGATGGAAATTTGGTAAAGCAAAATAGAACTATCATTGTGGAAAATGTAAAACCCTTGGAGACTGATTTTGCTCAAGAGGGGGGTAGAGAACCTGAAGTGAGCTCTGTTGAAAAGAAAAATACTACAGATAATACTTATTTAGAAAGCAGGATTGGGAATGAAAATAATACTGTAGATTATGTAAATTCTACTGCTGGTTTACCAGTCAGTTCACCTGCACCCCCAATGATGAATTCGTCACCGAGCACAGCTCCAGCAATTTTTGAAACAAACGTTGGAGCTCCCATTAAATCTGTTGACTCAAATGTGACTTCATTGGAGAAAGATCAAACAACCCCTTCTGAGAAAACTGAGAATTCTGAGCAATTTCATAGTGACCTCAACCAAACAGAACATAATTCTTCAATGACCAGAGTCCCTGAAGTGAAAATAGAGCCAGAGGTTCCAATCTTGGATGTATATTCAATATCTGATATGAACAATCTTTTGCTCCAGAGTCGTGCCTCATACCATTCAGTGGTATGTTTGAAGTTTAGATTCATGTTATTTTGAATGTGATTAAGTTCTTTAAATTTTCAACTCCTTATTCTTATTTTTTACCTTTTTTTTTATTGTGTGTGTGTGGGTAGATACCACAATGGTCTTCACCTGTTGACCAAGAGCTGCAATATGTAGCATCGCAGATTGAAAATGCACCCATAATAAAGAGTGATCCAACTCTTTATGCTCCACTTTATCGGAATCTATCGATGTTTAAAAGGTAAGTCAATGAAATCCTTATATGTTTGAATTTCTTATAGTACAGTCGTTTTCTGAAAGTTATTGTGAACAAGACACTGTCATGTGTGTGCAAAAATGATCTTACTAAAAAACATACGAAGGATATTATGAGCTGGTAAGTCTATGGATAGGATCAAATGACAACGTTGGACAGTTGGAGTATACATTATCTTGCAATGTTGGTTATTTCTTTCTCATTTAAAAATCATCCTATTTGTTTCAAAGAATTTTATAAGCTGCAAGTTGTAACAACACAATCAACTACTACTGCTGAAGTGAAACTATCATCTAATTTGCAGGAGCTATGAATTAATGGAGGACACTCTTAAAGTATACGTTTACAGGGAAGGAGAAAGACCTATATTGCACTCGCCATTTCTCAAAGGGATATATGCTTCTGAGGGATGGTTCATGAAGCAGCTGGAAGCTAATAAGAAATTTGTTACTAAAAACCCTCAGAAAGCCCACCTGTATTACTTACCCTTTAGTTCTCGAACGTTAGAGGAAAGATTATATGTGCCCAATTCACACAGTCATAAGAATCTTATACAGTATTTGAAGGACTACGTCAACATGATTGCAGTGAAACATCCTTTCTGGAATAGAACTGGAGGAGCAGATCATTTTCTTGTTGCTTGCCATGATTGGGTAAGCTTTTCATACTCCCTATCTAGTTTGGTTGACCAGTTACTTGAAGGAATTCAAATTCTAATGAAGTACAAATTAGTTTCGATTTGTTTTACATATAATTTGAAATGAGTTGGTTTGGTTCATCATAGAATCTGAAATAATGACTATACATGTTGCCTTGAGATGTTTATTTCCATTTGTTTGCTTTCTTTTTAACTGCCAATTCCTATGATTCGGCCAATTATTGTTATATTATTTCTCCCTTTGGTTGATGACCAGTGACTTTGTTGTAGAGGATGGATGACATTCAAATCTACACGTCATTTGGACTAAGATTTTATTATTACTTTTCTAATAAAAATCTACTTCCTCAGGCCCCATCTGAAACAAAGAAATATATGGCTACGTGCATTAGGGCCCTCTGCAATTCTGATATCAAAGAAGGTTTTGTATTTGGCAAGGATGTGTCTCTTCCTGAAACATACATCAAGAATGATAAGAATCCTCTCAGAGATCTTGGAGGCAATCGTCCTTCCAAGAGATCAATACTTGCTTTCTTTGCTGGGAGCATGCATGGTTATGTTCGGCCAATTTTGTGGCAGCATTGGGAAGATAAAGATCCCGACATGAAGATCTTCAGCAAGTTGCCGAAAGCGAAGGGCAACAAGAACTATGTTCGTTATATGCAAAGCAGCAAGTACTGCATTTGCGCAAAAGGTTACGAAGTGAACAGTCCGCGAGTTGTGGAGGCCATTTTCTATGAGTGTGTTCCGGTGATCATATCAGACAATTTTGTGCCTCCATTTTTTGAAGTTCTGAATTGGGAGTCCTTTGCTGTTTTTGTGTTGGAGAAAGATATTCCGAACTTGAAGAATATACTGCTTTCAATCCCAAAGAAGAAATATCTACAGATGCAAATGAGGGTGAAAAAGGTGCAAAAGCATTTTCTGTGGCATGCCAAGCCTGAGAAGTATGATATTTTTCATATGATTCTCCACTCTATTTGGTACAATAGACTCCATCAATTAAAACCCATTTGACATAGAAATATCCAGTCTTGTAAATTGTATATTTTTGTTTTTTGTTTTTAAATTTATTTAATTTATTTTTATGTTGGAATAAAAGAACCCTCTTGGGAGAAAATGAAATAATAATAAAAAAATTAAATGAAGTAGCAGGTCACATTTGAAATTTCATAAAATTTTGTTTCATGAATTGTTGAGAAATTCTCGTGTATATAAACGCAGAGAGTATATATAGGTTATGTCAGTTGGTCATGTCACTGAATCAGTTTTCTTGCTTTCTTGCTACAAAGTTTCATTGTATCACCATTATATTTAAGCAATTTATTTAGTGGAATTAATGTGAACTCATTAAAATTGATTTATTTAGACAAACCTAAATCAACCGTTAAAGTTACAGAGTATTAATTAAATCCTAGCCAACATGTGGCCCGACCATCGTTAACGTTAAAGTCAGTGAAAGACTGAACCTCCGAAAGTCAAGGTTAAAAATAACAAAAAAGAAAACCCCCCATGCTAAGAACCTCCAGTTTTCTATGACAACCGTCCGATCATGAGAATCTTCACACAATCTACACCGAGATCAATCGGACGTCTAAAGAGAATAGTTTACGATAAAGACGTCCACACTTTATCCTTGGTTGTCTGCGTTATAACATTTGACATGACCACTTTACCCTTAGACCGCCTCCATGCTCCGAACTTCCCCTTTCCAATTCGTATAAGGGTAGAACAGTCGTTTCCCATAAGTTTGGTAATGAATTCAACACGCAAAAAAAAAAAAAAAAACTAAAAAAAAAAGAGGACAGGAGCTGTTCTTCATCTGTTAGAAAAACCTTAAAAGCAGTTAAACAACACATTAACCTGCAAATCTATATATCCAAATATCCAATCTCTTTTTTGGTGATTTGTATCTTTTTCTTTATTTTTGTCTGTTTTTCAATAAATTAGTCTTTGGAATTTTGCGAAGTTTATAAATTTTCGAGAGGAACAGAGGGTGAGCTGATTGATGAATTTTCAATGAGAGGAGGAGTAGGTGGTAACAAAAAGAAGATAAAAGCTTTATCCGATCAATAGCAGATAGAAAATAGCAAAGAGATTAATTGCACAGATTGGTAATATCTATGGCCAGTGCGGTGAAGGTCAAGAGCGGCAACCTAGATGGCTCTTCAAAGGGAAAGATTGGCTATTCTGTTACTAAGAAGAAGATTGAGAGCTCATCAAGCAAGCAGGTAGCTGATGTAAAGCAGAAATCTGTGCAATCTGTTACAAAAACTGAGGTACCCATCTCAAAGTTGATTGCTTTTTCTGAATTCTGTTTTGCATGTTCTTGATTTTTTGACCTTAAAGTTGTGTGCTTTTGATTGTTTTTCCAATTGGGTCAATTGGGTTTTTGGTGTTCTGAATTGGTTGAGCTGCTTCCAATAGATTAGGTGATATTGGGTTTGGGGTTTTTTGGAGAAGTTTCTATGATATGTGGTGAATTTTTATTTGGTTTTTCTTGATTAATTTGGTTAATTGACAATGGAATAGTTGATTGTGGTGCCACCTATGTGTCTCTGGTGGATTCTGGTTCTGGGTATCAGACTTAATTGTGTTAATTTCATGTTGGATGTGGTGAATTCAGTAATATTTGCTCAAATGTGAAGGTAAAACCAAAGCCAACTTCAGTATCAACAAAAAGTACCACAAAGACAACTACCACAAAGACCACTACCACAACAAGGGTGAAAGAGAAGAAAGTATATACTTTGGCAGGCCAGAAATTTGATCCTCCTGAAGAGGTTCTTCCCATGACATTTATTTTTATGTTTGGTTAAGAGAGAATGCCTATAGTCATAAGCTTCCACTCATCCTTATGTTTTTTCTGTTTCCTATCTCCAGAGAGAACCTCTGAGGATCTTCTACGAGTCATTGTCCAAACAGATACCAACAAGTGAAATGGCAGAATTCTGGTAACTTTTCTTTCTGTTCAGAAAGCCTTTCACCTTCTATTTGAACGTATGGAGTATATATAAGATGCTTAAATTAGTTATCACTGCTAGATTAATATTCTTAGAAGTAAACTGCTTATCAGGCTGGCCCCTTCCATCAGAAGTTCATAGCAGTGAAAGAATGATGTACGATATAGTTGATTTGATAGGCCAAAGGCAGATTTAGGGGGAAAAGAAATAAAACAATAGATAGAGATAGGTCTGGATTCACTCCAGGGGCTTCGCATCCAACTTGGATTCATGAAAACATACCAAAAAATTTCATTCATCAACTAACTCTCCATTGAATTACAAGAGTGTAAAGACATTAACCTAATACTTGACATGGGTATGGAAGATGAATCTTCTATGACAATCACTGGTAGTCTTAGGCTCAGCCAATGTACATCTCACCACTGTCATCCTTGGCTGAACAACCTCACTAGATTCACCTCATTGCTATTTGGAATTTCAAGCTCACCTGGACCACCAGGTTCTTCTTTAGCACGGGCTGCAACCGGATTTTGAGATGTTTCCTTTGTGGGACTTAGGTCAGCAAAATGTCAAAAACCCTGACATTTGTAGCATCTGATAGATCCACCTCCTCATGTGTCATACTGTGCTTCTTTTCCTGTAGCATCTTATAGATCCACCTTTAGAAATTAGAACAGGTTTTGTTTGCTCAACAGCATTGGTTAACTTCAAATAACGCTCCAATTCTTGTACCACCTGATAAGCTCTCTCTAAAGAATTTGCATAATGAGGAATCAACTCTTTTTGAAGCTCTGGAGAAAGGCCTGTCCTAACACAGGAAAGGGTCACCAGTCAATTTACATTGCATTGCATTATGAATTCTTCAATTTAGCAATGTATTCAGTGACTAGCATGCTTTCTTGACGAAGAGCTTGCCATTTATCTAATAAGCGCTGCTGATAGGGCAAGAATACATATTTCTCCCTCAGTATTTCTTTCATCTCAGCCCAAAGGACAATTGGTTCTCCACCTGTTCTCTCAACTTGTATTTCAATTTTGGTCATAACAATTTAGCTTGGCCTACCAATTTCATCTTGGAAAATCGGACTTTACGACTGTCAGACATCTCATACCATTCAAAATAAATGTTCCATGTCAAATAATCAATCAAGGAATACCTTAGGATTTATCTCACCATCAATACTATGAGCATCAGCCTTTATCGACCTCATCACCTTTTAGTCAGGATCGTGCGCATGGCCACGCTAAAAAATCAGTCTTTCTCTGTTTCTATCATTTTTCCTATCATGATTCCTCTCCCTTCCATCCATACTTTCTTCTGCTTCTGTTTCAGCCAAATGATGTTCAGCAGCTGCGAACTGTTCTTCAAATCTGATCTCAAGTTGAGACACTTTCTTCTACCCCACTCTTCTTTTGTTTGATGATGAGTCTTTGACCAGCTGTATTTGGTTGAATCCACAACTGAAGCGCTCAAAGCCAACCTGAACAATTTTTTTTTTCAACACTTGACTCTGACGGATTATGCTTGAGACTTAAATGAATGGATATTAGGCTGACAACCATGGCCATTCGAATTAGATTCTAGAAGCACTATGATTTACTTAATGTATTCTTACATGTTATGTTATAACCTTTATCTGAGTGTAGTGAAAGGCAGTGTAACCTGAGTACATGGTCGTCAATTGTCTGGATGTCAGTAAAACAGCATGACTAATTTTGAATCACCTATATGGATTATTTAGGTATTTGCACAATGTTGTGTATATGTATATCACAGTTCTGATGAAAATATGGACCCAATTTTTTTTGGGCGCAAGGAATCCTTGTTGGAAATACAATATCCATTGCCTATACAATACTTCCAAGATTGCATAAGAGATTGCAGAAGTGGCTTTTCATTGATCCTTTGTTGCAGCAGTAAGCTCTGTGGTTAATGAAGTTCTTATTTTCACTAACACGGTAGCACCCCACACAAATATGAAAACTAATCGACCATCTTATAAGAACTCAGCAACTATTCTTGGGTTCTTTTCTTTCTTTTAAGGGGAAAAACAGCATACTCTTGTTGATATGCAATAGCTATGATGTGGGTTAGTAAGTGATTGATGTGCTTTGCCATCATTGATGTATTTGCAAATATGAGTTGAAAGGGGAAAGCAGATATCTTTTGTTTTCTAAAGGAAACATCCAATAAAGGACCTTGATGCTCTGATTTTGGTTTTGGATATGCTACCAGATTTGTTTTTCTGTGAATTGGACTTTCCTCTAAAAGTTGGATATGCACTATTCATTTTTCTTTAAAATTGAGCAATGATGAGTAATTAGAAACGAACAACATAATTCATTTGCAGGATGATGGAGCATGGTCTATTGTCCCCTGAAAGATCCAGAAAGGCATTCGAGAAGAAGCAGAGAAAGCAAAAGCAACTCCGGTTAGGAACTCCTATTAAGTCTACAAAACCACCAAGTAAACCTGAGTCGACAAAACCACCTAGTAAACCTGAGAGTTCACAGAGGCAACAACAGCAGGCATCTAAGAATGGTGATGTAAAAGGCAAGAAGAGAGTTATCAAGGAGAGCGACGACGATGATGACTTCATTTTAAGTCCCAAGAGAAGGAGAGCGTAAGCGAAAAATTAAAGAATCCCTCATCCTCTGCAGCAGTGTACTTTTAGAAATTGCTTAATTTAGATTTCTTTATTTTCAACTGAAAGAAGCCGGGAGCTGTAAGACATCACAACAGGTGAGAGAGAAAGACATTCTTTATATTGTCTAACTTGTAGAAACAGTAAGCAAAGACTTTCAATTTACTACTGTTTTCATTTGTTCGACTTAGTGGTTGTCAGTACATCATTTGTGTTACATGAATTCTGAGGAGCCGAAAAATAATGTTATTGTTAAGCTCTTCTTGTGCTATTTATCCCATTCTATTTTACAGGATGGAATTTAATTGAATTAGATTCACAAAAACCGTTAACTAGCTTTTTCATACGAAGTAAAGCACTTAGGTTTCTGATTTTTATCCCTTTCTGTTTTGGTAGTTTGATTATTTGTTTATGTATAACCAGATTGGCAATCTTTTCACTCTGATATATATGAAGTCATTCATTGTTTCTGTTCCATGTCTCCAACAGTGCTAGCTTCCCTTGTTCATAAACCTATCTATGATTTATTGCAAGTTTGCAACTCAAACTCAGTTCACAGGGTGAAGATTATAAGTCAAAACCAGAGAGGCAAAGGCAATGTATTTATTTTTCTCAAAGGAGAGGGAAGCTACCATCAAATAGGTGGTTCTAAAACCAATGCAATTTTCGCAAATCTATGCAGAGGGTAAGTTACAAATCACATGTATAATTAATGTCTGAGTAAAGGTTGAAGAGGTTTGGTTCCTAAAACCAGTGCCTCAACCAACTGAGATGGCATTACTAAAACTTGAGAAGTCTGAAACGCATGTGTTATCTGTCATATGTTATGGTGTTCATGGCATGGGAAGGGTCACCCATCAGCTCTGCATGCCTTTAAATTCGGACACATCCATTGGTAGAGTGGCATATGTGTTCAGAGCAAAGCGAGAAAATCTTCTATATCACGGAGATAACACTGTTTTGCTATCCCAACCAATCACATTCCATCAAGCGTGATAAGTTTTTCACTTCGACAGCATTTTTGGAGTATTTTGTAGCAAAGATAGAGCATGAGCTTCAAAATATGAGCACCACCAGTGGCTGCAGCATGGCCATACTCATACATTGCATGTACCACAGACACAGACTATGTACACATGAATGGAACATGAAAGCAGCATATATTCTTTTATTTTATCTGTCAATAATAAATATGATCAACAAATAAATCTGTATATATAGATCATCAGGGGCCCCACATCCTAAGTTTTAGATTAATATGTTTACGTTCATGAGCATGCTCTACATGAACTGCATGTGAATGGAACATGACAATAGCATATCAATTTGGGGCAGAGATACATAACAAAAACATAAAATAAAACCAAATTATATATCCTATCCTCCATGAAAATTAAAGCCATGTGAATGTAGCAGACCACCCCCCCTCTCCCTCTCCAGTCCCGTCCCATATCCACATTTAAATCCAACAGAACATACAGGTCAGTGGAGTTGAGTTGGACAAAACATATATAAAGTTGCAACCACTAAGGGGATTTTTTCCCCCTCTTCTCTTTGAATAAATTCTGAGCTAAAGTTGTGTTTCACAGTTTCACCAACAAAAGAATTAAAAGACGCATTCATTACTAACCTCCACATGTAGAAACTGGTCAATTATAGCCAAGGTAAATTGAGTCCTTGAGAGCACCTGACAGACGTAATCTAAGTAAAACATTAAGTTTGATTTGATTTGATTTGACTTACAGGGTTTTTATTATTTGTGTCTGAAATCTGAATCCGTTATTCTTTGATCATCATCACCAAGTCGGCTGTGGACTTTGCTGAGATTCTAATTAAAATACCCACAAACAAGTCGGCTGTGGACTTTAGGGTTTTATAAAATGTACTTTACTTTACGTACGGTACAACTTCACAGCAGGCAAGCCAGAAATGAGAACCTAGCTTAATGACAGACATGCCAGTGAGTGTGTTTTGATCGTTGATGCGTGTGGATTGCACAATGAAATTCACATGAATTAACGGTGGTCAGTTACCGAGCGCACGTAGCAAAATCATAACGATTAACATAAGTGAAATTAGAGATTATGGGAGAAAGCGACCACAATGCGACAGCCAGGCACCGTCCAATTAAACATCTATAACCACTTTGTGAGGAAAGCGCATTAGTAGAGTCTATATACCACTAAGCCATCGCTTTTCAAATGCGCGTACACGCAAAAGCCTAGTTTCCCAAATGCCATGCCTAATGCTATATAATATGCTAAATTTGGAAACAAATCAAAATCCTTGCTTCTACAACTGTAAATCCACAACTGTAAATCAAAACCTTATAATAAAAAACTGTAAATCAACACGAAAGCTGATTTGACTAGTTGATTGCTAATTAAATCACCATCCTCGATTAAAAGCTAAGGGCCGTTTGATAATCATTTCAATTTTAGTCTTTAGTTTTTATTTTTTGTGCTAGAGTATAGAGGGGAAAGAGGGAGAATGGAAGTGAGAATGAGAATGAAGATAGGATTGAGAGGGAAGATGAGAGGGAAGGATCGGAGGGAGGATGAACAAAAGTGAAAACTATTGGAAATTGTTTTCACTTTTGTTACTCATTCCTCCATCCACCCCTAAATGGTTATCAAACGGGCCCTAAATTTTTTTCAGATAAAATAACATTAATGTACCGTAAGTACCATATTTACTTTGTTCAGCAATTGCTTATATTGTCATAATGCAAATTTCAACATGTACAAATCTATATGATTAATTAAGAATTCATAATCACAACCTTGTCAGACATCGTGACAACATAATATTTTCCGTTACATTTAATGTATCAGAATGTTCTTTTATCACTGTCGAGCGCTTAAGAAGAACTTGTGGTCACTCTCGTTCCTCGCTTGTTCCAATCCTAATAAAGAGCTTCGAATCCGATTCTACACTACATACGATATTCCATTCCAGCCCTCACTAATTTGGAAAAGGTCATCAAAAGACTTGTCTTGTTCGGGTTTTCAATCTAAAACCATGAATCAGATGAATTCTTGTACTTGAGTATAAAGTGGTTTAGGATGAAGGTTGTTAAATGTTACATCTCATTCTATCTCAATCAAGAACATATCAATCTATGTACATGCTTGAAGCTCAAAATCACAACCTCATTGGTGGATTAATTGTTGTATTTAAAATTTCTCATTGTTTAGATAAATGAATGGTGTTGTTAGCTATAAAAAAAAAGGTTAGATGCCAGCTTCGACTTGCGCCGGTGGATTGAGGTAAAAATTAAAGTGGTTGTACGTGGAGAGGAGTAGTAGTACCAATTGTACACTATGATGAGGTGGCGATTGATTGATCCAACGGGGTTTGGCTGGTTTTTGGGAAGAAAAAATAATATACCGTACAACAAAGTAGGGCATGGAACTCCTCTTTCTAACCGTTGGATCTGATGGATTCACCTTCCTCCTTAGGGTATAGAACAGTAACTACCGTTGGATGTTATGGTCACCTAGGTCATGTGTCGTGGCATTACGGCCACATAAACAATACTTCAAACAAAAATCAAAATTGCGTGGCCGTGGATTTAATTTTGTTCTTGATGTGGAACCATGTACAAGATATGAAAACTCTCAAGGACAAAGACTTTGAGATAATCCACGATCGGTCCAGATTTATGTGAATTCAACAGCTCACTTAGGGAGGTACATTTCTAACTTCTTATAAAAGTACAAGTACCCTATGGGAATAATGAAGATTATATATCTTAGGAGAATATCGATCGATCCATGATGGTATATGCCAGTTTTGATTAACAGAAGTAATACAATTAAGATAATAGAATGATAGATGAAGATTGAACTTTTGATGATTAATGTGGATATAGAATTATAGATAGAGAGAGTAACGCAAATCTAAATATAATGAAAGTGAGAGGAATGTTAGGTACTTTCTTACGTGCATCTTTCTCTTTATCTTCTCTCATCGTGTAACTGATTTGATAATCGGAATTGTCTATCTTCTAGGTCACTTTCTAAAGATCATTTATGTCAAAACCAATCAAACAGGAAATTATTTAATTATATAATTGTGATAATGTTTTGGTTAAATTACTAAACGATTTCCAAGGAGAAAGAGAGCTAACATACTCTTATGAAGTAATTTGCAGCATTCTATGGAACCTAGGGTTGGGGGCCCTTTTATTTAATTTGACATAGAAATGTCATTTTTAACATGCGATAGTCATGGTGGGGTAAAGTCCATTTAATTGGATATCAAGGCACAATGTAATCGTGGACCAACCACAACAGGAACCGTGGATGGGCCGAAGATCGATCATATATAATGGTTGGGACCCATGATGAGGTGTGGCTCTAAATATTATTTTGGTGTTTCAATGCAACATTGCAACCACCACCTGATCATATATGAATTTGGAGAATCACTCATCCAACACTCCATTTTCAATTTGGACCCCTAGAATTAAGCATGTTTATTGGGTATTGAAATGATTACGATTTTTGACTTCATTTGTAGTACTGATGCATTAGTATCGGAATTATCTTGATTCCTGACTTTCGCTGCAGTTACTAATGCATAACGAATTATATTGTGATTTTATCTGCACCACCATATCTCACTTCACTATACTGACTGCTCAGTACAATTGCGACTTTTGTCTTGTACTGCTGATATTTGTATTTATCTTACAATATGATGTAAGATATGACAATTATTTTAGTTGTTGCATGCAGCACTGACCATGGTCATGGCGCTATACGCTCGTTGATTGCCACCTCTCACAGAACCTCTTAATCATGGCACACGTACTAATTGAAAACCACCCCATTATCATCTTCTTTTGTTTCTCTCTGTTTCTTTTCCCCCTTGTGCTTAGCTCATAGAAAATCTTCCTGCCCACCAAGCAGAAGCAAACTCGCAAAGAAAAGACAAGCTTCATACACATGTACCTTGTTTCACATCCTATATTACAAGATTGTTAGTTTAAGTGAACTGTTTTTTCATGAATTTTGTCAAAAACAAATACGCGCGTTTCAGATTAATAATTTCGCGACATAACATATCAGATTATCAGATACGTAACAAGAAAAGTGTGGTAATTCGAGACTTCGATAAAGGGGTCGACAGGAGAGGAAGGAGATAAGGGATAAATGAACAGTGAAACATGGGTGAAAAACTGGTAGAGATCAGAGTCTTAGACTACGAAAATAAATGGCTTGCGTGGTGCTCCTATAGAAAGGGACCCCATTGTACCATAGCCTATAGCAGCGTGGCCATTTCTCTTATGTCCCTGGCCCTCCCCCCTCTCTCTCTCTCTCACTCTCACTCTCTATAAGTGTTGTATGACTCATTGGGAAATGAATGTAGCAAAAAGATAGACAAACGAAGTAAATTTAAGCTATCTCTCAATACCTTTGCATGCTCCCACTTCCTTTCTTCTGTTAAGCCAAAGCTCCTCATCCTTCCACTACACAAAACCAACTACTTCCTTCACTCAGACATTTTCACAAACACTTGCAAAACACTACTAACAATGAGCAGCGATCAAACCCAAGGTTCAGAGACTGAGAGCAGCTCCAATTCCTTCACCTCCACAACACCACCTTCCTCGCCTTCCTCACTCCAAAACCCACTCTCAGCAAATCTCCAAAAACCCAACTCCCCAATCCATCAAGAAATCGAATTGCCGGGCAAGAAAAACACCAAACGGGGCAGAGACTCCAGCAAGCACCCGGTTTATCGGGGGGTCCGAATGAGAAATTGGGGCAAATGGGTATCCGAAATCCGCGAGCCCCGGAAAAAATCGCGCATTTGGCTCGGCACCTTCCCGACGCCGGAAATGGCAGCCCGAGCCCACGACGTGGCCGCGTTGAGCATCAAAGGCAACTCAGCGATTCTCAACTTCCCTGAACTCTCCGACTCGCTGCCTCGCCCGGTTTCACTCGCTCCACGCGACGTCCAAGCCGCGGCCTCCAAAGCCGCGCAAATGCACCAATTCGACGCCAACCCATCAATGTCGTGTTCCATGCTGTCCTCGTCCTCGTCTTCTTCGCTGTCGTCGCTCGTCTCTGCCATAGACAACCTGTCGACCGAGTCGGAGGAGCTGAGCGAGATCGTTGAGTTGCCGAGTCTGGGTTACGAGTCGACCGAGTTGAGAAGCGAGTTCGTGTTTGTAGACTCGGAGGACCAATGGGTTTACCCCCCTCCATGGCTGCAGCGCTTGGGGGATTGTGGCGGTGGGTATGTTTGCGATGAGTTGGGGACGCCGAGTTCAAGTGGGTTTGAGGGTTCGTTATGGGAATATAATTAGCAATTTGTTTGCTAATTAGCAGTTAAATTATGTTTTTTGTTTGTATGAAATGTTTTTTTTTTTTTTTTTTTTTTTTTTTTTTTTTTTTTTTGGTTTTGGGGGTTTGTGTAGGAGGTATTTTGGTAAAGTGTGAATGCAAGTGTGTGAGCTTTCTTTATTTGCTGGTTTTGGCTTTCAGTTTTTGGCTCTTTTGGCTTTTTTTCTTTGAAGGGCTTAAACTCTGATGTTCTGCCTCTGTTCTTTACTCTGTTTTCTTTTTTTCTTTTTTCTGTGTAAGTGTACAGTTGGAGTAATGCTTAGGAATAAAATATATTTGCCTCTGGTTGGTAACTTCTGGTGCAAATATAATAAAGCCTCTGTCTTTCTTCTTTTTCTTCTCTCTCCTCCTCTGCCTATCTTTTCCCATTTCAACTTGTGAAATTCTTGTCCTAATTGGAAATTCCATTTGTGTTTCTGGCCATAAACAGTGAAGTATTACCATTTAACTTCCATTGCATTCTGTCATGTTGTTGGGAATTCATTAAAAATAAGCAGCAAAATGCAAGCAGCAGTCCGAAAAAGGAAGAAAGAAATTGAGGGTCCTCCTCCATTTGTGCATCCAAAACCAGATGAAATAATGCAACAATAAGAACAACAACAGTGACACAACACGAGAAAAAAAGGAATAGTCCTTTCCAAAAAGGTCGAGAGTAGAAGTTCTTCTTAGTAAGGGTTGGGTTGGGTTGGGTTGAGTTGAGTTATGATGAATGAATGTTGATGGTATGATTTTTGGCAGATGCTAGATGGTGAAACATGATGAGCTGTGAATGGGACAATGACAGGGACAACTTTAATTTTAACCCTAAAAGATGCAACAGCAAATAGGTCTGATATGAGCTAGTTTTTGCTCCCTTCCTCCTTTTAAACTTGAGCTCAGTCAGTCAATAGATTTTTGGCTTCTGCTCTGTTTTTGGGTGGGAAAAAGGAAGGCCCGCTCCTCTTTTGCTCTGTTTTGGGTGGAGATGAGACAAATAAGAGAACCATGCATCTTTCTTTCAGAGCCTGACCCTCAGGTGTTCAAACCCAAAAAAAAAAATCACTACCCCTCTATTTTAGTTTCAATCTCCAAATAATTATTCTTTTGAAAGCTACGTTCTCACCTATTTACAAAAACAAAAAAAACCAGAAGTCTAGATATTTTGCACAACGCATTTTGTATAAGATTGCATGGTTGGATGGCATTATTATCTCCTCTATTTTTAAAGTGCATGCTTTCAAGTTTCAGCCAGTTTTTGGCCCCCACCCCTTTTTGAAATTGGTTTTCATGGTTGTAACATGGGCAGACAAATAATATAGGTAACCATTGCCATAGGACTCCATGCCAAAGAGAAGGTAAAGGAGAAAGGAGCACAATGTTAGTGGCTAAAAAGGTAATTTTCAATTATTGGAGACATTGACCACTTTCAATTTGCTTCTTTTAGACCAAAGTTTTGATGCTCCGATCTCATGCACTGCAGGCCCTGTTTCTAGAATAGTATAGCACTTTGTGCTAATCATTCCTCTAATTAATTAATGAAATTACAGCCAACGGGATTTAGTTCAATAAAAAAAAAGCATTGATCAATAAAAAAGAGCGCTAACTTGCATATCATTGGTCTTATATTCGAACCCCCATAACACTTTAGCAGTGTGTGTGTAAAACTCTCCACCACTTTAATTTAGACTATCTTTTGTATTAAAAAAGGTAAAACATTACAATAATGTTGTAATAAAAAAATAATAATGTAGGATCTTCAACATACATCACAGCATCACAACCGCAGGTCAAGTTGGGGTAGGATAATCTAGACTCTCTAGTAGTTGATGAATAAAAACACCAAAATATTAATTAGATATACATTTATATATAGGTTAGGCCAAAGGCCAATGGCATGTGTGAATTGTAATATAAACCTAACATAATTAATTATTTGAAGATTGTATTTATTTCTATTTGTCAATGATTACTTCATCATGCTTTGCCTATTTCAGAATCCTAATCCAAAGATATGAAGCTGTATATATAAAATTAGGCACTGCACTGCTCAGATTGGGATAAAAATCAAACTAAATAATTAAATAATGTATAATCAGAATTATGTAAAAGTATTATAGTGACGTTGTAACCTCTAATCTGGTTTATTTCTCTTGTTAGCTTGTGATCATGTCTGCAATAATCTGCATGGCCAAGCAGCTTTTCGAGCACCACATAATAATTATCTCATGTCAAGTCAGCTAAGTTAATGATAGTTTATGCATAAATTTGGGATATTTTTGGCTAACCAGTCCAAAACCTTCTCAATTATAAAAGGAAAAGAGGGTTTATAGTTGTTGTTGTTGTTTTTATTTTATTTTATTTTAATGTGGTGTCGATATGACGGTTTGAAACTCAAATTTGGTATTTCATAGCTTGGCAATTTCAGAGACAAATCCTATAACCTAAAACAATTCTCTGGATATATAGAATATTATTAGAGACCTATTACAGACACTAACATGCATATTATGGTGGTGAGTGGATTATATATGTTCTTTTTAGGGTTACTTTTGGAATGCCCTTATGCTTTGCAATTTGTCCCAATTCGCCTTGAATTTTGAAATGACCACATGTTTTGTGAGTGACGTTACCCTCATTCCGACAATTTAATCAGAAAAATTGTTAACTTGCTAATGTGTCATGAGTATTTTGGTGATACTATTGAAAATAATGAAATTTAAATTAAATATAAAAAATGCTGAAATTATTAAAAATAATTAAAAATGATATTAACTAATAAAATTAAAAATCTATATTATAAGGTCTCTGCATCTTGTATAACCCCACCAGTGTTCGAGTCCCGCTGCTAGTAGTCCTTATTTGTGCAAAATCTGTAATTTCTTATATAAATCTATATTTGTGGAAGTTGGCAGTTTGGTGACATGTGTAAGTCCTTCTGGCTCAAGGTTGCAGGTATGCCCTGGCTGGCGTTGGTGGTGAAAATAGCCAATCTCCCCCTAAACTTTATAATTTTTTTTTTTATTTTTAAAAACCCTACATTAGAAGATGTTAAAATATGAGAATATTATAAAATCTTGTTTGTGGGAATTTTCTAGCTGCTAAAAACCTACATTAAGAAACCTACATTATTAAGAAAATTAAAAACCTAGCTGCTAAAATATGAGAATATGAGAAAATATGGTTTGTGGAAATTTTCTGTGTATTCTCTTCTTTGTAAGAGGCTATATTTATAGTACAATAAAACCTAGTAGGTCAAGGAAAGTAATAACTCATAATTCTATTTACATCAGGAAATTAAGAATGAAGGTAAATCAATTACATTTAATATAGAAAATCGCGCCAACACTAGCGCCCAACTCCAGCAGATGCCTCCCCCTCTCCATTCCTCTGTCAAAACGAGGGTAACCACAAAAAAAAACAAAAACAAAAACAAAACAAAACAAAAAAAAACCCAGCAGCCCCACCCAAGACAAAGAGATACCATGAAGTTGCCTTCCACCCACTTTTACTCTTTTTAAGCTTTATTCTTCTTCTTCCTTTGCTCCTGTTTGTACCATGTCTGACCGCCCACTCACGTCGTGACACGTGGAACACCCTCAAAGCCGAGACCAGCTCAACCGGGCCATACCGAATGTTCTTTCGGCACGTTGTACCGATTCAGGGGGTCTATTACACACCATCAGTCCCTTCGCTAACCTTTGGCATGGTCTACCGAGCGACCAACCATCACGTCAATCCAATTCTGTCATATTACCTCAGAACTTCTGCCAGAACCTGTCAGAGCATGTGTCGATCTCCGAAGACACTCCCACGAGTCCCACATCGAAACTAAGTGCTAAGAGCATCACAAATGCTCTCTATAAATAGAGCCCCTTGCCCCAGCCAAGTGGTAAGACTTTCTGACTGGACTAAGTGCTTCCACTGTCAATAGAATCGCTCTTAGTTACTAACTTTGGCATCGGAGTGCCTTCGGCAGGTGCCACACCAGTATCCCCTCCTCAGTTCGGATCCAGCCCCTGCTCAAACCTTCGGACATCACGGAAGAATGTCACTCCAATCCTCAACCATCAACACACTTGTAAGTTAGCCTAAACTTTTATCTGTTCAGATTTAGCGCGAACAGCTCCAATGTCTCATCCCCATTTCATCGTCTCCTGCGTCCTGCCCTAACTAGGCCGATACTCAAAAAACCCTTGAAATTCATTGGATCTTGAAGATTCACAATAGCTGCAAAATCATGTCAAGGATCGAGGAGTACAGAGAATCGGTGAATTCTAAGGCAGCGCAAAACGGCGTCGTTCGGAGGAGAGACGAGACGTGCATCCTGACGGGAATGAGCTTTTCCGAGGAATGGGTGGGAAGGTGGTCGCTAGGGTTAGGAAGTGGCTGCTGAGATTTTCTGCTACCCTGATTTTGACAGAGGAATGGAAATGGGAAGGGTGCATGCTAGGGATTGGGAGGGTTTGCTAGGTTTTTAATTTTTTTTATATATAATATTTAAACATTTTAAATGATTTTATAATTTTTAATAGTTAAATTACCATAATACCCAAGCCATGTCAGCAACTCAACAATTTTTTAAAATCAAATTCACGGAATGGGGTAACGTGTCTCACGAAACAATAGTTGAGAAGGGACGTGATCATTTTAAAGTTAAGGAGGCGAGCTAAAACAAATTACAAAATGCAGGAGCATTTCAAAAAATAAGCCTTCTTATTAAACAAAGATTCATGGGATGGGTTTACTATAATTAAACTTGACAATGATTCTTTATAACCATGCGGTATTGTATTAGTGTTTTAAAATGACCAAAATGACCATAGTGTGAAGAGTTGTCTCCTCAAAGGCACTATTGAAGTCCTTGCCCATCCTAATCATTCAAAACTCAAAAAAGTCCATAGACATGAAGCTAGTGACTCTTATACATGGATGGATGTGGCACATTTTATGACAAATGTTTACAATCAATAGGGATTTTAAAAAGCTGATAGATGAGTTGGTGCTACTATCATTATTGTGTTAGAAATATATCGATTTCAATAATATATGGATTTCGGATTAGATATGTGTACCCGAAACCCACCCTTTATAGCCTTTCCATGCTATTTCCTAGTATGTAGCATATAAAAGTTTTGTACACATTATATTTCTCAATTATACACACTTGTAGAAACCTAGCATTCCCAAGAGTTTTTGTTCATTCCGACTGGGACAAAGACAACCCATATACATACATATATATATATATATATACAGAGAGAGAGAGAGAGAGAGAGAGAGAGAGAGAGAGAGAGAGAGAGAGAATCTTGTCTGATTTTCCATGTAAATAGATCCAAACGGTACTCTCACTTGATATGATGTCCCTAAGGACCCCTCAAACACCCATATCAAACACCAGGATCTTAATTTGAAGCCAATATTTTTCCCATCTTTCTTTGTTTGACGCGTTTGTACACCTGTATTTATAATATCTATTTGTACGATAAATCAATCTCCATGACCCCATTTCCTAGCTATTAGCCTTTTCACAAATTTGGTACCATTTCGAAGCCAAGCTGCCTAGTGAAGACCCACCAATGCTCTGGTTCTCTCTGCTACACATTTTTTGTTGCCATCTTACACTTGATTTTCTACATGTCTTTCTTCCTTTTATTTTGATATAGAAAAGTGGTAGGTCTTGTTTTTGCTTTATTTTTATAAGTACACAAACCACACACTCGGTTGTCATATTAATTGGCGCATATGCCCTTCGAACTTGAAAGCCAACAACCCCACAACAAAATTTTTTTTGGATATTTTTTGTTAATCATCATCTAATATAATTGATGGTTTCCTACTTTCCTTACTTGTCTTTAAGGCTAAGGTAGGAGACCGGAGGTTTTTTTAAGGAGTCTTTTTTCTTTTTGGTTGAAACTTTGTCAATCTTATTAAAACATCACAATTTTTAAAATTACATTGGTCGTAAGAAAAAGTTGTTTCTTAATTTTAAGAAGTCAAACATTGCTCTTTTAAGTCTATATTTGACGGCCAGGAAAATGACGACAAATGCATGATTGTTAGTGTATATGTACTCAAAATAATTAGGGTTTAAAACTAATATATTTATTCTTCTTTCAAGGAGGAATATATATTACATACAGAGTGGTTACAAATAGGAAATATGTACAAAATCTCCTAATTCTACTCAAATTAGATAATTACAATGAAATATAAATTTTATTCCTAATAGGAACGTTGACTCACGTCAACACTCCCCCTCAAGTTGGTGCATAGATATCGGTAATGTCCAACTTGTCAAGTGAGCCTTCAAATCGGCGCTTTGATACGACATGGGTCAACATATCTGCAAGTTGCTCTGAAGAAGACACAAAAGGTATAGAAATTAACTTATGCTCCAGCTTCTCCTTAATGAAATGCCGATCAACTTCTACATGCTTAGTTCGATCATGTTGCACCGGATTGTTAGCAATTTCAAATGCAGACTGATTATCACAGTGGAGCTTTGTAGCAGCATTCGGTTTAAACCCAATTTCAACAAGTAACCACCTCAACCACAGTATTTCACAAACCCCTTGGGCAATCACTCTGTACTCAGACTCTGCGGAAGACCGAGACACAACTTTTTGCTTCTTGCTACGCCACGTAATTAGGTTACCACCAACAAAAGTGAAGTAACCTGATGTAGAACGTCTGTCTGTAATATTCACTGCATAATCTGCGTCAATATAACCTTCTAGATCCAAATAACCATTTTTCTTAAATAATAAACCTCTCCCATGAGCAGACTTTAAGTAACTCAGAATACGCATCACAACAGCCATATGATCCTCACTAGGTGAATGCATAAATTTGCTAGCAACGCTTATGGCATATGCAATATTAGGGCGTGTCAATGATAAATAAATCAATCTCCCAACCAACCTTTGGTATCTTTCTCTGTTAGTTGGGACCTGATCCACATAAACACCAAGTTTATGATTCTCAACAATAAGTGTATCAGCTGGTTTACAGTCAAGCATTCCAGTATTTGCTAGCAGGTCCATGACATACTTCCTTCATGAAAGAAATAAGCCATGTTTAGATCGAGTGACTTCCAGTCCTATAAAATATTTCAGACTGCCCAAATCTTTCATCTCAAATTCAGACGCTAAAGGTTTCTGCAGTTCCTCGATTTCTATAGTATCATCACCAGTCACAATCGTATCATCAACATAAATAATCAATAAAGTTACCTTACTAGCCTTATGTTTAATGAATAGAGTATGATCAATATTGGCTTGTCGGTAACCAAACTTCTTCATAGCTGTGGTAAATCTGCCAAACCATGCCCGAGGAGACTGCTTTAACCCGTACAATGCCTCTTTCAATTTGCACACGTTCCCCGTTTCACCGGTAACCCTATACCCTGGTGGAAGACTCATGTACACTTCTTCTTCTAGTTCACCATGTAAGAATGCATTTTTTACATCAAATTACCTCAGGGTCCAATCCAAGTTTACTGCTAAGGACAACAAAACTCTGAAAGTATTCATCTTAACCACAGGTGCAAAAGTATCATGATAATCAACTCCATATGTCTGAGTGAACCCTTTAGCTACTAATCTTGCCTTGTACTTCTCAACAGTACCATCTGCATTATATTTAACTGTAAACATCCATCTACATCCTACATGCTTCGTTCCCTTTGATAGATCAACAATGTCTCATGTATTATTTTTTGCAACGCCTCCATTTCAATATTCATGGCTTCAGCCCACTTTGGATCATTAAATACCTCATCAACATGAGTTGGAATTTTAATATTATCCATTCTGGTCACAAACGCTTTGCAGTCATGTGATAACATGTGATCAGACACATAATGGGCAATAATATATCTCGATTTTCTTTTGGGTAAGTAACGATCAGGTGGAACCCCACGGTTCCATATAGGCGGTAAAACATAAGAATTATCAGAACTATGAATAGAAGCACTTACCTCAGGAATATCCAAGAGAGCTTGATCGGGTACTTTTAGATAAGCTTCATGGGGGCAATCGGTTTAGTGACAGTAGTGACATTAGTTAAAATGACAGGTTCAGCTAGTGTAGCAAGTTCGTGCGGTGTAGCAGGTTCAGCAGGTTCGGCCGGTTCTTCCCTTTGTATCAAACTATCCAGTACTACTCCCCCCTGTAAATCTAGCCAGTTATGTCCTTCACTACTAGTCACCCCCTGAAGGACATGCTTAGGTATATCATATAAGAACATTTCATCCTCAATAAAAGTAACATCCATAAAGACATATAGATGTCGGGTTGCAGGATGATAGCATCGGTAGCCTTTCTGATGAGGAGAGAAACCCAGAAAAACACTGCGGAGAGCACATGGGTCCAGCTTACTCCTTTGATTTTGATGGAGGTGAACATAGACGACACAACTGAACACCTTTGGAGACATAGTCAGCATAGAAGAGACAGAGATATGATGGGTCAATACCTGCATAGGAGTTTGGAAATCCAAAACTCATGAAGGTAGACGATTCAAGAGATAGACTGCATAGGTAACAACATCCATCCAGAACCGCTTTGGAACTGACGCACCAAGCAGCAGAGCACAGACAACAGCAAAGATCTGCCCATTTTTACGTTTAGCAACCTCATTCTGTTGTGGTGTTTGAGGGCAAGTAGTTTCATAGAGCATATCATTAGTGTGAAAAAAATGGGATAACGCCGAATTAACAAATTCTCCACCATTATAAGATCGAAAAATCTTGATATTGAGCATAAATTAAGTCTGAATTATCTGATAGAAACGCTGAAAAATTTCGACCACCTCACTTTTATTTTTCATCTCATATAACCACATCATACGAGTGCAATCATCCACAAATAACACAAACCAACGAACTCCCAAGGCTGTAGAAACCGAGGAAGGTCCCCAAACATCAGAATGAACTAAATCAAATGGCATAAGTCGTTTATTACAACTTGGAGAGTAGGATACCCGATGACTCTTAGCTAAAATACAAGTCTGACATTGGAAAGCATACTCGTTGACACCACAAAATAATGCAGGAAACAAATGCCGTAAATATCCAAATGAGGCATGACCAAATCGGTAATGTAACAACCAAATCCGACGATGCTGAGAAGTTTCGGCGCTACTAGCACGAAGAACCCGACTAGTTGCTACATCATCCACATAATAAAGCCCCCCTTTTTAATACCACGTCCAAAGATCTCATGAGTATGGATATCCTGTAGTAAGACAAAAGATGGATACATCAGTACAATGCAGTTTAACTGCTCAGTAACTTGCAGTACAGATAATAAATTACTAGACAAAGATGGAACCAGTAACATTTTGTCTAATGGTAAAGCAGATGTCAAGAGTATAGAACCAGGCCCCGTGATAGGAGCAGCAGCATTATTAGCAGTCAGAACATAATCACGATAAGGCGAAAGAGTAGTAAAGAAAAGCAAAATTATACGTCATATGGTCAGTAGCTCCTGAATCAATAATCCAACCTGTATCTCGGGTATCATGGGCATGGAAAGCCTTGCCAAAGTTACCTGGAGGCGGAGGTGTTAGAGTGGTTGAGACGACGGTTAAAGTCGGAGGAGTAGCAGTAAGGTGGTCGTGCCTAGCGAGGATGTCAGCCACATAAGTGGGGGCAACAGCCACATGAGCTTTGCTGTCCAGTTGTTCCATTTTTAAATGCCTCCGCTCCTTCTCCTAATATGGTACCCCATGCAATACCCAGCAGGTGTCGATAGTATGTTTCTTTTCACCACAGTAATCACACTTCAATTTGTCTTTTTTGCAGGAGTCAGCGACGAGGCAAAACAACAGAAGAGCTAGACCCTGTACGCTGAGAAACCAAAGCAGTGTTTTTGGAAGCAAATACAACAACAGGTTCCCCAATCTTGGTGCCGGATCCAAGCACAGTAATCTGGCGTTGAGCTTCTCGACGAACCATAAAAAATACATTTTCGATACTTTGAACTTTATCACTTCGTAGAATATCACTGCAGACCTTGTCATAAGTATCGTCAAGGCCAGCCAAAAAATCATACACACGATTTGCCATAACAGCAGCCTAAAAAGTCTTCATATCATCAACACACTTCATCTGAAAAGGACGTCTCTTGTCCAATTCAAGCCAGATCGCCTTAAGTTCAACAAAATAGGTAGAGACAGGACAACCATCTTGCTTAAGACGGGTAGTTTGGCACCGTAGTTCATAGAGCCGGGATATGTCGAGCCATCATAAAACATCTGATTAACATCATCCCAAATTTCCTTAGCAGTAGGTAGAGTATGAAACATATTCAACAAACTGGGTTCCATAGTTCGCAGCATCCAACTTTTCACAACAGCATCATCAATTTTCCACTTCCCAAATTTCAGGTCTTTGGAATCAGGGGCATCAGTGTCGCCAGTCAAGTAACCCAATTTGCCTTGTGTAGTAGCATGGAGTTTGATAATCGAAGCCCATATCTCATAGTTGGATTCATTCAATTTGAATCACATAGGTAGGTTGGTGGACGATTCGGTATGAACCGTCACAATAGGAGTAGAAGAAGAAGAGTCAGTGACATCTGACATGGTGATAGATAGCAGCAGTAGCAAAAGATTAGATGACGACGACGACGACGACAGTAAGAGATATAAGACGGCACAGACTTAGGTGTATAGGCTACGTGCAGCGGAAATAGGTATTTTTAGGATTAGGGTTTTGACGTTGTAGAGACGAATAAGAACCCGCTCTGATACCAACTCAAAATAATTAGGGTTTAAAACTGATATATTTATTCTTCTCTCAAGGAGGAATATATATATATTACATACAGAGTGGTTACAAATAGGAAATATGTACACAATCTTCTAATTATACTCAAATTAAATAATTACAATAAAATATAAATTCTATTCCTAATAATAAGAACGTTGACTCACGCCAACATATGTAATGCACATTTGTTTTCTCATTGATATCAGATATATTATAATCCAACTCTTAACTTAACTTAATGATAAGCCATCATTCTTTTACCATTCGCAACTTGGACAAATTCAAGAACTTCCTATATATGTAGTGGTTCATCATTTCCCCTATCTTTTGGTAGAAAAAACCACCAAGTCTTGGACTTCTTGTATCTCTCTTTTAAGTTCTAACATAATAGATTGCTTAATGAATGTAACCAATATTGATTTCGGGAAACATTAACTTAGCCTTGCTATTATTCCTTAGCCAAAAATATTGTATTGATCTATTAACAAGATCTAGTCCAATAGAAAAGGACTTTAACTTGCATAACAATGATCCATGATATCTAGGTAGTATGTGTATGTGTGTGAACCCCCTTCCCTTGTAGTTTAGACTATCGTTTGTATTTAATATATATATATCTATATATTAATCTAATAGAAAGTAAGACGAAGGTTTTACTATTGAGTGGTGAATTTTTTTTTGAGCCAAACGATAGAAATATCATCGATAAAAGTCGAAATGCTCGATTAAAATAGTCACACATGCAACCAATACTCAGACCCAAATAAAGACTCAATATAAATTTCAATAAAATACAAAAGATAATCACGATTACTATTCAACCCCTATCAATAGGGTACAATAGATAATCACGACTATTGTACAAATTTCCCATGATTATTAAAGTCTATCACAAAGCACTATCATGAATCCGATTTCAATCTTACTGACTTTAATCTTTTTATAACCATTGTTCCACATTAGATCATTTGTTTGAAGCTAAATGTCTCCTCTGCCTCCTCCCTGATAGGAGACAATGGCGTTCAACACGTGGAATTTATTGGATAATCTCTCAATCTCTCATCCTCCATCAGATTACGTGTGAAATGGACAAAATAGACTGATCCCAATTAAGTAAAATTGATCACTCATGATGGCTAAAACACGAAAGTCAAATCTGGATCCCAAGGAAAAGTCAAATATTTAGAGTAATTATTCTCTCCGACAAGTATCTTATGGAAGAGGTTACATCATCACCAAACACTGGGGCTAGCTTTGATTGTCCACTAAACAACCACTTAATATCCTCTTAAATATCTCTCTATGCTCATTCGAGTAAGTTCGTATCCTATATTTTATTATTTTATGCTTTATAATAAGTCGGATAAACGAGCACTTTTTTTTATTTTTATCGATAATCCGAATTGAAAAAGTGATTAAAGATCACTTAAAATCTTGAGTGATAATAATTTATCATACAAAATCTTTCCTCTGCTTTTCTTCATCACTTAAGCACATCCCTTCAATTTGGCCATTGTTATAGGGTAGTGATTTATCTACTCCAATTTTATCCACTTACACTTTATTTTATAACTAAAAAATAAGTGTAAGTGGATAAAATTGGAGTGAGGAAATCATACAAAATTGCCCTTATTTATTTTTGGATTTCCTAAGGAATTATTTACATTTGCATGTCTTTGGTTTGAAAGTTGAGAGGTTTTTCTATCTTTTTTCAAAAGTGAAATTTTGTGTGTGGCTAAAATCTAATTTACTCTTATTTTTTTTTTTTTTTTTTTTTTTTTTTTTGTTTAATATAGTTTTTATCATCGTCATCTCTTATGGCCCTCCTAGTACTATACCCTTTTGGACGTCCTCTCCAATTTTGTCATTTTATTATTTTACTGTTTTACTATTTTACTATTTCTGTAATTCCAATTACACACACACAAACTTTATGTGCAGGCAGGCACTTACCAAAAACGAACGTCACCCTCTCTCTCTCTCTCTCTCTTCTATGAATAAATGAATCTGTCTTCTTGTTTAAACCAAATTTATGGACATTCAGAATTCTATTTTAATTGGATACTATTCCAAAATAAATAAAATAAACTCTACTCTAGTGGCCATTGACTTTTTTTATTTATTTTATCAAACGATAAAAATATCATTGATAAAAGTCGAAACACTCGATTTCAATAGCCACAAAGAAACCAAATTTGGATTTGTTTCCTTGTGATTTTTAAAAAAAATTTATTTTCCTTTTCTATCCATTTCTTTTGGCTGCCATCTATATTTGGTATAGGCCGGTTACATATTGCAATATACATTAACACAATAATAGAAAATTACAATCATGCGTGAGTTAATTTGCCGACGTGTACTATTATATCCTTCGGTGGGTTTTGGTTCCTTTTATAATGCAATCTTTCAATTGGGTTCTTTTCAATTTGATATTTAAAAAGCCTGTATCTTCTCCTACCACACTATTAATATATATATATATATATGTGTGTGTGTGTGTGTCTATAAGTCGCCATCGCATCACTATCTTTCATAAAGACTACTAGTAAAATACTCAAAATTCTTATCTCAAACCATATGTTGAACATACACATTTTTTATTATATAAAAATAGAACATTTATAAATATTTTACAACAGGACAATACACCATTATAATGAGGCTAATCACAATTAGATATCGAACTCATCACAAAATATATATATACTATCATTATCGTTTATGTGAGTTAAATTTGACACATCTTTCAACTAAATGACACTAGACTAAAAACTAGTTAGTAATATTGTACATTGACCGTTACTTTCTTTAGTTCGAGGGGAGAGAAAAAAATAGGGATGTCATTCCATATGTCGTTTATTCTTTCAAGTGTCCAATCTACACCACTTTTTCTATTAGCAAAATCCCAACGTCATTAGCTAATCTCTTGGTCGAAAATGGATGGATTTTGACACCTGTAAGATTAGGAACAAAGACAGTGAGAAAGACAAAAAGAAAATTATTGTGATCTTGACAACATCGACATGATCATCTATTGTATCCCATTAACAAGATAGTCAATTAGGAGAGATTCTGCAATAAGTATTTTATGTTAAGACTTTGTTACATATACTTGTAATTTTAGTCATTGGAATATTGAATTCATTAAATGTGTTGGTAATCTCTAAGATATCATTCAACGACCGAAATTAGAAATATATAATCAATCCTTAACTTAAATACTTATTGAAGAATCTCCCGTCAACTAAGTATGGAGATGAGTTGCCCTAGCTTAATTGGCCTTCCCATTTTATTATTTATTTATATTTAAAATGTACAGAATGAAAAGAGGGACCTCCTCTGTATTATTTTCTGTGCAAAAGGTTCATCTTGATTGTGAAAATGGTGATTGCTGGCTGGAGAAATTAATCTAGCAAAGTAGGCATTAAGATTGGAGTAGTATACCTGTAACAAAAAAAATCATAATAATTAGGTGGAGGTAAAGTCCTAAGTATATTAGTGCACAGGTCAGTGTCTAGCAAGGGAACAAATGATTTGATTAGGAAATTAAACAACATCATTGTCTGCTTTAATCTCGACCACCAATTTCCTAAAGTAGAAAGTAGAATATCCTTCTTTTGGGGTTTTAGGAGAAGATTTAGAGTTAAAGATGCTCAACTAGTTGATTTGAATATCTTGTTTTTTTCCATATATATCTTTAGGAGCTGTTACTCTTTGGGGCCAGAGCCGTGACTCATATATATAACCTTATCTCTCATATTCGTAGCATATCTTGTTTTCTAATGTGAGTCATCATATCTTGATCTTGATGGGTGCACCTAAATCCCTCAAATTTCTAATTAATCATAAAATCATAATTAATTTTCCCACCTATATTAAAGTGCTATTGTTTCTCATCACTTAAGCTATATTTGGTGACTGGCACTACTAAAATATCTAGTTTTGAACACAATTGTTATTTGTGCTCTTTAATCCAAAAAGGCTCAATTATTCGTACTCTATATTGATGGTCAGGAAGCTTTAAAAAGTGACTCTTTGGACTAGTCTCATAGCCATCTATCTCTATAACATCTCGCAATTCATGCTCCTTCCTGTGCTTCTTTTCGTTCTTGATAGCACAGGAAAGAGACCGTTCTTGGTCTTTGGCCTTCCTTTGTCCTCTTTCGATAATACCATAGATGCTATTGGCCCCGATCTTTGATTCAATCTAGGAATGGTTGTTAGTTGGTTTCCTCTATGGGAGTTTCTAGTGTTTATATGGCACGATTTTACTTTTTGGTGTCTTAAACTCAATACTTTTGGGCACGTATATGGCATATATCTGACAATAACGATTGCTGCTTTTGATTTGACTTTTGTACATACACACAGTGGCAGAGGGAGCTAAGGCCCAGGGTGGGCATGTGCCCCCTCTCAAATTTTATTTTAGGCTATTGTATTAGTAATATAATCATACTTTTCTAACCAAATTGTGAAGTGCCCATGTATTTATTTCTTTGTATTTTTATAATTTTCCTTTTCTCACTATCATTGCTACCCTTTCACATCTCTTATTGTAGTACTTCGATTTATAGTGATAAATTACCATTCAAATTTTCTTCGTGTGTATTTTTAATAATTACATTTCATTTAATTTTTTCCTTGGATCGATGTTCAGTAGATAATTTTAATATAATATGTAAAATAATATAGTACAAAAATTAGGGATTTTGTATCAAGTAAAAAATTAGTTTCATTGTCACCCTAAAGAAAAATATATTTCAATATATAAGGTGCCCCCTCTGTGAAAATTTTATACAAATTTATAAATAAA